GGGGAGCTGCCTCCATGGTGCTATGTTGTGGTTGTTTTTCAAGCGAGCAAACGATCGTATCGTGTGGAACCAGGCGACGTGTTTTTTGGTTTTTTTAAGGTTGTTCATATTTATAGGAAAGGAAGGAGGGGGTGCTCTGTTTATTATGTCCGTCCTTCCAGACCAGTTTGATAGCTTTAATCGAGCCTGTCCTCAGATTTTCAAAGGTGCTGTTTGAAGATGACATCGTTACCCACTTCATATTCTGTTGAACTACCAGGCCCACCCAGCCCTGCGGACGTCCTTTTTTAAATTGTGCACTGGAATCACAGCGGTTATATGCGATTCTACTTTTAATACAGTTTGCATCCGCAAAAGTTTTGGGTCGGACACACTGCTCCATTTCCAATCAGTGCACGTCCCATAACTTCCTGCTGAAATCATGTCACCTTATTTATACCACAAATGATCTCTGGTTATTTTTATTTTTGGTCCCCCTTTTGTTGTGCTGTAGGGCAAGAGGGCCCCCTCCAGATGGCAATAATGCAGTAACGTTGGGGGGACATCGCAGAACAACTGGTAAAATGGACTGAACAGCCCAGTATAGATCCATGACTAATGCACGATTAGTGCGTCAGTGGCATGTTGCAGAATACACCTGAGCAAAGACCCACAATTTTGGAGGGCGGGGTTTTTAGGTAGTATTTGCAGCGAAACAATGTACACAAACACACAGCATTCTCTTGTTCATTGCATGCTTACCGAGAAGGAAGGGCCTCCACTTTTGTAACTGAATGGACAGAGATGCCCACAATGTGCATTTAAAGTGCTCCTGCATCACTTTAATAGTCACGGGCTTCCCCCCCAAAGAATCCTGGGAACCGTAGTTTGTTAAGGGTGCTGGGAATTGTAGCTCCATGGGGGGTCTCCTAACAACTCTCAGTGATCTTAGCAAACTACAGTTCTCAGGGTTCTTTGAATGGGGGGGTTAAAAGTGGCGTAAGGGTGGGGTGGGGTGGACTTTTGGATGCAAAAGAAAAGGGGGGAAAGCTGGGGTGGGGGGTTGGTTCACCCAGAGAATGCGGCTTGCTTTCCCCTTGAGTCAGAATGACCTACGTGGGGGTGTGGGGGGGAAATCACCATAAATAAATCACAGCAATGATATGCATGGATCTGGCGAAGGGCAGGGAAGGTACTGTTTAACCAAGGTAATAGTTATTTTGAGAAGGGGGGGGGGCATAGTCAGACCATACATTTAAAGCACTATGATACTACTTTAAACAAGTGTGGCTTCCCCCAAAGAATCTTGGGAGCTGTAGTTTGTTAAGGGGGGCTGAGAGTTGTTAGGAGAGCCCCCCCATTCCCTTCACAGGACTACAATTCCCAGATTGTGGTTTCACAATCAATCCCTTTCCCTGGGGGATTCTGGGAATTGTAACTTTGGGAGAGGAATGGGGGAGGGGACGGTCTCCTAACAATTCTCAGCACCCTTAACTAACTACAGTCCCCAGGATCCTTTGGGGAAAGTGTTGAAAGTGGCACCACAGCACTTTGCATGGATGTAGCCAGAGAGAGACTGCTGCAGCTGTTTTCTGTGCAAAAGGCTTGCTCTTTTCCTTCCCTTAGACTTCATTTTCTAAGAGATGCAGCTGTTGAGAAATGCCAGAAATTAGAAGTGATCCCCAAGGATGCTAAAAGAAGCCTCCAGACCTCCAGATGTTGCTGCTGGATGGGTAATTTCAGTACCACCCCACCCTTTATCTTCTATTTATTTGGAATTTCGCAGTCAAACTCTGCTTTTCCAGTTACAGGAAAGCAGCATGCAGATGAGACAAATCCCCAGTTTACGGTCACTCTAAAGGCTGGAGTTGATTCTGTTACACGGGGTTTACGATCTCAGCTTCGGGATCTGTGTTTGGTGCAGCAGAGCTTTGAGGTATTGTGTCAGGAGTGCCTCTGAGTATATACAGAGTGCCTTTCCTCCTCTGCTGCCAACTCCTTGCAACCACAGCCAGCCTCTATATTACTGGAGTGGGGAAGTTCAAGCATGGTTGAGTCTTTATGCCTCTGTGTTGTGTTGTACAGCAGGCAGGGGGGTTAAAGGAATTAACTTCCACAATAATAACACAGAGAAAATTGGGGAGATGGCTGTGGTGTGGGCCCATTTCCTTTTGCTTCCCCTTTTTAGAGTAATAAAGGTGAAGGGGAGGATCTGTGAAAGAAAAAGGAGGGGAGATACTGATTAGCCAGAATGCTACTCTTGTAGGCACTAGGAAACAGCTGTTTTTATCAGTCTGTAGGAAAAAAGCCCCCTTTATGAAGTATATCAACGATAGGTTATTTGTATTAGAAATCTGAATAAGGACCATGGAAGCCTAGCCATTGCTTGTATTGTATGGGCAGCAAGTCCAAATCATAAGTGCTTTCATTGTCAACACTATAGCATTGAGTTACTGCACAGTCCATAGGTTGAATTGTAAGTCTGCCTTTGGGTTCAGTCGCTGGGTTGGCAAACATGCACGGTCTGATGGACCATTTGCGTGCGGGGGGGTGGTGGTGGTGATGGGCTTTTGGAGAGGCTGCCTGCCTCCCTGTGCAAAACTGTGGGGCGAGGTGCTGAAGGAGGGATAGGGGAGCCTACGGCCCTCCGAGAGGAGCCGAGGAAGCAATTCAGTTTCCGTTTGCAAATAAATCATTTGCAGATAGATGGCTTTTCATTTTGCAGCAAACTGTCTCTCTTTAGATCCTGCTCCTCTCCTCTCCTCTCCCCGCCCCCACCCCGGCTATTTCCTGATCAGGTGAAAAGAGAACCCTTGCTCGTGAACAGACTTTGCATAAGTGTGTGTGTTTGTGTACATGCGTGCCTAATGCGTTGCCATGGAAATCGAGCGTGGTTACAAAGGCTGAGGGATGATGTCAAACACAAGTCTCCATTGTGCGGAAGGAGCTGTAGATAAAAGGAGGTCGCCGCGATACAAAACAGCACCCGAGGATTGATCCCGTGGCCTGAGAATTCTTTGGCAAAATATCCCCCACCCCCACTTTTCATGGAAGAAGTTGTATCCTCATCAGAGGAGGTGCGGAAGGGTGCAGTTCAGATGGGGAGTGTTGTTGTGTGCAGAGGAGAGACTAGAAACTTGAGCCAGACCCCTGTGGTCCACCTAGCGCAGTATTGCCTGCACCGACGGGCAGCAGCTCGGTAGCTCAGTTGGTTTGAAGGTGGTGCTGAATACGCCCAGGTTGCAGGTTCGATTCCCATAAGGGTCAGCCGCATTGGAAGGGGTTGGACTAGATCAGGAGTCTGCAACCTGCAGCCCATGGGCCGCAAGTGGCCCACGGGGGTCGTTTAAACGGCCCCCGAGCTGCTCCAGAACTGAGCCATCCCCTTGGTGAGTCCCCGCTCCGTGCTGTGCTGAACCGGTGCAGTGCAGAGTGGGGACTCGCTTCCGCTGCGCATCCTGTCTGCGCAGATGCCGAAAATCACACCTGCGCAGACGCAATCCAGCCCACAGAACGATCTCCGCGGGAATGAACCATCCCTGGCAAAGTAAACCTTGCCAATCCCTGGACTAGATGATGCTCAGGGTCCCTTCTGACTGTGTGGTTCTCTCTGGGATTTCAGGCAATTCCTAGCCTTACCTGGAGATGCTAGAGGTCAAACCGGTGACCTTCTGCATGCAAAGCAGGTATCCCATCACTGAGCTACAGTTCAGAGAAATCAACATAAGAAGACAGATCCTTGGCTCATCTAGCTCTGCTGGTAGGGGGCATTCCCAGCCATCTCTGAGGATGTTGGGCATCCTCCTGCAATCGAAACAGATGCTCTGCCCAGGAGCTACAGCCTTTGCCCCCGTTTGCTAGACTACAAATCCCATCATCCCTGTCCATTAGCCACTAGCTGGCCAGGGCTGGTGGGGTCTGGATTTCAACAACTTCTGGAGGGCAACAGGTTCCCCTGGTCAATATACCATATTTTTCACTCTATAAGACGCACCAGACCACAAGACGCACCTAGATTTTGGAGGAGGAAAACAAGGAAAAAAATATTCTGAATCTCAGAAGTCAGAACAGCAAGAGGGAGAACAGCAGTGAAAGCAGCAATCCCTCTTGCTGTTCCGGCTTCTGGTGTAGCTGCGCAGCCTGCATTCACTCCATAAGACGCACACACATTTCCCCTTACTTTTTAGGAGGGGGAAAGTGAGTCTTATAGAGCAAAAAAATACGGTAAACCTCTGCCCACCCCTTGCAAGGGAATCACCAGTTTGAAACAAATTTCCTCCATGGGTGAGTTTGGTGCACTGTGTAGGTTGTAGAGAAATGACATGAAGTAACCACTGATTTAGGATTTATAATGTATTATTATAATGCCATCAGTGCATGTGGGCTTTACAGAGGACACAGTGACAAGCTCCCTTCCCTGAGCAGCTTAAGCCAGCCAAAGTTTGACAGGTCAGTCCTGAATTCATGGATAGGCTGCCAAATAAACAGCTCATATTTTGCGGAAAACGTGCTCAGTGGTTATGTTTCCTCCTGATCCAGAACTTTTGATGATTTTTGGTTAGGCATGAGAGAGGGGCATTTGAAGTGGAAGACTTAAGTCAAGAAGGCACACCCCCACCCTCAAGACAGGTAGCAATAATAATAATAAAAATAATATAATAATAATAAATAAATAAATAAATAAATAAATAAATAAATATCTAGAGAGTTTCTCTAGAATCTATGGATTTTCTAGAGTGCCATTTCTAGAATGCAGATTTCTAGCGATTCTCAGAGTGTCGTTTCTACAGTGCAGTTCTCCAGATTTCCTAGAAGGCAAGTTGTGCGGGAACTGACCAATACAGGTGCATGTGTAGAATTGCAGAGACACAACAGAAGATGAAGGTGGAATGTGAGAATAGCAGGGAGCAGGGAACATTCTTTTTTATATTGGAGCACACCTCTTTGTAGGTGTGAAATGGCTTTATGCCTCGCTTGTGGCCTTCCAGGCAGCGTCTGCCTGCCTGCAAACAGAATACTGGGTTAGATCAGAGTTTCTCAAACATGGGTTTCCAGCTCTTTTTGAACCACAACTCCCACCATCCCAAGCTAGCAGAACTAGTGGTCAGGGATGATAGGAACTGTAGTCCAAAAACAACTGGAGACCCAAGTTTGGGAAGCCCTGGGCCAGAGAGACTTTGGGCCTAATCCTGCAAGCGTCACCTTCCAGGCTTCTACATGTCAGACGTGGGGCAGGACCAGAGGCAAAAGTGGGTGTAGCAGTAATTGCAACCCCTTATCTCTGTATTGTAAGCTAGTTTCTGCACACACAACCATCTCCATCATCCATCCATCCATCCATCCAACCAACCAAGAGGCATGATCAGAATTCTAGGACACGTTCCAGCCAGGCCAAAGCACTGAAGGAGGAGGTGAAGCAGAGTCAGTGAGGGGGTGTGGCCTGGGGAGAAGGGGTGTGGCCTGGAAAGGCTCCTTAGCGCCAGACAGAAGAGCGCCAGCTTGCGGAAGAGGCTTATTTGGCCCTAGATCTGAGGCACCCCACTCATGACATAGAGCATGCCATTACATATTTCCCAGGTGGACTTTGGTTATGCTGCAAGGCTGCCACGGAATTTATTGCCAGTCCACACCTGCAAAAATGCACATCTTTCTCTTGATCTAACAGCAACATATCGCCTTGCGACTCGTATCTGAACAAGCAGAACTGCTCCTGCATTTAAAAAAATTATCATTTGGCTGGGACAGTCTCTCCCATCAGCTCATCCCTTGGGCCCATAACAGCTGGCTCAGCTCAGCCATCACTGTCATTTCACATGCGCCAGGATGTCAGTGGATGTTTCAGTTGCTGTGTGTGTGTTAATGAACCGTTAACACACAAAAGCAAGTGTACGCTTCATCTCTTTATTCTGAAACTAAGTCCACATTTAGGAAATGATTTATCAGATACTCCGTTGTCAGAACAGAATGATAGAAGCCATTCCTTCATGCCAGGACCCCTTTAGTTAAGAAGGGAAGGGGCTGTAGCACAGCAGGGAGTGTCCTCTGCCCAAAGCCCTGCCGCACTGCTGCCAGTCAGTGCAAACAGTAGTGAGCTAGATGGATCAATGCTCAGACTCAGTAGAAGGCAGTTTCCTATGTTCCTAAGCACAAAGGTGGGTGTGTTTGTGTGTTTAACCCAACATCTCTCTCCCACCCCACCCCACCCCACCCCATCCAACAGGTTAACTTGTTTAAAATCATAGAACTGTAGAGTTGGAAGGGACCCTGAGGATCATTTCGTCCAACCCCCTGCACAATGCATGAATATACATTTGTCCCATACTGGGATCGAACCTGCAACCTTGGCATTCTCAGGCACCATGCTCTAACCAACTGAGCTATCCAAGCTGTTGCCAGTTAGCAGAAGACAATACTGAGCTAAGTATAAGCTGCTTTAGGAGCGTTTCTGGCCTTGAACGGCAAGGCACAAATTTAATTATTTTTTAAAAATCTGATCTTGGAGTCCAGTTTTGACTGCAGGGGATGTAAAGTCAAGAATAAGGTGAGGGTCAGTTTCTGGGAACTGCAGGTGTGTGTGTGCGGAGGGGGAGAGAATTGCTGTTGCGTTCAGGTCCTACTTGCGTGTTTCCTAGAGGCAGCAGGCTGGTCATTGTGAGACCAGGATGCTCCAACTATAGGACAATTCTTACGTTCTTAATCAGTAGGTACAGAAGGGTGGAAAACCCCTTCTGGCCCACCGACTGGCCCCTGAAAATAATTCCACACACACACACCCTCCATTTGCATGACATGGCAACATGTAGCTGCTCCCAATGCCCCAAATTTAAAATGTTTAAATAGAGTTCAGAGAACAAAGAGTTCAGGGTGCTGGAATGGTGTCAGTTTTACAGCACATTGTTTTGCCTAGAGCAGAAGAGAAGAGATTTTCACGGGCACTGGTAAATTTCCCACTTCCGAGACAGTCAAGATGCTTTTTGTTGTTGCAAAACTTAGAGAAGAACAGTCCACGTTCGCTGTATATAAATGTCGCAGTTTGCCCACGGATGTATAGTTGTTGATGCCTTACATTTTTTAGGGCGGTCAATTTTCTTGGGCTGCTCCGTTTTTTTAGGAAGGAGGGAGCGCTTTTTTTAACAAAAACCGACACCAGCTCCTTTTCGGCCGGTATTTGCAACAGGGTTCCTCTCGTATCTTCTGTCCGCCCTCTTTTGAGGTGGGCGGGTCAGTTTTTGTACCGAACTGCACAAGCCCCCCCCCCCCAGTAACACCCTTCCCCACCCGCAAGCAGGCGAGATGAGAGATGACGGGCAGATTTTGCAATGACTGGGGGGTGTTCTCTAACCGAAGGGGAGAGAGACGCCTTCTAGCGAGTGGCTGCTGGTGCAGGCACCAGGCTCTAAGGCGTCCGGAGAAGATTATGAGATCATAGTCTGCCCACAGCGTTGCATAATGCGCTCTGGAAGGAACATCATATTAATTTTTAAAGCAGCGTTTGAAGGCGCAGGCATTGCACTCACACCTCCCAAGTAGCAGGGCATAAGGTTTTTGAGAAGCTGGTCCCCAACAGCTCTGGTTATGATGTCATTCTACAGACTCCGGCCTGGTGCTTTTCTGTTTCTGTTTCCCAAGGCTGATAGCAGACCTCTCTCTTCTCAGAATGATCCTAGCCTCCCCCTTTACTTCTGTTACTAGCTAGACTTCTGCGAGCACTGAGAAATCGAGGGTCAACGTTGCAGAGGTTAGTTAGTTTCCTTTGAATGAGAGGCAGCGCCGGAGACTTAACAGCGTGAGATTTGCAGAGCAGAGGCAGGATGCATTCCTGCAGCAGACAGCTCAGCTACTAATCCTGCGTCACATTCCCTCCCAAAGAGGGCAAATGCTCTTCAAAGAATTGTTTGATCTTCAGCCCCCTCTCAGATTATTATTATTTTATTTACTATTTATTAAATTTGTATACCACCCTGTGCCCAGAGGTCTCAGGGGGGCTGCAACATAAAATCACAATATGAAAACACAAAATGCGTAATAAAAGCAAAAACAACCCAATAACCACCACCACCCCACTTCCCCAACACATTTTAAAAGGGCATTGGATGTCAGTCAGCCCAAGGCCTGGTTAAATAGGAATGTTTTCACCTGGCGCTTTAAGGTGTATAATGAAGGCGCCAGGTGAACTTCCCTGGGGAGAGCATTCCACAGACATGGAGTCACTGCAGAGAAGGCCCCGTTCTCGTGTTGCCACCCTCTGGACATCTCGAGGAGGCGGAACACGGAGGGCCTCAGAAGATGATCTCAGGGTCCGGGTAGGTTCATATGGAAAGAGGCAGTCCTTGGGGTATTGCTGTTCTGAGCTATTTAAGATCTCCCTGATCATTTCTCCATTAAGACTGGCTCCAGGCTTCCACCACGCAGCTGGAGGGACATCATTGCCCTAAACTCCACATTGGAAGACTGTAGCTCAGCGACACAGCACATGCCTTTTGCATGCGGAAGGTCCCAGGTCGGACTGCAACTCCCATCATCCCTGACCATCAGCCACGCTGGCTGGCGTGGATGGGAGTTGACATCCAGTGACATTGAGAGAGCACCATGAAGTTTGCTCCTGGTCAAGAGTCGTGGGGAGCTGCTGCAAAGTCAGCAGAGATAATAATCAACTACAAGGACCAGTGACCTGACTCGCAATAAGGCAGTTTCCTGTGTTCCTAACTTCTTGATGGGTATGGCACTCCAAAGGCTGGAGTGAGGCTCCCAGCCATCAAGGAACATACGGCTTCAGGAAATGTGTTGAGAACTGTGTTTCCAAAGTCACAAACTCCAGAAGGGCGGCTTTGTCAGTCTGTTATGGCAAACTCGTCTGGCAAACACATCCCTCATTGCCGGCTGATGACGCATTCAACAGAAGCTTCTACCATATTGAATCCAATAATTTTTGATGGTGCTACAAGACACTTTTCTGTCCCTATGTGTAGATTTCCAGAGCAAGAAAATGCAGCTCAATCAAGGCATATATTTTCTTCCCTTTTTTCCTTCAAACATTAATGTAACAGTAGATGGGGGCTGGGGTGTCAAACGTGATCAATATTGATTCCCCCCTCCCCAAATTCAAGGGCTCAGATGCTAATTCTCAGAGGGCCTTGCTCAGATATTAGCTTATTAGTTCATTTTCTGAATAATATCCTCCATCTTCATTCAAGGACCTTGAGGCAATATGCTGGAGGCTCCATCCAAGACCTCCATTTTAACTTCACCGCAAGCCTGTGAGGTAGCTTAGGCGGAGAGATCATTTATGAGTGGGAAAGGAGATTTGAACCCCTGATTTCCAACCACTGTTCCACACTGGCTCTAGCTATGCAGAGTACAGTCTGGAGAGTCACATGTCTCACCCCTGCTCTCTACTTCCTGTCAGGTCTCATTTCCACAGGTCCCATCTGCTGTAGTCCCTACTTTGCCTGCAGTTATAATGGGCTGCAATATTAGTGGATGGCATTACTCAGGACGCTAGAGCTGACCCCGACCCACCAATTGCTAGCTTGTAAGCTGCTCCGCATACCGCATTTCTCAAAAGACCAGCCGAGTCCCAGCGTTTTTATTACTTGCAACATGCCTAATGGCTGCCTGTAAATGGCCGCTCCCGCTTGCCGTACCTGCAGATTTCTTTGTGTCCGTTTTGTGCTCTCGTGCAACGTACACCAATCCTCCTACCACCCCTGTGCGTTAAAACAGGCCTTGCATCCTTTACCACTTTTGTATGTGAGCTGTATACCCTCTGCAACAAGCAGAGCCTTGACAGTTGTGGCCTCGAAGCTATAGAACAAACTCCCCCCTGGCACGGTGGAATCATCCCTCTTTTGCTTTGCAGGGCTGTGAAAAATGGGGAAAGGCTCTTGATTTGTGCGCTGGAGTTTGCAGGTTCAATTCCTTTTTGTCTCTCAGAGCAGGCGATGGGATAGGCTCCTCTGAAACCCAGGAGAACGACTGCCAGTCAGAGCAGACAACACAAGGTTAGAGAGACAAATCCTCTGACTTGTGATACGGCCATTTCGCTCTGCTCCTTATTCAGCAGGCCTTGGGGATCTTGCCCTTGAGCAAGGAAGGGGAGGTTTTGACCCTCTGGTGTTGCTGAAACATAACTCCCACCATCCCTGCTTATTGGCCATGCCGGCCAGGGTTGATGGGAGTTGGAGTCCCAACAAATTCTGGAGGGCAAAAGGAACTGACTGCTTGGTTTCTTTCTAGTTATTTATCCATCCGTTTCATCTTGTTTTTATTGATTTCATATTGTTGTTATTTGGAGTGCTTCCCCTCTGTTGTTTCACACCAGGGTGGGGAACCTTTTATGCCTGAGGGCCGCATTTCCTTCTTGGTAAGCTCCCGAGGGCCACATGGTAGTGGTGGGTGTGGCCAAATGTGGTGGGAGGAGCAATGAATGTAAATTTTACCTTTGTACAGTGGGCTGGGGTTGTGGGGTTTTTTTTTACACACACACCTCTCTTTCCTCCATTGGGAAAACGAGGCCTTATCAAAGTTCAAGGGCTCATTCCAGCCAGGCAAAAACACAGGGCAAGGGGCGTGGCCTGGGGAAGGTTCCAAGGGCCAGACAGAGAGAACTGGAGGGCCGCATCTGCCCCATAGGCCAAAGGTTCCCCAGCCCTGTTGTATGTAAGCTGTTTTGAATACTTGCAAAATAAATAAAAAAGCAAGATACAAATATTTCAAGTAAATGTGGAAGGAGTCATGGGTAATTGTAGTTTTTGGGTACTTGTAACAGGGCTGCCTGCAATTTTCTAATGTGATCTGAACATGAGTTTTGTGTCATTTTGTACATGGAGGTGAATTCCATGAAACAATTCAAGAAAGTTAAGAGTTGATACCTAAGCTGCAGTCAAAAGGAAGCCACGATGCTCAACTCTCCTAGGGACAAAGCTGAGGTCAGGAAATTGCCACGCCATCGCTCAAAGATATCCAGTGGTTCTTTGGGTCGAAAATGCAGGCGCGAAACATTGTCCTCGCAGCTCTTCTCAGTTCCACACCCAGTCATGCGCTGCTGCCTTGCAAGACGCCTGTCTGGGCACGCTGCAGATTTTATTTTATATTGTATTTAGATACATTTATAAACCACTTAATAAATAAAAAAGCCTCCAAGCAATGTACATAAGATGGTATAAAACAATTATCAACGGCTCACAGATGAAATCAACAGAAAATTAAAGAATAAGAAGTATATGTAATGAAATCATATATGCCTGGGAAGGCTTGCTGGAATAAAGAAGTTTTTAACAGGGGTCTGAAACAGTATATCGTGAGGGTGCCTGCCGAATGTCAAATCAGCAGGGAATTCCACTGAAAGATCAACTCCTTGCAGACACGGAACGAACATTAATAAGTCACTTTATAACTTTCATTTGCGGCTCGAGGTGGCTTTTTCTTGCCCTTTTGTAAAAGGAATTTCCTATGCTGGAGACTTTGTACATATTTATATTGACTTTATTAAAAAAGGAAAGAAAGGGAAAGCGATTCAAGTTGTGTGTACATTGTCCTGTCTTCAAAATATTCCAAGATCGGTCACTGTAAATGTTTTCTTTCCAACAGATTGTGCAGCTGAGGGAAATGTGGGTGGAAGTCCAACGCACACCAGGAGTGCATGTTGCCTGTTTGCTGTGCATTAGTGGTGCTGAGCAAGGAATTCTGACCTCCTCCACCAACAGACAACTTTCTTCTGAGCTCTAGGCTTCCAAGGCTGACACACCAGCTTGCCTGGGCATTCCGTCAGCTGACCACCAAGGGCCAATCCCTGCCCACCGTTAAAAGCCCAAACTTCAATACCGTGGAATATGCATTATGTGACATTTCAGTGAGTGTAAGTTCCACAGATCAGAGTGGTCAGATACACGGAGGGGGCAAGGTAATCCCTTAGGGCAGCCTTTCTCAACCTGTGGGTCCCCAGATGTTGTTGAACTACAACTCCCATCATCCCTAGCTAGCATGGCCAGAGCTCAGGGATGATGGGAGTTGTAGTCAAACAACATCTGGGGACCCACAGGTGCCGAACCTGTGGCCCTTCAGATGTTTCCGGACTCCACCTCCCATCAGCCCTAGGCAGCGTGGCCAACAGCCAGGGATGATGGGAGTTGTAGTCGTGCCACAACCTAGCCTGACCGTAGACCAAGGTTTCCCAAACTTTGGTCCCCAGCTGTTTTGGGACTACAACTCCCATCATCCCTAGCTAGCAGGACCAGTGGTCAGGGATGATGGGAATTGTAGTCCAAAAACAGCTGGAGGCCCAAGTTTGGGAAATCTTGCCTTAGACTGACCACCAGCTCCATCAATCCCAAGCCATCTGGAGACCTGTCCTTGTTGAGGTGTGGCAATTACTTCCAGTGGGGTGGAGGGTACATTTTAGTGTGCACACATACACCGAGACTTGAACAAACACAGCGGCACAACACACAAACTTGTTTTCCAGTGTACCTAGAGCTAAATCGGGGTAGTAGGGCCCAGAAACCATGTGAGATGCTACCATGATCACAGAACCAAGCGGAACTGCACAACGTAAATGCGTTTCCAACGCAGGTTCGTACATCAAATAAATGTCACCGGTACAATTCATTCTAAGCGCAATATTTAAAGTTTTTACAGAACTGCATTTTGGGGGATTAGGATGGAGAGGTTACCAAGAGAGGCACGGTGAAAGTAAAAGCATCACTGCCTCTCAGCCTACCTCACAGGGTTGTCGTGAGGATAAATAGGGAGGTGGGGAAATGATGCAAGCTCCATTTCCATTATAATCACTATTACAGTGGTACCTTGGTACTCAAACTTAATCTGTTCCAGAAGTCAGTTCCAAAACCAAAGCGTTCCAAAACCAAGGCACGCTTTCCCACAGAAAGTAATGCAAAATGGATTAATCCGTTCCAGACTTTTAAAAACAATGCCTAAAACAGCAATTTAACATGAATACTATTTAACGAGACCACTAATCCACAAAATGAAAGCAATAAACAATGTACTGCAGTCACACAATCAATCAATCAGTAGCTGAACTGGGTTCCACACAGTCAGGAAAAGAAAACAAAAAGAGCCGCAAAAACACCAACACAAAATAAATAGCAAAAACAGACCTCAGCATAACACTCAAAACAGAAGCGTGGCACTCAAAACGGAGCACGTTTGGCTTCCGAAAAGCGTTCGCAAACCGGAACACTTAATTCCGGGTTTGCAGTGTTTGGGTTCCAAGTTGTTTGAGTACCAAGGCGTTTGAGAACCAAGGTACCTCTGTAGGCTTATGAAACTCTGGATGGGTGCCAGAGTCTGGGGAAGTCAAACTTAACCTCGGTTAAAACACCAGGAACACAAAGGCCAAAGACATCCACCATCCTGTTTTTACAGTGGCCAAACAGGTTGCCTCCAAGAGGGGAAGCACAACACAGTCACTGTGGCTAGTAGCCATGGATAGCCTTATCCTCCACAAATTTGCCTAATAACCCTTTCACAGGCATCCAAGTTGGCATCCAAACCGTGAGCAAGTTCCACGGTTTAGCTTTGCAAAGTACTCCCTTTAAGCTGCAGGTTCCCAGGATCTTCATGCAGGAGCTGATCACAAGAGGGATAGCTCCGTCGGTAGAGCACGAGACTCTCAGTCTCAGGGTTGTGAATTCAAATCCCGTGTTGGGTGGAAGAATTCCTGCATTGCAGGGGGGTTGGGCTAGATGACCCCTTGTGGTCCCTTCCAACTCTACCGAGTCTGTCTGCCTATCTACATGAACTGAGGAGAAAGGCAAGAGAGGAGCAGGGAGCCTTGGGCCAATACAGCAGTAGAGTGTGGTAAGATGCTAGATGGGAAGGGGCCATGACACAGACACACGGTACAAAGTTCCATTTACACTGAAATCCACACACAGAGGTAGCTTGCAGGACACTCAACGCCCCCATCCAACGGAGCAAGCTTCGTTTAATGTGAGTCCGTTGGCAAGAAGCTTCTGGGAGCTCCGTGGAAATGCTGCTTATATTAACAGAGAGCTTACATATTGGACTCATGGATTCAACTTAAGGGTGGTACCACTGTTGCTTAGCTTCAGGGTTACATATGAAAGAATACAACAACAAACACTAGAACTGAATAAGGTACTAGCTCAAAAAATTGAGTTCAGCTTATTATGTCTAAGACAAACATATTGGAAACAGGGAGAAAGACCCACAAAAATTCTAGCTAATCATCTAAAACAGAAGAAAACGAACCAAATAATACCTTTAATAAGAAAGAAAAACAACATCGCAGCAACCTCATCAACAGATATAAATAACCATTTCTTTTAATTCTACAAAAAGCTATATGAAGGGCCAGAAAATATACCGGAGGATGAGGTGGAAAACTTTTTTTAGGATATTAAACTACCAACCATTGAAGAATATAAAAAACATATGCTATCAGCCCCCCTGAAGGTATCAGATATTGAGAATGAAATAGAAACAATGGGAAATGGGAAATCACCTGGACCAGATTGTTTTCCTATAAAATGGTATAAGAGCACAAGACTCTTAATCTTAGGGTTGTGGGTTCGAATCCCATGTTGGGCAAAAGATTCCTGCATTGCAGAGGGTTGGACTAGATGACCCTTGTGTCCCCTTTCCAATTCTATGATTTTATGATCCTCAATAACAGCCACCTTGAAAACAGCATCATTTAATCAGAGGAAGTGATGTTTGGCTATAAGTTAAAATTTCTGTTTCATTAGCCACCATGACAAATATATGGTTTGTGAGTGATTAACTGCACCCTTCCAGGACCCAGAAGCTTTTCTGATGTGCTGTTTGATGATTTCATTCCACACCTTCCTTATATATACTAGAATCCTAAACACCTAGCTGGTTGATGCAAATAACCTTTTGGACCATTGCTGATCATGCTGGAGGAAGTAAAAATCAGAGGTGAGGAGCCTGTGGTTCTCCAGGTGTTGTTGGACTCCAAGTCCCATCGTCCTTGACCACTGGCCATGCTCTCTGAGGCTGATGGGATCTGGAGTACAACAGAATCTGGAGGACGAACCAAGCTGCCCATCCCTGGGGAAAAGGAAACTCTGGTCTCCAATACTGTTTTCTCAGAAGATAAGGCTAACACAGGGGTGATGTTGACCCTGCGGGCATGCAGGCCAGAGGTTATTGGTGGTCAGGCTTCCCCAAATCTCATGGAAATCAGCTCTCCAGGGAACATGTGGTAGGAAACACAGATTCCTCGACGAAACAAAAGAGCCTGGATGGATCAAACCAAAGCTCCATCCAATGCAGCCTGGATAGCTCAACTGGTTAGAGCAGGCATCCCCAACCTGCGGCCCTCCAGATGTTTTGGTCTACAACTCCCATGATCGCTAGCTACCAGGACCAGCGGTCAGGGATGATGGGAATTATAGTCCAAAACATCTGGAGGGCCGAAGGTTGGGGATGCCTGAGTTAGAGCATGGTTGTGATAATGCCAAGGTTGCAAGTTTGATCCCCACTTGGGACAGCTGTATATTCTTGAATTGTGCAGGGGGTTGGACTAGATGATCCTTGGGGTCCCTTCCAACTCTACTATTCTATGATTCAATCCCATTTTTAAAAGTGGCAAACCAGATGCCTCTAGAAAGCCCATAAAGCAGGGTGAGAAGGCAAGAGCCCTTGTTGCACCCCTGAGGCTGGTAGAATGCCTCTAGACAGAGAAGCTCCATTTTGCCATTACGACCATTGATAGGCGTATTCCCTGTGAAATATCTGTCCAATACCTCTTTTAAAACAGTATTAACTGAGTGGCCATCGCTGAAGCATGGGGTTGCCAATTCCCTCGGTTAATTATGAGCCGTTGTGAACAAGTCCTTCCTTTTAGGTCACCCAAAACATAAGAGAGGTGGAAACAAGGTGTTTGGTGCCTCCATTATGAACACAGAAAGCTACCTTAACACTCAGCTAGACCCTTCGACCATCGGGCTCATTACTGCCGACAGGGACTGGCAGCAGTTCTGCAGTCTCTCTCAGCAGTACCTGAGACCTTCTGCACATAAAGAAGATGCTCGGCATTCAGAAGAAATGCAGGTGATGTGCCCATCAGATCCCCCACTCGCTTCCAAACATTAGAGGAACATGAAAAGGTGTGTAATACTGAGCTGGTCCATCAGCTTGGTGCTGACCATTAAAGCCCTAAACGGCCTCGGTCCAGTATACCTGGAGCGTCTCCACCCCCATCGTTCTGCCAGGACACTGAGGTCCAGCGCCAAGGGCCTTCTGGCGGTTCCCTCGCTGCGAGAAGCCAAGTTACAGGGAACCAGGGAGAGGGCCTTCTCAGTAGTGGCACCCACCCTTCCACCAGATGTCAAAGAAATAAACAACGATCTGGCTTTTAGAAGACATCTGAAGGCAACCCTGTTTAGGGAAGCTTTTAATGTTTGATGCATTACTGTATTTTAATATTTTGTTGGAAGCTGCCCAGAGTGGCTGGGGAAGCCCAGCCAGGTGGGTGGGGTATAAATATTACTATTATTATTATTATTATTATTATTATTATTATTATTAGCTGTGAGCTATGGAATTTTTCCTTAAAAAGAAGATGCTAGTCCTCATGATTCCAAATGAAGATTGGAATTAAGCAGGAGGCTGCCTTCTACCAAGTGAGGCCATTGGCCAATCTAGCTCAGTACAGCCAACACAGTGATATTCTGGCTTTCCAGAGCCAGTGTGGTGTAGTGGTTAAGAGCAGTAGTCTCGTAATCTGGGGAACCGGGTTTGCTTCCCCGCTCCTCCACATGCAGCTGCTGGGTGACCTTGGGCTAGTCACACTTCTCTGAAGTCTCTCAGCCTCACTCACCTCACAGAGTCTTTGTTGTGGGGGAGGAAGGGAAAGGAGAATGTTAGCCGCCTTGAGACTCCTGAGGGTAGTGATAAAGCGGGATATGAAATCCAAACTACTCTTCTTCTTCTTCTTCTTCTTCTTCTTCTTCTTCTTCTTCTTCTTCTTCTTCTTCTTCTTCTTCCCACCTCTACATGAGACCTTCTGAATGCAAAGCAGATGCTCTGCCACTAAGCAATGGCTCTTCCCCTCAAAAAAGAGAGAGTGTAAGATTCTAGTCCTCATGTATCCAAATCAAGGATGGAAGTAAACAGAATGCTGGCCCATATCCTTGGGTCCACCTAGCTCAATACTGCCTACACAGATTGGCAGCAACCCTCCAGGGTTTCAAACAGAGGGGATGTTTCTCAGCCCCCTCCTGGGAGAGATCCCAGGGATTGAACCAGAGACCTTCTGCATTCAAAGCAGACGCTCTCCCTCCCTTCCCTTAAGAGCCTAGTTGGCTCTGAGCAGAAGAGGCCAACGCAAACATCAAATGTATGAAGGCAGGGCGTTCTTCACAGCTCCTGGCAGGTCCTGAGAGAAGATGCGAGGCTCCAGCAAGACGGGAGGGGAGCAGGGTTGAAACGACTTCAGGTAAGCATGCAGGCAAATGCTCCTTCTTTCCACCACCAAAGAAGGAGAAAGAGAAAAGGAAAGAGAGAGAGAGAGAGAGAGAGAGAGAGAGAGAGAGACACCATTCTATTCATCCTGTTTAATACACCTGGAAATGAGCCGAAGTGGTACCGTCTTTCCAACACCGCAAGGTCTCCACGGCCACAGAGCGGCACAGCGGGCAGGTCTTCTCCCGGTCAAACCAGAGGCAGAGACACTCTTCGCAAAATACGTGCTTTATAGGCAAAAGGAGCAAAGGTTATTGTCATTATTATGGAACCTGGGACCTTCTGCAGAGGCAAACGGTGCTGAAAATACAGGATGGTGTACAATGAGCAGGAAGCAGCGAGCATGTAGCAATGGAAAGGACCGCTAGGAGGGGCGCCAGAGTATTTGAACGAGCGCCCCTCTGTGGCACTGTGTGGAAATTCGTTTTTTTTAAATAAAAAAATATTGACTAGTAACTTCTTGCTGCTCGGGAGCCACAAAGACACGAGCGCTGGTGGGTGCTGGCAGGTGCCCGAGGCTGCTTGCTGCTGGTGCCGGGCCCAATTCTAAGGAGGCTGAAATCTTTACCCTATCCCCAATTCTTTTTTCCTTCCATTTTTTAAAAATGAATTTCAAAGTGTTGACATATGCAAAGGGGGGGGGGGGCTAGCTTCCCAGGCATTCAAAAACTAAAGTAAATAAAAGTAATTAGGATCTAAGCTTGTCCAATGCCCCCTGCCCCCTGGCTGCTGCAAGACAAAAAGCCCTCTTTTCAGTATTAGGAACTAACAGTGTACTCTTCCCAGACAAATCAAGAGCATGGCACTCTTAAACTCGGCGTCGTGCGTTCAAGTCCCATGTTGAGCAAGATTTCATGGAAAGTGCCATTGTGCGTGTCTGTGTGCCGCTGTGACACCTGCAATTTGTATGATCATTCCACCCCCCTCCCCCAGTTTGGCAAACTAAGCCCAGAGGCGACTTAGCAAGCTGGGTGAGGACAGCGCCACTGTGCCCAGGCTGCCCTGCACCCAACCAGTCCGCATTACCTGGCATAAGAGGATCAGGGGTTCCCGGAACTCAGCCTGGCAGATGGCACAGATGTCGCCAGCCTCACTGCACTGCTGGCTGGTGGCACGGACCCCGTAGGTCTGGAAAAAGGAGGCAGAAGCATGTAGTCAAAATGACAGGATGACACCGTTCAGTTTGACATTTCGATCCTGCCTTCTCCCTTGTCTTTTATACCCACAACAACCCTGTGAGGTAGGTCAGGCAGCAACACACAGGCTGGGTCACCCCGTGTTGGGTGTCAGGGAATCCGATCCTCCCCACCCACCCTACAATAGGCTGCCAGGAACAAATAAACAAGGGGAATTCTTACCACGGTCTTTCATTCAATATTCACAGAGAAAAGCAGCCTCTTGGAGTAATAGCGTTGCTCCGAGTAATCACCACCCCACTTCTCTCTTCAATCGTTAACAGCACCACCCCCATTACACTGGTCGCTTAGGGCCATTTGTCTCTGAGCCCTTTGCTCTCCTACTTTCAATGCTCACCGGGTTCTGGGAGAAGGGGGGTCTGGAATGCTTTCTAGTGATAACGTGTCTGCCAGCTGCTCCAGCTCTGCTTCCCCCTCGTCTTCCCCCATTATTTCCCAGCTTCTCTCCTCCTCTGCCTCTGAGCTATGGCCTCCCGCAAACCACTGTTGTATATCTATACAGTGGTACCTTGGGTTACAGACGCTTCAGGTTATACAGTGGTACCTCGGGTTAAGTACTTAATTCGTTCCGGAGGTCCGTACTTAACCTGAAACTGTTCTTAACCTGAAGCACCACTTTAGCTAATGGGGCCTCCTGCTGCTGCCGCGCCGCCGGAGCACGATTTCTGTTCTCATCCTGAAGCAAAGTTTTTAACCTGAAGCACTATTTCTGGGTTAGCGGAGTCTGTAACCTGAAGCATATGTTACCTGAATCGTATGTAACCCGAGGTACCACTGTATACGCTTCAGGTTACAGACTCCGCTAACCCATAAATATTACCTCGGGTTAAGAACTTTGCTTCAGGATGAGAACAGAAATCGCACGGTTGTGGCGTGGCAGCAGCGGGAGGGCCCATTAGCTAAAGTGGTATCTCAGGTTAAGAACAGTTTCAGGTTAAGAACAGACCTCCAGAACGAATTAAGTTCTTAACCCAAGGTACCACTGTACTGTCTTCCTCTTCTCTGGAAGGCTCAGGCTGGGCAGGAGGTCTCCACCATTCCTCCTCTGTCCAGTCCCTGATACCCTGCGGGCTTCGTGGCTGAGGGAGATTCGAACCCCGGTCTTCCAGGTCCTAGCTTGGGACTCTTCACTGCTATACCACACTGCCTCTCAAATGTGAGACATAGGGCCCGTTGCCTGCATGAAAGTGACTCCAATGCAAAACATCCCTACAACACCCCAAGGGCCGCACTCCCTTCTGGGCAACTTTCTGAGGGCCAGGGGCAAAGGTGGGCGGTACAACAAATATAATTTTTTACCTTTATGCAGTGGGATGGCTTCCCCACGCACCCTCCTTGGTCCTCCCATCCAGAGAGGCAAGACCAGGCATAGGCAAACTCGGCCCTCCAGATGTTTTGGGACTACAACTCCCATTATCCCTGACCACTGGTACTGTTAGCTGGGGGTGATGGGAGTTGTAGTCCCAAAACATCTGGGCAAGAGGCATGGCCAGAATTCAAGGCCACATATCCAGCCAGGCAGAAACACTTGGGTGTCAATCAGGGCTGGTGAGGGGTGTGGCTGGGGACTGAAGGTGTGGCCTAGGGAGAGTTCTGAGGGCCAGGTAGAGAGGGCTGGTGGGCCACATTTGAGCCTGTCTGCTCGCCTTTGTCTATACATTTAAGCACTGGCTGCCATTGCTTCTTCATTGCTTGCTTTGGGTCGAATACAGCCGAGAATAATTTCCTGCGATTTCCAGGGATGTGCTAACTTAGCTGGACTCCTCAAATCTTTCCTAACCGGCGCAATGCTAGCAATTCCCCGCGCTCCCTGCAGAGCAGCTCGTCAGTCACTTGCCGCTCCGATGGATGCTCTTCCTTGCCATTGTTGAAGCATCCAATTATCTTAATTATAGGAAAGCAAAGCAGCTGCCTACCTACCTGGGGGGTGCAAAGGACCTTCAGTGCTTTCCTCACACTTCCCACGCGACCGCAGATGTCAAAAGACTGGAACAAAAAGAGGTAGAAATTCACCGTAGGATGAGGGGGCGGTGGGGGGAAGAGGTGCTATTTATTTCTGTCTTTCAAGGAAAGCGACAGCATTTTCTCTGAAGCGCGATCAAAGCTTCGCCTGTTGAATGGCAGCCTGCTGGGAGGCTGATAAAAACAACACTGGCAACTGAACCTGCACTCTAGCACAGTGTGAATGGGCGCTGACGTCCTCGCAAAGGAACACAGAATGCTGCTTTATCTCAGATCAGGCTACTTGTCTTATCTAGCCCAGTGTTTCCTACTCGGGCTGGCAGCAGCTGTCCAGGGTCTCGAGCAGAAAATGGTTTTTCTCATGATTTGCTGGGATTTTAAAAAATAAATAAAAAAATATAATACTACATTTATATCCCACTTTTCCTGCAAGGAGCTCAAAGCGGAGCAGCTGGTTCTCCTTCCTCCTCATTTAATCCCCACAACAAGCTTGTGAGGTAGGTTAGACTGTAAGTGACTGTCAGGGAACTGCCATCGGACGGAAGGGAGGTGAAAGGGCTCACACAGGTTGGGAGAGACTCAGCAGCTGAAGAGGGAACCAGCAGGGAGGTGAAAGGGCTCACACAGGTTGGGAGAGACTCAGCAGCTGAAGAGGGAACCAGCAGGGGAGAGAAAGATGAGCTGGAGGGATGGCTCAGAGACACTTCCAGCGAAAACAGTGGGGAGGTTTCAGGACCTCCTGTAAGAACACCCACTCCTCGCCGGAAACTGTCACGCAGAGAGTCCAGAAGACGTGTTTCCGTTAAGGAGCTTTTATGTTGGAAGCGATTACGAAAGCAACCACTGTCGGAATCTGCTAGTGACTAGAGGAGCCATGTCTGAGGGGCTCCGTCACAGACAGAGGTTTGTGGACTTGAACAAACTCTGAGGGGATACGATTTTACGCACAAGCAGCTCATCATCCCATCACAGCATTCCGACAGTCTTTGAAAGCAGCTTGTGCAGGAGAAGGCATCATGAGCAACCCAGCCGGAACCGGAGAAGCAGGAGCTGGAGCGGGTCCAAGCCTGGAAGAAAGGTACCGGGTGTTGGAGGTCCAGCTAGCGATGCAGACGGCGAGGCTTGAGGAGAGGAGGGCTCAGGATGCAGACAAAAGGGAAAGCCACCCAGCTCGCCAGAAAGGTACCAGGATTGGTGCAGAAGTTTGGGGGGGAGCCCAAAGACTATCATGGCTTTCGGACAGAGATGCAATATGCCCTCAATCTGCAGTTTGATGAATTCCCTGACGAGGAATCACGAGTGGCTTTCGTGATTGAGCATCTTGAAAAGGGGGCGAGAGACTGGGTTAGACCCCTGATGGCAGCGAATAGTGACGTCCTAAAGGACACGATGAAGTTCTTTCGCGCCATGGATCTGATGTTTTCCAGCGATATTGAACAGGGAGTGGTGCGCAGACAGTTAATGGCTTGCAAACAGGGAGCCGATCTGTCCGTGAGTACTGGACTGAGTTCACCATGCTGGTTCACAGATTGGGGTGGGACTTATCGGCGGAACCCATTCAAATGCTCTTTGAAGAAGGGCTTTCTTCGGCTGTGAAAGACGAACTTTCCCGGGCGCCCAGGGCGGAGTCTATGGACCAGCTGACCAAATCAGCGCTGACCATAGGAGCGCGCCAGGAGGCGAGAGCATTGGAGAGGCGGGAAGGGAAAGGGGAACGTTGGAAGGAGTTCCGCATTCCAGACATTCCAGAGCCAACTTTCCCGCCGGCAGAGCCGATGGAAATCGGAACAGCGCGCGCGCGCACAGTTTCAAAGCCCAGTGAGGGGGGAAAGAAGGAGGGAAAAGGCGCCCGGAAATGCTATCTCTGCCAACAGCCAGGTCACTTTGCCAGAGTCTGCCCCCAGAGGAAGGAATGGCAAGGGATGGTAGGAGCTGTGGATGGAAGAGAGGAAGAAATACCGGAGCAAGTAAAGCCAACGCCTGGCTGCCACTGTCGGGGCACAGCAGCCAGGCCAAAGAGCAGTGAGAGTGCCCACGCCAGAACCTCCTAAACCCGCCCTAGTGATAGAAGTGACGCTAGAGCTGCCAAACGGACACCCTCTAAAGATAAAGGCGCTGTTGGACTCAGGCAGCTCCTGCAATTTCATGAGCAAAGAGTTTGCAGCTGAACACCAGATACAGACGATCCCTTTAAGCAACCCCTGCAGGTGACCACGATCGATGGCAGGGAGCTGTTGGGAGGAGAAGTCAGCTTGCAGACCGTCCCAATGATAATGAAGGTAGCAAGGCACACCGAACTGATAGCTTTTAATGTGGCCACCTTGGGAGGAGCTCCCATTATATTGGGGATGAGCTGGCTAGCGTTACATGATCCGCTGGTGGGCTGGCATCAGAGAGTGGTTTCTTTTGGTTCAGCACATTGCTTAGAACACTGCAAAGAGGGAAAGGGTTTGGCAGGGGCCCAAGCCACCCTAGCAGGGACTGAAGTAACGGAGAACGTGAAGGTACCACGACAATATGCAGATCTCCGTGACGTCTTCAGCGAAAGGGAAGCTGACCAACTACCCCGCATAGACCCTTTGACTGTCAAATCAATTTACTCCCTGGAGCACAGCTCCCTGTAGGCAAGCTGTACGCCATGTCAGACAGAGAGATGCAGGAGCTAAGAGAGTTCATTGACAAGAACCTGAAGAGAGGGTTCATCAGAGAGTCCAGGGCGGTGGGGGCAGCCCAGTGTTTTTGTGGATAAAAAAACACGAACAAGCCGAGGCTGGTGTGTGACTTCAGGGCCTTAAATGCAGTGTCAGAACCAGTGGCCTTCCCTATGCCCAGGATTGACGACATTTTGACAAGGGTGCGGAAGGGAAAGATTTTCACAAAGCTGGACCTAAGGGGGGCGTACAACCTGGTACGAATAAGGAAGGGGGATGAATGGAAAACCACTATGTTCACCCCTTTAGGGGCATTTGAATATTTGGTTATGCCCTTCGGCCTACAAGCAGGCTCCGCAACATTTCAATCGTTTATGAACCACGTCCTGGGGCCTTTGCTTTACAAGAATTGTGTGGCCAGACGACGTGTTGGTGTATTCTGAGAATGAGGAGCAGCATGTGAGAGACGTCAGAGAAGTGTTGAGCAGGCTGCAAGCCAACCAGCTGTGGGTGAAACTGGAGAAGTGTCAGTTTCATACCAAGGAGGTGGAATTCCTGGGGTATCGCCTGTCAGACAAGGGATTGGCCATGGATCCCGGCAAGGTCCAGGCGGTGCTGGAATGGAAAACACCCAAAACAAGGAAGGATGTGCAGAGGTTCCTAGGATTTGGGAACTTCTATCGTAAGTTCATCCGAAACTTTGCCCACCTGACGGCGCCCATTACGGACTGTCTCAGCAGTAAGAAGAAGTTCGTTTGGACTGAGGAGGCGGAGCGAGCATTTGAGGAACTAAAAGGGGCCTTCGCCTCGGAACAACAACTCCTGCATGTGGATTTACAAAAACCGATGAGAGTGGAAACTGACGCATCAGACAGAGCGATTGGGGCGGTGCTTCTGCAGCCAGGGAAGAAGGAGTCAGAGTGGAGACCGTGTGCCTTTTTTCGCGAAAGCTGAACAAATCCGAGAGGAACTACACGGTGTATGACCGAGAACTACTAGCCATTCATGAGGCGTTCCGGAGATGGAGGCACCTGCTAATTGGCGCACAACATAAGGTGCAAGTGTGCACTGACCACAAGAACCTAGAGTATTGGAGGACGGCACGAGTGCTCAACCAACGGCAAGTGAGATGGGCCCAGGAGTTCTCCAAATTTAACTTTGAGATTTGTTACGTGCCAGGCCCAGAGAACATTAGGGCGGACGCTCTCTCACGCAAACCTGAATATTTGGAGGGGAGGAGCACCCGAAGAGAGACATGTCATTCCAGAGGACCGCTGGGTGTGTGGGGCGGCATTGGTGGGACAAAGAGAACTGGTAGAGGAAACAGAGAATGATGAATACGCCCAGAATAAGCTCAGAGGTCTTAGGGGTGAGGGAGAGGAACCAGGGGTTTCGAGGAAAGAAATGGAGCTTTGTATTACAAAGGGGCACTGTATATCCCTGAAGGAGACTTAAGGGGAGGGTACTCAAGCAGTTGCACGACAGCCCTACGGCGGGGCATTTTGGACAACACAAAACCATGTGGTTGGTCACCAGGGAATTTTGGTGGCCTAAGGTGAGGGAAGATGTACGTGAGTATGTAAGAGGGTGCGAGCAATGCCAGCGAGCCAAAGGGAAAGGCGGGCGCCGGCGGGGCTATTAGAACCCTTACCAACCCCAGAACGACCTTGGGAGGCAGTGTCGATAGATTTTATGACTGATCTGCCGAAGTCCAAAGGGAAAACAGCCATCATGGTGGTGGTAGACCTACTAACAAAGATGTGCCACTTTGTAGCTTGCTCGCATGCAGTCACGGCGGAAGAGACAGCGAAGTTATTTGTAGAACACATTTTTAGGTTGCACGGGGTGCCATTGAGGGTGGTCTCAGACCGAGGAAAACAATTTACTTCCAGGTTCTGGAGGAAGCTCATGAGCTTACTGCAGGTGGAGGTCAATTTTTCGACTGCCCGGCACCCTGAAACCAACGGGCAGGCGGAAAGAGCAAACGGTGTCCTCCAGCAATACCTGAGGTGTTATGTCAATGACAGAGAGAATGACTGGGTAGAAAAGTTGGCGCTGGCGGAATTTGCCTACAACAATGCCGAGAATGTGTCCACAGGGATGAGCCCCTTCTTGGCTAATTATGGGTGTCATCCCAGGGCTTTCCCAGGGGAAGATGGGGAGAGATGGAGCGTCCCGGCAGCCGAGCATTTTGTGGAAGAAATGGAAGCAATCCATCGTCAGCTCCAACTCAACTTAGAAAGGGCGAAGGAAGAATACAAGAGGCAGGCAGACAAGAACCGAAGGGAAGGTGAAACCATAAGGGTGGGAGATAGGGTGTGGCTGTCAACCCAAGGGTTGCCGTTCAAAGGAGGTTGTAAGAAATTAAGACCCAGGAGGTTGGGTCCCTTTGAGGTCATTCAACAGGTCAACCCAGTGGCTTTCAGGCTCCGGTTACCCAACCACATGAAACTGCACCCAGTATTTCACAGGTCGTTACTGTCACCGTACGAAGGGGGACGAGAAGGGATGGCCACTCGGGGACCGGTCATAGAAGAAAGAGAATGCAGCAGCCATGTGGCAGAAATCCTCGACGCCAGGTGGAAGGGGGATCAGGTGGAGTATTTGGTAGCGTGGGAAGGAGAACCGGAGTCAGAAAACACTTGGGTAATGGCCGAAGATATCAATGACGAGGTATTGATAGAAACGTTCCATCAAAGGTTCCCAAGGAAACCTCAGCCTGTGGAGAGGTTCCGGAGGGAATACTTTGGGACCACTGATGAGGGGAGGAGTTGGAAGGATTCCCGGACTCGGAAGGGGAAGGGGAGATGGACTCTGAGGAGGAGGAGTACTTCGAGACCAGGAACCGCAACAGGTGGAGAGAAGTGTTCGAGACATCGGAAGATGAAGGAAGTTCATTCCGGGGTTTTGCCTCCTCACCGCCCGTAGAGGAGGGGGCGAGAGGGGGTGAAGGGGGCCCTGGAGGGGAGGTGGATGTCAGGGAACTGCCATCGGACGGAAGGGAGGTGAAAGGGCTCACACAGGTTGGGAGAGACTCAGCAGCTGAAGAGGGAACCAGCAGGGAGGTGAAAGGGCTCACACAGGTTGGGAGAGACTCAGCAGCTGAAGAGGGAACCAGCAGGGGGAGAGAAAGTGAGCTGGAGGGATGGCTCAGAGACACTTCCAGCGAAAACAGTGGGGAGGTTTCAGGACCTCCTGTAAGAACACCCACTCCTCGCCGGAAACTGTCACGCAGAGAGTCCAGAAGACGTGTTTCCGTTAAGGAGCTTTTATGTTGGAAGCGATTACGAAAGCAACCACTGTCGGAATCTGCTAGTGACTAGAGGAGCCATGTCTGAGGGGCTCCGTCACAGACAGAGGTTTGTGGACTTGAACAAACTCTGAGGGGATACGATTTTACGCACAAGCAGCTCATCATCCCATCACAGTGACCTAAAGCTTTCCCCACCCCTGACCCTCAGGCCGGCCACTTACTTTGCAGAGGCTGTACAAGATCAGGAGAATCCCCCCGAGGAAATAGCTGCTGGACGGGTCGTCCCCCATGATGTATTTATACCACAGCTGGATGGGGACCAGGGAGCGAAACAGCTGGCTCAGCTCCTCAATGACCAGGTAGAACTTGCCCTGTAGGAGAGAGGGAAACTCAGGTAAGGCCGCTTCCAGGCTATCACCTGGAACCATAGAACTAGCAAATCCAGGTTGCCCAGTTTATTTATTCCTTTATTACACCCAGCTGTTCAAATGCACCCCTCTGCAGCAACCTGGACTGAACTATAAACAGGTTTGCCGCTTCATCTGAGGTTTCAAAGGACCAGGTTTAAAGCATATCATAATAAGGAAAGAAAGAGCTTTTGAACGGGTGTTTCCTGTATGTAAAACTTGCTAGGAGTTCATTTGAAGTTCTGATTTTGTTTATTTAAAGCAGGGTTCCCCAAACTTGTGTCTCCAGCTGTTTGGGGACTACATCTCCTATCATCCCTAGCTAGCACGACTAGTGGGAATTGTAGTTCAAAAACAGCAGGAGACCCAAGTTTGGGAAACCCTGATTTAAAGGATTTGTCCCCTGCTCTTCAGCCCCAAAGGCTCCCCTGGTGGCTTACGTATGATCTGTTACAACCAGACAGTCCCTGCCCCCGCAGTCTTACAATGTAAAAGTAAAAAATGACACACAAGGCAAAAGGAACAAGGAGGGAAGAAGAAAACACCAATCAAAACTCAGGCACCCGTTTCTTAAACTGTCGTTCCTGTATTGACCAGCTAGCACATTTCGGGGTGGGGTGGGGCGCTGGATGATACCTGTCTTTCGGCAAAGCTAACAAAATGTGCCTTCTGCTTTTCTGTCCCCCTCCCCTCCCGGGCCGCTAATTTTGTTTTCTGTGCCAGACACTCTACAATACGACATACATTTATCAGTAATTCCATGGCTATGGTTTTCTATTTTCTTTTGACTGGGATTGTTTCCTACATTCGTATGAAGTTTCTTTCTGAGCATCGGTCCCTGAGTGTTGTAATAAAGAGAGTGAATGACTGCTTTGCTCGGCTCCCAGGCATAGCTGTCAATTTTTCCCTTTTCTTGCAAGGAATCCTATTCAGAATAAGGGAATTTCCCTTAAAAAAGGGAAAACGTTGACAGCTATGCTCCCAGGCCCCCTCACCCACTCGCAGGAGCTCAGCAGCCTGGCAGACGGCACTCGGGCCCTTTTGAAAACCCAGGACCAGGATCTTTTCCCGTGCATCTGTCCCGACGCGCTCGGCTTTAACAGAGCAAACCGCTGTGGGACCTGCAAAGCAATTTAGATCAGTGTTTACCTCCTGGCTGGCTGCCCTCCTGGGAAGAGGAAGGCGGCTCAAAAATACAGTCGTCATATCTTCCAGTCCCAGGGGGTGCTGTGCCTCTCGCCTTTGTCCCAGCCTTCTCCTACCTCTACGGCCCTTCAGATGTTTGAGGAGAAGGTGCCCAGTCTGCTCAAGTTGTGGACAGGGCTCAAATCAACTAAAATGTCCAGGGCAGCTGTTTACCAGCTCCATCTGGTACGCAGGCTGAGACCCTACCTGCTTGCGGACTGTCTCGCCAGAGTGGTGCATGCTCTAGTTATCTCTTGTTTGGATTACTGCAATGCACTCTACGTGGGGCTACCTTTGAAGGTGACCCGGAAACTACAACTAATCCAGAATGCAGCAGATAGACTGGTGACTGGGAGCGGCCGCCGAGACCACTTAACACCAGTCTTGAAAGATCTACATTGGCTCCCTGTACGTTTCTGAGCACAATTCTAAGTGTTGGTGCTGACCTTTAAAGCCCTAAATGGCCTCGGTCCAGTATACTTGAAGGAGCGTCTCCACCCCCATCGTTCTGCCTGGACACTGAGGTCCAGTGCCAAGGGCCTTCTGGCGGTTCCCTCACTGTGAAAAGCCAAGTTAGAGGGAACCAGGCAGAGGGCCTTCTCGGTGGTGGCACCCACCCTGTGGAACCCCCTCCCACCAGATGTCAAAGAGAAGAACAACTACCAAACTTTTAGAAGACATCTGAAGGCAGCTCTCTTTAGGGAAGCTTTTAATGTTTAACAGACCACTGTATTTTAATACTTTGTTGGAAGTCGCCCAGAGTGGCTGGGGAAACCCAGCCAGATGAACGGGGTATAAAATGTTGTTGTTGTTGTTGTTGTTGTTATATCCCACTGGGCAGCTGTCAAAAGCTCAGGAGGAGGCTGCCTTATACTGTCAGGCCACCTGCAGCTCAGCGACACTGCCTGGCTGCGGTTCTCTCTCCCAGACCTACTTGGGGATGTCAGGAATCGAACCTGTGACCTTCTGTGTGCAAAGCAGATGCCCTAACCCCTGAGCTACAACCCTTCTCTTAAGAACATCAGAATGTGCCTTATCAGGTCATTGGTCCATCTAGTTCAGCCTTGTCCATATTGGCTGCTAGCTATTTTTCCGGGGGTTTCCAGGCAGATCCTGGGACCTTCTGTGGGCAAAACAGGTGATGGATATTATTCAGAACCATGAGGACTAGAACATTTATTGGGGGGGCACATCTGAGCATTAGAGCATCCGCTTTGCATGGGGAAAGTCCAGGTTCAACCCCCCAAGACAGGGCTGGAAAAAGATCCTGTCCGAAATCCTGCAGAGCTGCTGCCAGTCAGAGTTGGCAGCACCAAGAAAGATAGACCGATGGCCTGACCAGTGAGCTCCCTATGTCATCATTGTATTATTGCAGTAGCCAAAGGCCATGGCATCTTCCGAAAACATTGACAATCACTAAATAGACAATAAAACCACGGTCAAATCTGCTAAAATTATGTAGGATAAGAGGCAATTCTCATACAGAATACACAAACTAAATATCTTAAGTCCCCCAGTGCTTGAATTTATATACTGGGGGAGTTATTCGCACTGCTGCTTTTGTAGACTTGAGAAACATTTAAAAGAAAAGAGGTAACTCGTGTTTACACGGCCGATTTCCATCCATTCTCCAATACTGGCTCCTTGCTGCCAGTGAAAACCAGGGGGATTAAGCCCATTAGGGTCCTGGAGGAGAACAGCAGGCTCAGCCCCCTCCCTCCCTCCCCCCCCGGGGGTCCCCCAGGATGAGATCACCCGGCAAAGCTGTCCTCCTCGCTCTCTCCCTCTCTCGCTGAGCAAATCGAAGGGCTTTGGAGAGCTTCGGCATTTCAGATGATCTCATATCCCCCGGGAAAGTGAGTGAGGTCACGCCAGCCGCTTACTCAAGGACCCGGCCGCCCCCCGCCTCCGCCTCCCGAGGGGCCCATCGCGCGGAGCAAATCTGTAATGGCAACAGCCTGAGATCCCAAGCGCAGGCCATTTAGTAGATTAGAAGGGAGGCTCTGGAGCAAAGCGTTCGGCTCCTCGCAGGGGGTAGCCGCTTGCTAATGAGGAGGCTGTCAGCGGCGTTTGGCAAGGCAGGAGTCCTCTCGGCTCCCTTCCCCTCTGTTGTAGGTGCAAAGTGAGGAAGGACTCGCAGGTCTTTTGGGGTTACTTTTGCCTTTAGGCCTAGTCCAGCCAGCTCACCAGGTAATGGCATACCCTCCAACATTTCTCCGATGAAAATAGGGATGTAGAGGGACGCGGGTGGCGCTGCGGGTTAAACCGCAGAGCCTAGGACTTGCCGATCAGAAGGTCGGTGGTTCGAATCCCTGTGACGGGGTGAGCTCCCATTGCTTGGTTCCTGCTCCTGCCAACCTAGCAGTTCGAAAGCACGTCAAAGTGCAAGTAGATAAATAGGTACCGCTCCGGCAGGAAGGTAAACAGCGTTTCCGTGCACTGCTCTGGTTTTGCCAGAAGCGGCTTAGTCATGCTGGCCACATGACCTGGAAGCTGTATGCCCGCTCCCTCGGCCAATAAAGCAAGATGAGCGCCGCAATCCCAGAGTCGGTCACGACTGGACGGGAGCTCAACCCGTCGCGGGGATTCGAACCACCGACCTTCTGATCGGCAAGTCCTAGGCTCTGTGGTTTAACCCACAGCGCCACAGAAACCGGGATGGCTTCTGTAAATCCAGGACTGTCCCTGGAATATAGGGACACTTGGAGGGTCTGTAATGGTACAGACTCCCGTCCAGGGTGACCCACTCACAAGGGAAGTTAAGGCGACCGCATCAGGCAGCAAGATCTGGAGGGGCAGCCAATCCCGATGTAGATCTTTATCCCCCCCCCCTTGTTCCTTATGTAGCTCTTCACTCATTCCCCTTCTTTCCTGGCGGGTGGGGGAGCCATTTTGTGGTTTGCCTCAGGTGTCCAAATATCTTGGGGCAGCCCTGCCTCCCCACCCCCACCCCAGGCAGTTAAATGCTGCCCAGAGGACATAGGTGTACAAACTGGATTTGGAAAGCTTGGGTCCTAATTCTGAGGTAGCCATAGACTGATATAGGCCATCTGTTCGAAAAACTGATATAGAAACACAGGAAACTGCCTTACAAGTCTTCAGTCCATCTAGCGCAGTATTGTCTACACTGACTGGCAGCAGCTCTCTAGAGTTTCAGAACACAACACTCCCAGCCCTACCAGGAATTGCCGGGAATAGAACCCAAGACCTTCCGCATGCCAGGCAGATGCTTTGCCACTGAGTTACAACCCTTCGCCAATGTTCTGTCTGATCCGAAGGAAATTCAAGTCCACAGCAATGCCATCTGCAGCACGTGAAAATCCTAAGAGCAGGCTTGCTAACTCTACAGAATAGGCATTTTTGTGAATATGTGTATAAGACAGAGATCCACAGGCATGTGTGTGAGTAGATCAATCAACGACAGGCTCGCCCCCTCTCCATTAAATCTTCTGCCCGAACAGGTTTTTCAGGTGAGAAAATATTCCATCCTTTATTACTGGAACGTATTTATAGGATCACACACACACACACCCCGGGATTGGGAGATGATGGACCTGTATCGGTTGAGAAGTACGCACAATCCCGCTGATCAATTCACATTTTCTACCAGTGTTTGCAAACAAAGCATACAGGCCAGGCATTTTTCCAAACCAGAGTGGCAGCATCAAGGCAGGACTCTGGAGGCAGCTGTTGGGGGTGGGCGCTCAGCAGAATGAGCAGTAGAGTCTCAAAATCTAAGGTGACTGCCTTTCCTTCGCAAGCTACTGTCTGAAGACAGGGCCCCACTAACATAATTAGGTCTAGAGGTGTGGGACTCCAAACTTGGGGTATGAATGTGGCCCCTCAGGACACTCTACCTGGCCCTCAGGGCTTTCCCTAGGCCACACTCCTTCTCATCAGCCCTGCTTCACACTCTCCCTGAGTCTTTGAGCTCTTCCCAGGCCCTCTGCTTATCCTGATGGATCGAGAGGGGTGCGCAAGCGTGTGTGGAACTGCTGCCCAAAGGTCAAAACTCACAAGCGGTGCTCCGCCCACTCTGGCCTCTGGCTCCGCCTACCACTGGGATGGGGGTGCCCCAAAGGAACTGCAGTTCGCTCCCAGTGGAGAGAGTCTTAGAAAGCACAACCAGTGAAGCACAATGGATGTATCATCATCATCATCATCATCATTTCAATTTATATACTACTCTTTATCAGAAGATCCCAGGGTGGTATACAACATTAAGAAACACATTAGACAGGGTTGCCATATTTCAAAAAGTGAAAATCCAGACACTAAGGGGGTTTTCTGGGGTGGGGGCAAAGTTGTTGAGCTTTTTCTTTTCTTTTTTTAAGGGTGGGAGCAAAATCTCCCCCCAAAATGAAGCTTTTCAGCTATTTTTAAGGAAAATCACCAAAAAACCCCAACACTTCCGACATGGGTTGTCACATGCACAGGTTTCCCTAAACATTTTTTGCCGATTTTCTTATATTCCGCCCGGATGCTATTTCCGACGGATGAATCCCAGATATGCCCAGGAAATCTCAGACATATGGCAGCTGTACATTACAGAACATCAATGATAAAAACATAACAAAAAGCATACTGACAGCCTAATAATAAAATATCATAATAACAGTCCTCTTCCCCACACTATGACAAACCATAGATTATTTAATAGCGATAGGCGGCGGTAAAGAGGAATTGTTTTTGCCTGGTGCCTAAAGTCATGTAATGATGGTGCCAGGTGAGCCTCTCTAGGGAGAGCATTCCATAATCAGGGAGCCACCACAAAAAAGGCCTGTTCCCTTGTTGCCATACTCCGAAGCTCTCTGGGATGGGGAAAGAGAGAAGGGCCTCTGATGACAAGCACAGGGTCCGGGTTGGTGCGTATGGGGAAAGGCGATCCTTAAGGTACTGAAGGTCCCAGTCTCCACTGAGTGGTGGCATGCAAAGGAACTTTGTGTGAGAACAACCGTTCCCTCCCTCCCTCCCTGGCGCACCTTTCAGAAACCGCCGTTATCCCTAACCTGAAAAGCCCAACGGATACCAGAGACACAGCGCTGGAGCGCTTTGAAACAGCTGCGGCCCTCTCTTCTCTCAAGAGAGCCTTGGCTACACCTCTCCCGAACGCCCTCCATTAAAAACAACACAACAAGCAGATACCATTTGGGTTCAATAGAAAACGAATTAAAGTAAATTAAAACGGCCAGAGCCATGTGGCTCCTCGAGGCGCCTATTGTTGTCCGGGCAGCAAATGGCAGGTTCTCATTTACACTGCTAAGGAGCGACAGCTTGAGGGGTATGGGTGATTATTATTTTTTAAGGCAAGCAACAGAAATACTCGTGATGGAAATTTGGGAAATGCCAGACGCCTCCTCTTCCTCCTGGTGCATGCCAGTCTCTGAATGTGAAGGGGGGGGAAACAGATAGAGAAAAAGTTTTCCTCCCTCTCTCCTAACGCTAGAACTCCTGGTTGTCCAACGAAGCTGAATTTTGGGAGATCTGGGACAGGTAAAATGGAAGCACTTCTTTGTGCAGCAGTACAGAGTTAAACTAAAGAACTCGGCAGTGATGGCCACCAATTTGGAGGTGTTTTTTTAAAAAAAGATTAGGCAAATTTTGGAGGTGCATGAGGTCATGGCTACCAGCAGTGGCAAACCTACATTTTTGGGACCCTGAAGCCTGAACAGTTAAGGCTTCACAACCAGCAAGGAGGCCTCATCTTCTTTAATGGGGTAGTTCCACAACAGATCACCACATACATACATACATACAATCAGATTTTTACTAAAGATGCTGTACTGGATTATCTCACATGTCAAAGTCACTGGCATAAATAAAAAATTCCTATGCCTTTTTCAACCATGGGCTGGTCCACCATCCCTCAGACCATGTGGGGGGCCAGACTATATTTTGGAAAAAAAAATGAACGAATTCCTGTGCCTCACAAATAACCAAAAGATGTGTTTTAAATAAAAGGACACATTCTACTCATGTAAAAACATGCTGATTCCCAGACCATCCGCAGGCCGGATTGAGAAGGTGATTGGGCTGGATCCAGCCCCTGGGCCTTAGGTTGCCTACCCCTGCCTTATAGTTTTTTAGTTATGGGGGGGCAGGGTGTGTGTGAAAATTAGGGGAAATTGGAAATGTTATATACATGCATTACGCACTTTTTCAAGCAAAATTTCAAGCAACGTGGTCTAGAGTTGCTTCTGGGGCCTCTGAGGATGAAGGGCCCTCAAGATTAAGCGTCATTAGTTTAATAGTAGATGTGCCCCTGGCTACTAGCTACAATGGCTATGTTCTGCCTCCATTGTTGAAGGCAGCAACGCTTCTGAATACCAGGTGCTGGAAAACACAAGAGGGGAGAGTGTGGTCTTGTGTTCAAATCCTGATTGCATCTGACTGGCCGCTGTAAGAACAGGATGCTAGACTAGATGGGCCGTTGGCCTGATCCAGCAGGCTCACCTCATGCCCTTATGTACAAAACAGCAGATGGCTCGAGACAACACATAGGTTTTCTGTCTTCTCTCAATGACCATGAGATCTAGAAGCTTGCCTCTTTTTTCTTTTTTAAGGGATTTTAAGAACTCATACAAAGCTAAGGGTTTTAGAATGTCGAATTCCACTGAGAACACACAAGCGCAGGGCTGGTTTTAAGACACCGTCCTCAGTCTAGCGCTCTAGAGGGTCTTGTTTTCAAGGTCGGCAGGAAGAAAGACGGCAACTCGAGATGATGATCAGCGTCTCGACAAAGAGAAAAAGTATTTTCAGAATGAGGCATCTGTGCTGCGAGCCATTAGGGGGCCCCTGACAGATGCAATCTTACCAGCCTCCTGGTGCGGTTGAAAAATACAGGCACAGTCTCTTTCTTCTCTGGGACAAGGATTAATGAGGACTTGGGACGGCTCTTAGACAAGCAAGCAAAGGCTGTGAACCTCTTCCAGCTCTGCAATTTGTCTTGGGCTGACGATTTGCATCGTTTGCATGTTGGATGGGTTTTCACCACCATCACCCGCTCCCCAAGCTGGATTATGCCATGACCCAGCCCATTAATCTCCCCAAATAAAATAATAATCATAATCATTATCATCAGAGGCTTGCGGTAGGGGGAGGGTGGCGAGATTCTTGGACGACCGCCAGGGGTAAATTAATATTTTTTCTTAAGTACCCCGGCATCTAGGGACAAACCTTTCCAACCACACCTACTCACGCAAAACCCATTTAGAATTACTTTGATCCCCTGGCTTGAAATCTCAGCACCGGCTGAAGGATGATAATTGTGTGCGCTTAACACAGAGGTCCCCATCTGTCTCCCGCACAAAAGTGCTTCTGTACAAATGGGGGGGAATAAAGGTGAAACGGGGAGCAAAGGAGGAGAACGGCCAAACCATCACCCCTGTTTCTCATTTCCATTAAGAATATAAGAAGAGTCCTCCTGGATCAGACCGGTGGCCCATCTAGCCCAGCTCCCTGTTCTCACAGCGGCCAACCAGGCGCCCCAATGGGAAACCAGCAAGCAGGATCCGAGGACAAAAGCATCTCTCCATTTCCTGTGGTTTCCAGCAACTGGTATTCAGAAGCGTTGGTGCCTCTGACCTCGAAGCTGCCTTACATTGAGCCAGACCCCTTGGTCCATCTAGACCAGTGGTGTCTACACAGACTGGCAGCGACCATCCAGAGGAGACGTTCACCAGCCCTCTCTTGAGATTCCATTGGGGGTGGAACCTGGGACCTGCTGCATGAAAAGCAGCTGTTATACCACTAAGTTTGGACCCTTCCTCCCTGCAGAAAGATAGTTCTGTTCTCATGGCTCGAAACAAAAGGCTGAATTAAGTAGGTAGCTACCGGGCCAGACCATTGGTCTGCCTAGCTCATTGTGTTGGAAATTTTATTTACAACATAACATAACCCCCCACCCCCCCAATACAGAAAACCATCCTCATTAAACATGAACATAACATACAATGAGCCTAACATACAACAATACAAACAACCAAATAAAAAACTTCCTTTATCCTGTATCTGGTCTCCTTATTTACTTCTTATAAGCTGTTTCCTTTATGAATAATTATTTTCTAATTATAACTCTAATATCCACAAAGTCTCCTGCAGACATTAATCGAAACAAGTCCAGGTATGTATTTTAGGGCACTGTTTTGTGAAGTGTTCTCTGCATTTCCCCCATGCTTTTTGAAACTCTTGTCTAGTGTGATCTCTAATTGCCTCTGTTAATCTAGCCAGTTCAATATACTCTAACAGTTTGTCTTGCCATTCCTTTTTTGTTCACAGTTTCTTTTTTCCAGTTTTTAGCAATTAGGATCCTTGCCGTTCCTGTGGCACAGAAGAATATTTTCTGATCTTCTCTTGCTATACCTGTGTCCATTATCCCTAGCAGAAAAGCTTCTGCATTTTTCATAAAGTTATACTTAAACATTTTTTTAAGCTCATTGTGCTCCTTATTGAGTGGCAGTGGCTCCCCAAGGTTTCAGGCAGGGGGTCATCCAAGCCCTATGTAGAGATCATAGAATTGTAGAGTTAAAGGGACCCCAAGGGTCATCTAGACCAACCCCCTGCAATGCAGGAATCTCAACTTGGTCATCCAGGAGCTCATCTGCAGCAGCATTGCTGGTCATTCCCCAATTGGTCAGGCTCATTTGACAACAACAAGAAACTGAGCCTTAATGTTGACGTCCTAGTCTTGTGGAACACCCTGCCACTAGAGATCCAGCAGGTGCCCTCTGTTTCAACTGCATGCTGAAAGCTTTTCCATCCTGTCTGATTTACGGAGGCAATTAACAACACACCTTTGCATAATAGTTAGATGGCTTCTGAATTTAACTTTTTTGTATGGTTTCTATTGTATGGTTTCATGTACAATTGTTGCAAACTGCTCTGGTTTTTTATTTGGTTTTTAAATAGCAGAATATAAATGAACTCTTTGGATAAGTAAACTCTTTGGAAAGAAAAGGATGGGAGCCCTAGCCTGATCCATGACACCCCATGCAGAGGCAAAAAACAAAATAAAATCATCTTAAAAATAAGATCTGCATCCCAACCAGAGTGAGAACAGAACTCTCTCTCTGACTCTCTGTCTCTTTACCTTTGATTTCACGGCAAGTATGATTTTCGGCAACGCGACAACCAGACACTTCAAACCGATGGTGAGGTATTTGAGTACAAAGTCTGTGATCCCCACAATCCACATCAGATCGAAGAAATCCAGCTTCTCCAAGTTGGGTCTCAGGAAGATGAGGCTGAAACGGGCAGGACAGGAAGAGGCGAGTCTTTTATTTATTTTTTTGAACACTTTACACACCAATTCACTTAAACAGTCCACTAAGCGGTTTACAAAGATACAGCTTCCTAAACCCTGGTTTGAAATTGGCTCGTTTCAGGAAAAGCAGAGTTAAGATTAACTACAGTTTGCTGAGTTCAGATAACCCAAGAACATCAAAGCTTCTAAATTCTTTCCAGATGTTGTGGAAACAGAAGGGGGAAAGGATGAGACTGCTGGGCAGCAGGGTTCCGGGAGGAATCTAGTTTGTTCCCATCATGCTAAAACATAGGGAGGCAAACTAAGGCCTGGGGGCCGGATTCGGCCCGATCACCTTCTAAATCTGGCCTGCGGACAGTCCAGGAATCAGCGTGTTTTTACATGAGTAGAATGTGTACTTTTATTTAAAATGCATCTCTGGGTTATTTGTGGGTGTAGGAATTCGTTCATATTTTTTTTCTTCAAAATATAGTCCGGCCCCCCACAAGGCCTGAGGGACAGTGGACCGGCCCCCTACTGAAAAAGTTTGCTGACCCCTGTGCTAAAACATAGCTTTATCATGACGTTCAAGCAAAGTCACTGTAAAAGGCAATAGAAAGCAAAGCAGGAACTAACATATTTATCGCACAATTCTTGAGAAGAGAGATTTTCCAAAAGGCAGAGGAAAAATGAAATAGCAGCCTGAAATCAATATAGACGGCACACTATAGAAGAGGAAATAAATGCAAAAAGACCTTATGCTTGCAATCCTAGATCAATCTATCTAGACTCAAGCCCTGTTGAACTTGATGGGACTTACTTCTGAGTATACATGTGTCTGATTGGTATGGCAGGAGTTGATCAGTAAGTTTTTTGATTCAAAGGAAAAGAATAAAAGGGGTGGACATGGATGGAAAAATTCATATTTTTCTAGAGAAAGTTGTTGATAATGTCTTTATCACTTACAACTATAGCAACGGCTATTTGTATTTTTAAGCATGCAATACTTTTGTTGTAATACTGTTGTGAATTTGTCTTTTTTAAAAAAATAATGAATCAAGGAACATTATTCTCAATGGAAAAGACAGCGACTGAAATCTAGCAACAGGTGGTTTTTTTATTAAGTTTTTCTTTGTTTACAAAAGTACGAGCATTGTCTCTTTTCTCGTGTTGTAACGCCTTTTCTATATATCAGCTACATACGTTATGAGACATTGGTGTTACTTTGAGAGTCTATTGTTCTGCAGAGTGTGGTCTGTGAATCTAGCTAGAGAGGGGAATTCTCCCCGTTGTAATCACACAGAAAGAGAGATTTGTAGAGTAAGAAAACAGCAAAAATTTTCTTGCAGGAAGTACATAATTTGGATAGAAAATTTTAAAAGTCCAACAGCCTATATTCCCACGCTTTACTTTGCTGCGTATTTTGTGGTTTTAAATCTCTGCTGGGCTTCTCACACTAAAAGGGTACTTGCTCCAAAACTGGACCTTGGCATCCAGGGAATTCTCATTTGATACTTTTTTTTTCTCCCTTGCCAACACACAATCTGGAGGTCCTTTGCTCTAGCTGCTTTAATCCCAGGCAAACCCCTTTCTGCAAGCAGAGTTGCACCCACACTTCTGAAAGCAACAGAACACTCTGAAGCCTCATTCCTATCACATTCCCAGGATGGTTAAGCTCTGGCTTTGCTTCTTAATTAGGCAGCGACTGCGGGATATGATTTCATGCTGGGTGGGAACATCAACGGGCTTGTTTGCGAAGTAAATAAACGAATGGATGGGGATAAACAGAAATCAAAATACTCACAATATGGGCACATCACAATGGAAATTAAACCCTAAAAACAAAAAACAATCGAAAATGAGAGACCTCCCAAAATGAAAACCCAGCAACACAGAGATGGGAATGAAAGAAATTGATTTTTAAAAAGCAAACAGGCAGACACACACACAACTGAATCCACAAATAAATTAGATCGGGGAAACGGAAAGAAAAACAAAAACAAAATAGCAAATCTGAGCAAAGAGAAAGTCAACCAAAGATCCAGGCTGATGTCTGTGCTTTCTAAGTTTATCAGGTGAAGATAAACCACCCTTCCTACCCAAAAGGCACCCCCCCCCCGATTTCCATTTGATACCAAACATCACTCAGCTTTGCAAAACATACCTGTGGATTCTCATCCAGGGCCCAGAATATCCAGATTTAAGAGATGGCCTTATTTTAGATCACACAGCCCAGTGCTATGATTTGCACATTGTAACCCATCTACACCAGCAGCCTCACACCGCTTTAAACAGCCATCGCTTCCCTCCAAAGAATCATGGGAACTGTAGTTTGTTCGGGGTGCTGAGCTGTTAGGAAGACACTCCCTCCAAATCTCTTCAGAGAGCTACAATTCCAGGAGTGGTTTAATAGTCAGTCCCCTTTCCCAGAGAATTCTGGGAATTGTAGCTCTGTGAGGAATATGGCGGTGGGGGTGAGGCGTCTCCTAGCAACTCTCAGCACCCTAAACAAACTTCCTTGGGAAGAAGGATCGGTTGTTAAAGCACCCCGGAAATTGTAGTTCTATGAAGGGAAAATAGAGAAGGGAGAAAAACTCTCAGCACCCTGAACAACTATAGTCACTGTAGACAATGCTGAGCTGAGATGCAGGCCTTTTTTGCGGCAGTAATCACACACCTCTTGTTTTGTCGCTCATGGCAGCCATTTTGTGCTGGCACCCACATTTTCATCAATATGTGAGCACGGGGACACCTTTTATTTTTTACTAAAAAAGGAAGGAAGGAATGAAGGAAGGAAGAAAGGAAGAAAGGAAGGAAACACTGGCTAGATGAATCAGTGGTCTGACTCGGTGCAAGGCAACTTCCAATGTTTCAGACGCTGGAGAACTCCAACTCCCACCAAGGCCAATGGTCACAGATAATGGGAGTTGTAGTCCAGCAGCTCCTGGAGAGATGCAGGTTCTCACACCCTTGTTTATCTGGCTGTGAGCTTTCTCCAAGTCCCTTCCAGTCACACACAAGCAAAAAAAAAAAGTGTTTCTCCCCCTTTCATTCAATCCCTCCTTGCTCTTCTGATGAGTGGCTGGCTACCTGTTTTTCTCAAGGATCCAAGCCGTTTTGCTTACCTGTTGTATAACTGCTGGGAGCTGAAAGTATACAGCAAGTACAGGGTGTTCCCTGTGAGGAAGGCCAGGATCCAGAACACCACCAGCACAGACCGCTTTTCCTGAGGAAAACAACAACAACAAAAAGCCCAATGTGTAATCCCAGAGACTCCAAAGATAATTCTCTGCCACCATTAAGACTAGCAACTTGCTGTATGAAAAAAAGAACTCCAAGACTGCTGAACCTACTTGTCCCTGTCTCTGCTTTCATTGCCTGTGGTGAATTTAGTCCCTGGGGAAGGAATGGGTCCTCTCCAGTTCTAAGGAAGTTCATAATGTAAAACAAAACAAAACCCCACACTTTTTTTGTTATGTAATCACAGAAAAATAAGCAGCAAAGTTCAGCTGATCTTGACATTGCCTTTCCATGGAGGATGTTCCTATTGGTTTGAAACCTATCTTAGGAAAGGAACTCCTCTTAGCCCCTGGGTTTCATTATGCCAGGAGTCCAGAGATCTCCCTTCAGACCCTTCCACCCCACTGCCAACTGCCAACCACTGTCCAGAGGCACCCTTTGGGCATCCCTGTTCCGCAACTCACCTTCAGGGACACCTGTTCTCGGAGAGTCGAGTTTGCATATGCGAACGTGCTTGCCATGCCGATGCACAGAGCAATTCCTACAGAGAGAAAGAGAAACACTACCTGTACATCTACCACAGGGGTCACCAGCCTAAGGCCCATGGGCTGGAAGCGGCCTGCAGAGGCCGTTTGACCGACCCATGAGCTGCCCCAAACCAAGCCACCTTCCCACTGTGCTGAACTGGTGCGGCAACTCGCTTCCACGGCACCTGAAACCGCGTCTGCGCAGACGCAGAAAAACGCTGTCGCATGCGCAATCCAGCCCACACAGGGCTCTCCGCGGGACCAATCTGGCTCAGGAAAGATAAACCTTGCTGACCTCTGATCTAGCACAACAAACAGCAGCCATGTCATCCTGCGCTCCTACACGAGGGAAGCAACCAACCCCATCCAAATCCTCGGTCACCATTCTGAGAGCAGGAGTGTGGATGGGAATCAGAACCGTAGCTACAGCGGGGGGGGGGGGAGCTAGCCGGGGGGGGGGGTTGCCCCAGGTGAAGCCTCCAGAGAGACGCCATTGAGGCTCCCAGCCCCCCTCTCTCTCTCTCTCTCTCTCTCTCTCTCTCTCTCTCTCTGTGTGTGTGTGAAAATACATGGGAGGTTGGGGTGTGTGCCCAACTGGGTCTTTGACCTGGGTGAAATAAAGCCTAGTTTTGCCCCTGGATGGAATATTTCTTCTGATGCATTCAGTGACACAGTGGTCCGGGATTGCAGGGGGTCAAAGACACCATTACTATCTCTCCAGTAGGGTCCTTGTCTCCAGGGGCCTACAGCTGTCCAATCAGAATGAAAGTAGCTTTTAATCCACTGAAATTAAGTCTTTTCACCCTCTGTGCTGTTTCAAGGGGATGGTGAGCAAGTTCTGTTACATATATAATGGACCTTCAAGGAAAACACAACTGAAGTCACTCCGAAAGAAGACATCGGAGCACTCCAAACTACTTGCCCGTGTGCATACACAGGAAATATCAGACCTCGCTGAAAGGTGAACCCTTGAGATTATTGCATGATTCTAAGATTATTGTATTTTGATTATGAATATTTTTATTGGGGAAATCAATTATAATGAAATAAAGTAATTCAGAGCAAAAAGTGGGGGGACATGAGGAGGAAAAAAGAACAAAGATATGTATAAGAAAGTGGGGGGGGTATGTGTACAAAAATGCAATGTAATATACCCCCATACATTCTTATATAAATTGATATACAGTCGTACCTTGGAAGTCGAACAGCCTAGTTCTCGAATGTTTTGGCTCCCAAACAATCGAAACCTGGAAGTAACTGTTCCGGTTTTCGAACGTTCATTTAGAAGTCAAATGGTCGACCAGGCTTCCGCGGCTTCCGATTGGCTGCAGGAACTTTCTGCAGCCAATCGGAAGCCGCACTTTGTTTTCAAATGTTTTGGAAGTCGAATAGACTTCCGGAATGGATTCCGTTCTACTTCCAAGGTACGACTGTAGTGTTATTATCCTAATACATATGTAGATGTCAATAGCCTCCTTCATTCTGTATAAACTCATTTCAAATGTTGTCATATTTATCCAGACAAAAGCAGCGAGTGTCTTCCTACGGTTGGTCCATTGATTAAAGTGTATCCTATTTTTATACAGTCGTACCTTGGAATCTGCTCCGGAAGTCCATTCAACTTCCAAAACGTTTGGAAACCAAGGTGCAGATTCCAATTGGCTGCAGGAGCTTCCTGCAGCCAATCAGAAGCCATAGAACCTGCGTCGGAAGTTTGGGTTCCAAAGAAAGTTCACAAACCTGAATACTCACTTCTGGGTTTGCGACATTCGGGAGCCAAAACATTTGAGTTGCAAGGCATTGACTTCCGAGGTACGACTGTATTGTAAGATTATTGTATGATCTTGGAAGGTTGTATAATCACAGAGGTGTGTGTGTGTGTGGTTGTGACTACCATGAAGGGCCCCGAACTCCTGGATTTGCTGCTACACTACAGTGGTACCTCGGGTTAAGTACTTAATTCGTTCCGGAGGACTGTTCTTAACCTGAAGCACCACTTTAGCTAATGGGGCCTCCCGCTGCTGCCGGAGCCTGATTTCTGTTCTTATCCTGAAGCAAAGTTCTTAACCTGAAGCACTATTTCTGGATTAGCAGAGTGTGTAACCTGAAGCGTATGTAACCCGAGGTACCACTGTAGTGGATTCACCAAGTTCTTACATTTGCTTCAAGTGTTGAATGAGAGGCCTTACCAAGCTTATGCTGGAAACAGACTTTCGCCAAGAGGATCATGATGAAGGGGAGTCCCTTCTGCAACCAGGAGACGACTGCTTTCAGCTCCGAAAGAGCAGGGGCTGGTGTCCCGGGCTGATCCTCAGGCCCCTCCTCGCTGTGTCCGTGGCGGTCGCCGCCGGCCATGTGCAGCAGGGAGGAACCGCGCTGGTGGCTGTGGTGGTAGTGGTGGGGCTGCTGCCGGTGGTGGAAGGGACCTCCCTCTGGCCGGCTGGGCCCCTCCTCCCGCGAGGAAGGCATCTGGATGAACACCTCCCCGCCTCCCGCCGAGGACCCCAGGACCAAGCTGGATTGGAAAGGGGTGGCTGCGATGGTGCCCGAAGGGATGCCCCCCAGTCCGGAGAAAAGCTGCTGCGGGGAGGGAGCTTCCGTCTTGAGACCTTCGAAAATGCCGCCTTCATCCACACTCGTCTCGGAGGAGATGGTTTGACTCCGGCTTCTGGTATAAACACACACACATACATCCAAGTAATAATACAGTGGTACCTTGGTTCTCAAACGCCTTGGTTCTCAAATGCCTTGGTTCCCAAACACCAAAAACCCAAAAGTAGATGTTCCAATTTTTGAATGTTTTTCGGAAGCTGAACGTATGATGTGGCTGTCAGCTATTGTTTCTGGGGCACCTGCACCAATTAGAAGCTGCGCCTTGGTTTTTGAACATTTTGGAAGTCAAATGGACTTCCGGAACAGATTAAGTTTGGTGCTTTTGCTATATATTTTGCGTTTTCGTTTTTGAGGCTTTTTCGGTTAATTTGTTTTTGTGACTGTGTAGAAACCAGTTCAGCTACTGATTGATAGTGTGACTGTGGAAATGGATAAAAGCCCCCCATCCAAACAATGACTATCATCAGTGCAGGTAAGAAAAAAAAAGAATTTTAATTTTTATCATCTACAATACTGTCTTATTTATTTTATAGTACAGTACATTGATTATTGCTTTCATTTTATGGATCATGTAAAATTCATGTTAAATTGCTGTTTTAGGGGTTGATTTTAAAAGTCTGGAACGGATTAATCCGTTTTGCATTACTTTCTATGGGAAAGTGCACCTTGGTTTTGGAACGCTTTGGTTTTGGAACAGACTTCTGGAACGGATTAAGTTTGAGAACCAAGGTACCACTGTATTATTATTAATAATAATAATAGTAATAAGGAAAGAAAGAAAGAATCAGATTAAACTAAAATTTGTTTAATCAGGTGCTAGCTTGAATGCAAGGAAAAAACTTTCTCCTTATACACCCGGTAGATTGCTGCAGTCTGTGGGAAAATCTCTCCTGCCAGCTCCAAAGATCTCAGAGGCCCATTGCTCTGAAGTGACTCCAAGAAGGGATTTTATTTCATTTTTAAAAATAATTTTCATTGGTTTTACAAATACAAAGTACTAATAAACACAAACTAACAAGAACATATCTATGTGAGGAGATTCTCCGAATCCTGAGACTTCCCTCCTACCCTTCCATGGAGTCTTATTTTAAACATCTACAACTGCATATTCATCTGTACACCAATTTTTATATCAAGCCATATTGTCCTTAATATTCTTTGCACTACAAGCGGGTCAAAATCCTGCTCTTGTTTATATCTGTTTACAGTGGTCTCCTAAATAACTTTAAAACTTTCCCTATTTTTTTATAACAACAGCCACCCAGGTGTTATTAGCTCAGAGTTGGAAAGAAGACGAAGTCCCGACCAGAGAAGAATGGCAAACCAAGCAGATGGAATATGCTGAGATGGCAAAGCTGGCTGGAAAGCGCAGAAACCAAGAGGACAAAAACTTTATCCAAGAAGGGATTTTAGAGTGTCTAGCCCTGCTCTGCAGGGACGTGGGTGGTGCTGTGGGTTAAACCACAGAGCCTAGGGCTTGCCGATCAGAAGGTCAGCGGTTCGAATCCCCGCGACGGGGTGAGCTCCCGTTGCTCAGTCCCTGTTCCTGCCAACCTAGCAGTTCGAAAGCACGTCAAAGTGCAAGTAGATAAATAGGTACCACTCCAGTGGGCAGGTAAATGGCGTTTCCGTGTGCTGCTCTGGTTCGCCAGAAGCGGCTTAGTCATGCTGGCCACATGACCCGGAAGCTGTATGCCGGCTCCCTCGGCCGGTAAAGTGAGATGAGCGCCGCAACACCAGAGTCGGCCATGACTGGACCTAATGGTCAGGGGTCCCTTTACCTTTACCTTTTACCCCTGCTCTGTGAAACAGCCTCCCTGTCAAAATACAACAGGCGCCCAGATATATACACCTTCCGGAAACAACAGCATTTTTGTTCCGATAGGCTTTCCCAGCTGGATAAATGGGTCTGTACCACTTGTCAGTTTTGCTTTTAAATCACAGCCTCATAGAAATTTAGCTTTGGATGGGGACCCAAGGGTCATCTAGCCCAACCTGCTGCAACGAAGGAATCGCAGCTAAATGCATTTGTGGCTTTTGTGGCTTTAATTATCTCACGGGTAAATCATCTCGGGACTGTGGTTTAGAGGGGGATTGAGAAAGTAATTGGAAGAAGGAGGTGGAGGAGAAGAAAGATATTTCAAAACACAACTTGTTAAAAGAAGAAGATGATCAGCAAAAGTCTGAAGCCACAAAGAGACACATGGGAGCTGTGAACTCTCTCCGGGTTGTGGATCCATCCCTTGCGCCCCAACTCCTCCAAGTTTAGAAACTATGTGTGCAGCCAGGCAGGCCCTCTATGGAGTTCACCAGCCTCACTGGACCACTTTATCGACTCTAAGCATCTCCCAAGTCACACAAAGCCACTGCTTCTCAGATATTTTTATAGCTACTCCTCAAAGGCTAGGTTCACACACGAGACACACAGGGAAATAAAACAGTTAGCAAGATACTTTGTCATGTGGCTTTATGCCCCCACCTCCAAATTAACGGGGCAATGTTCCTAATCGGATCTCCCAGGGCTCAGGAATTAAAAAATAAACCACAAACACCGACATCTCCCTGCTCTTCCCTAGGAACATGTGAACCACGTACAGAGCATCTCGATTGCCTGGCGAGGTCGCAACAGCCCGATCCAATACTATGGGGGTCCTCTAGGGTAACACTCCCATAGGAGGCACCCAAGAAAGGCTTGGCAGAAAGACTTCTATCTTTAAGTGGGGGGTGGGAGCAGTTGTGCATTTATGGTTCCTTTTAACCCGACACGGCTGACTTTGCTTTGTGACATGGATTTTTTAAAAAAATCCTGCCATAGCCACTTCAATAACACCTCTGAAATCTGCCGGCAACCAATCAAAAACAGCCCTGAAAAGTCTAAAAGTAAATACAGTATTTATTGCTCTATAAGACTCACCTTTGCCCTCCTAAACAGTAAGGGGAAATGTGTGTGCGTCTTATGAAGCGAATGCAGGCTGCGCAGCTATCCCAGAAGCCAGAACAGCAAGAGGGATCGCTGCTTTCACTGCGCAGCGATCCCTCTTGGTGTTCTGGTTTCTGAGATTCAGAATATTTTTTTTCTTGTTTTCCTCCTCCAAAAACTAGGTGCGTCTTGTGGTCTGGTGCGTCTTATAGAGCGAAAAATACGGTATTTAAACCAACAACCCACAATTAAAAGAAATGCAACAAAACTTCATGGAGGCTTTTATGATTAAGCAGCGTATACCGCTTATGTTAATTATGTGAAATAATTACGTAATGACAACAGGGAAAGCAACACGGGCACATGCCGAGTCCCGAGTCCAAAAAGGGTTCTGTTTTTACCAGTTTGCTCAATGAGGGAATTGAGGGGGACAGCGAGGCTTCTACTGGTACCAAGTTCCATAGATACGGAGCCACCACCAAGAAGGCTCTGCAGCAACGTTCTTCAGGCAGCGCCTTCCATAGAACATAAGGCTCATATGAAAACAGGCTGCAAGGTCTGCAGGCTTAGGCCATAAAGCATAGAACCTGTAGCCTCCTGGATGTTGTTGGACTCCAGCTCCCATCAGCCCCAGCCATCATGGCCAATGGTCAGGGATGGTGGGAGTAGTAGTTCCCCACCCCATTCCTGCTATACATGGTTTGGGTCCATTTGGATACATAAAGAGCCACCTTCTCTTTTAGAAACCTATGTGTTGTTTAAGGCAGCACTGAGAGCCAGTGTGGTGTAATGGTTAGAGAGCTCAGCTAAAATCTGGGAGACCAGGGTTCAAATCCCTACTCAGCCACAAAGCACATTGGGTGACTCTGGGACAGAATCTTTTGTCTCTTAGCCAGTGTTAGAAACTCAGTTACGTAAGTTAGACACCAAATGGCTCTGTAAACCAAGGTTACAGTCACCAAAATGGAATGTCCGGTTGCCATTTGGGGGCAAGATGGCTCTAAAGTCTTATTTTTCAAAGGATGGGCTGACTGAGATTGATTCTCAGTTAAACATGTGGCTAGTTCAGATGACAACCTTGAGCTAAGTTCGGAACTTTGAGAACTTAAAAGAAGAAAACTAACTTGATCCAGGGACAGTCCACATATCTATCAGCTGATTCCAATCTCTTTTTCTTAATGAACCATTCATAACTGTCAAGGAACTGCCATCAGCTCAGAGGCGAGAAATAGAAGGGCAGTTGTGTTACAGGGAGCCTCCAAAAATCTTGCGAAGCAGTTCCTCTTCCAGAGAGGAGGAAAGCCCCACCTCCAGTGGAGAAGAGGTGCAAGGACCAGAGGATGCTAGTGAGAGCCTTAATGCCGCTCCTGAGCAAGCCTGGGGGGGGGGGCGGGAACACGCCCTTGCCATCACCCATCCTGCGCAGTAGCCTGGGGCGCAGGGAGGGGCGGAAATGGTTGTGGGTAACGAAACTTTTATGTTGGGGGAGGTACAAAAAAAGACCACTCCCGGATTCTGCTAGCAATTGAGCCAGCCATGAGCTTTGGGGCTCTTCACTGTAAATAGTCTGCACCAAAATAAAGCCTGTAAAACACAGATTGGAGTCCTGCCTGCTTACTCTCGAGCAACTGCAACTCCACCTGACAATAACGTTAGAATATTCTTCGCAACTGTGAGCAGGGCAGTGGGGTGAAGCCTAGCTTCAACAATTAACTATCACGTTGTTCACTGCTCCCGCTCAAGCTGAACAGGAAAAAAACAAAACATTTTGGTTCCTGAAATTCTGATTGTGCAGGTAAAACAGAACAGATAGAATTCTATAGGATGGGGTATTAAGTGTGTGAAAACAGGCAAGATCCGATGATCCCCAGGCAGGCACCTCCAGATGGTGGAGATATCAGAAGCCATCCTGGCACCCAGGCATCTTCACTTGGTCGCAAATGGCCAATAGCCAGGTGCAAAATGCGCCTGGCGCCTGCCTAATTGTGAACAATCCTCTTAGCCTAACCTAGAATTGTTGTGGGAATAAAATGGAGATCAGGGGAACCACATATGCCACCTTGAGTCGCTTGGAAGTGTTTACAAATCCAGTAAACAAACTGTGGCCTTTCAGATGTTGCTGTGGGACTCCAATTCCCATCAGCCCCAGCCAGCATGGCCAACACTCAAGAATGATGGGAGTCCAACAATATTTGGAAGGGCACAGGTGTCTCTACCCGCATCCCTAGTGAGTTGTTAAGATAGAAGGATGCCGTACATTTAAAACAGAACTAACCTTTCAGGAGGCAGGCTGTCCGTGATGCTGCTGTGCCGTCTCTGCATCTTCCTTAAGACTTTAAAACACAACACACTCAACATTAACGTGGCAGATCAATGGTGGCAGCGAGGAAGTAGTGGCAAGGATTGGAGAGACGGCTGGAGCACAGACGGGGCCCCCATTCACTCAGTGGCAGGGAGCGCAAAACTCTTACTGGGAAGGCTGGACAAAGACCGTACCGCAAGGCAACGGGCGCAGAGCAAATCTCGGAAGCTCCACAATAGCGGCGCCCAGGAGAAACAGATCTCTGGAGGAAAGTCAGGTCCTGTCCTTTAGGTCAGTAGCTGCATCAAAAGCTGACGACCACACCAAGTTTGTAATGCAAGGAAGGGAAGCGGTCCCTGGAGAAAGTGATGGAGAAGTGGTGGCTGGATTGGAGTGTCAACTGCGTGGTTCTCCAGATGTTGCGACTCTGAGAGATTTTGCAAAGGAAAAAGAAATGAGGCAGGAAAAATAGGAAGGAGGGGAGTCAGAAGACAAAGGGCTTCTCGCAGCACCTTCCTAGGCCACCCTGGCCAAATGAGCATCCCCTCTCCCCAGAGAACCCTGAGAATATAGTCCCGAGATGATGAACACAGATCTCTTCTAGTGCTGTTTTAATTTGTTTGCAATTTCATGACCACTGTGTATTTTTCTTTTCTTTTCTTTTTACATTTTATGGCATTGCTTTGAAAACATTGTGCACCATCCAATGAACTTAGAGGTTAACAAATGGCAGAAGAATGTGTTACAAATAAATAGAGAATTTAAAAAAGCAATTCATAAATACTTTCAAGGAAAGCACAGACAGCAAAATACAGTTACTGATGCAAAAGTATTTTGAATACAAAGCTATAATCATGGAGTGACCTGCAATAGTCCAGACTGGATTTCAGTTGCGCCTGAAAACCTGAGACAAGATGCATCTTCTCCAGATAGGGTCACAACTGGTATGTTGGTTAAAAAAACAAAAACATGTCCTGCCCATCACTGTTACCTGAGCTTCCCAGTTAATGCCAAGTCTAGAATTCTTTCCCCTCATTCTACATATGGTTCTTAGCTGTAGTTTTTCACAGGAGGTGAGTGGAATTAACTTGATAACTGCAGCACCCTTCATCATACTTAGGCTGTGAGCACATCATACAGTCCCCCTGCACCAGAATTCTGGGAGCTGTAGTTTAAGGGTGCTGGGAATTGTAGATCTGAGAGGGATAAACTAGAGTTTCCAGTATTCTTTGGTGACGGAGAGTGTGTGCTTTTAATATACCACCTGGCCCTATTCCAAGACAGACCTGTGGCCTGTCTAGCCCAGTTTGCAAACACTGACTGGTAGCAGCTCTCTGGGAAATCTCTCCCAGTCCTACCGACATTGGGGACATGAACCTGGGACCTTTTGCATGAAAAGCATGTGCTCGACTGCTGAGCTACGAATCTTTCCCCTTGAATGCTCCCCTATGCATACAAACAAAATTTATCCCTGCACATGCAAGAACAAGCAGGTCAGGATTCTGGGTCGAGACTCCTCCCCGATGGGCTGGTTGTTTACATGCAGGTCTATATGTCCAAAACTTGGTGGGGAGGAATATACCCTAATGCCAGCGGCTAAAACAGCAGCCTGAAGTGGTCCTGGCTTTCCACCTCAGTGAGAACTAGGCCCTTGATTGGATGTTCCTCTATATTTAGAGCGAGTGATAAACCTGGCATTCAACACTGGGATGTCTTGCTGCTTGGCCAGGGGCATGAGATGGGGGCGCAAATGATGGAGGGGACAACCTTAACCCCGCCATCCTTAACTCCCCCCCCCCATCTTTCTTTACCCCTGGCTTATTTTTATTCTACAACCAGGAAAGGAGAATAAAAACTCCTTGGAACTCCCAGCCACCCATAAAGCAAGAAAGCGATCACAAATGAATGGAGGAATAAAAACATACACCATCCCCATCCCTCCGCGCCTGATGGAACATTATATTACCTGGTCCCCGGGCTGCGAGGCGGATCGGCCCCTCCCTCTTTGCTCCTCCCTCCTTCCCTCCCCCGCGCTCCCCCCACGCACGTGACTTCCGTCTCCACCCCCCTCCCTCCGGAGCATTCTCAATTGGACACAAAGTAACCCTCTCGCTTCCGGGGGGAGGGAGGAGAGAGACGGAGGAAGGCAGCCGGGCGTTCCTGCGATCGCTGCACAAAAGCAGGCGAAGAACCCCCCCCCCAACTCCCCGGGCTTGCTTTCCGTGCCATCTCCTTAATTCGGATCGCCGCCCCCTTAATTCGGATCCAGGCCCTTAATTCGGATCGCCGCTCCCTTAATTCGGATCAGCGGGTTTTGTTTTGTTTTTTTGGTGGGAGAGCAAGGAAAGGGGCGCCTTGGATGCTCAGAAAGTTCACCCTCTCTGAAGCGGCTCCCGGTCCCCCTTCACATGCCCCCCACGATCGCCCCCGGAGGCCTGCCCGGGGATGAGGCGGGGGTCTCCCGGGCCCCCCCTCGCGCCCCAGACCCCCGGGTGGGCTAGCCAAGCCAAGGAAGAGCCCGATCCGCCGCCCCCCGTTCTCTTTCCGGGTCGCCGCTTGACCCCCGCTTAGTCCTTCTCCATGGTGCAGATTCTGGCCCTGGTGTGGCGGAGGCTGCTTCGGAAGCGCTGGGTCCTGGGGGTCGTCTTCGGGCTGTCCCTCATCTATTTCCTCAGCAGCACCTTCAAGCAGGTCAGTTGAGACCTCCCCACCCTCTCTCTCTCTCTCTGGTTTCGTTTTCCGGCGTCTCTGTTATTTGTATCGATCGCGTTTACGGTATACAGTGTATCAAAGTGGCCGACGGGGTTCTCCCCTGCCCCCCAAGTTATCCTTCACACAACAACCCTGTGAGGTAGTTTAGGCTGAGAGGCAGCACTCCGCCCAAGATGGTCCACATGTGAGCGCCATGGGGATTTGAACCCTGGTCTTCCAGGTCCTAGTCTAAAACTCTAACCACTGCGCCATCGCTGCCTCTCACCGTTGGAGGCAGCAGTGCTTCTGAATCCCAGTTGCTGGAAACCTTGTGTTTGTGTCCTGCTTGCTGGTTGTGTGGCCGCTGTGAGAACAGGATGATGGACTTGGAAGGCCCCTGGATCTAATACTATAAACGTTGTTGTTGTTTAGTCGTGTCCGACTCTTCGTGACCCCATGGACCAGAGCATGCCAGGCACTCCTGTCTTCCACTGCCTCCCGCAGTTTGGTCAAACTCATGTTGGTAGCTTCCAGAACACTGTCCAACATCTGGTCCTCTGTCATCCCCTTCTCCTTGTGCCCTCCATCTTTCCCAACATCAGGGTCTTTTCCAGGGAGTCTTCTCTTCTCATGAGGTGGCCAAAGTATTGCAGCCTCAGCTTCAGCATCTGTCCTTCCAGTGAGCACTCAGGGCTGATTTCTTTAAGAATGAAATTTAAAAAATTCCTTCCAGTAGCACCTTAGAGACCAACTAAGTTTGTTATTGGTATGAGCTTTCATGTGCATGCACATTAACTTATTTGGTCTCTAAGGTGCTACTGGAAGGAATTTTTTTATTTTGTTTCAACTACGGCAGACCAACACGGCTACCTACCTCTTCCTTCAGAATGGATAGTTTGATCTTCTTGCAGTCCATGGGACTCTCAAGAGTCTCCTCCAGCACCATAATTCAAAAGCATCAATTCTTCAGCGATCAGCCTTCTTTATGGTCCAGCTCTCACTTCTATGCATCACTACTGGGAAAACCATAGCTTTAAACATTATGTTTAAACTATAAAAGTTTGCATTTATATAAAGCACAGCACAGCCAATGGTCCGGGAAGGTGAGAGCCGCAGTCCATCACATCTAAAGGGCACCCCCTTGGCTATCCCTGCAATAGAGCTCTCAGGGGTTCAGTGTGCTTTTCACGTTCCACCTTTGTTGAACTCTTTACACAACAACCCTGAAAGGTCGGTCAACGTGGTCACCATCTTGCGGATGTGAAGGGAGGGGCCTGAGGGCCTTGCTTAAGGCGACAGAGTGAACCCAGAGCAGGGGTGAGATTCAAAGGGAAATTTGGCATTACGGATGACCAGCCTCTTTAGGTGCTGGCCTGCCTCAGTTCCGTACTTCAAGCCCATTGTTTAGCTCAGTAATATACAGTAGTTTCGAACAAAGGAGCTACAAAGGCAATCGTCCCATCTTTTTGCAGGGGCTGCCTCATGCTGACATTTCCCAGAGTGGTTTAACCATCACTCCCTCTTCATAGGAAACTGCAAATTGTAGGTCTTTGAGGGGAACATGGGGGATACCTCCCAATAACTCTCAGCACCCATAACAAGCTGCAGCTCCCAGGGTTCTTTCAGGGAAGCCAAGACTGCTTTAAATTTGTGGTTGTGATGTAAATTTATTTATGTATGCCACAACGGCAGCAAGGATACTTTTGGCCCAGAAATGGAAACAGCAGGAACTTCCCACATTGGAAGAATGGCAGACCAAGATGAGAGAATACGTAGAATTGGCAAAGTTGATGGGGAAGATCCGAAATCAACACAACGAACTGTTTCAAAAGGACTGGAGCAAATTTATATTATATATGAAAGAACATTGTAAACCTTTGAAAACGTTTGTAGGTTTGAGTTGAAATATTTTGTCATGCGAACACAGGGAACTGATTTACATTTAAAGAGGTGAAGTTTATCAAGAAGAAAAGAAGGTAAATACGTGGATATAGAAATGCTAAGATATAAGTGATTATTTATGAAAGCCAGAATGTGGGATGAGGGGAGGTCAGTGCTCAGTGTGAGCAATGCTTTAGGTTATGGAATGACATAATGGAATGTGAATTTGGTAAAATGTAAATTAAATAAAAATAAATAAATGTATGTTGTGATGGTGGCCATAGTTCAGGCGGGTTGTTGTTGTGTTCTTTTTAAAGGGGCTGGATTCAAATCAAAAACATAGGAGCAGTCTGGCTGAAAGGGCAACTTGCAAAATGGTCTCTGCGTGCTCTTTAAATTCACAGATGTAGCAACTTGTGAGACCCATGCATCTCGGGGGGTTTTTGAAACGAGGCATGGGCAACCCACCCCCTAATGGAAAAATACAATGCACAAAATGACCTTTTGAAATCATCTCCCCTGCTGCAGGTTCAGGCAGCATTGGGAGGACAGGACTGTAACTCACCTCCCATGCTCCTCTGTTTTCCGTTTCAGGAAGAGCGAGCCGTACGAGATCGGAATCTCCTCCAGGTGCAGGACGAGGATCACCCGATTGCGTGGAAAGTGCAGTTCAACTCCGGGAATGGCAGCCAGCCTGGTAACCAGTGCCGGAACTCTGTCCAGGGGAAGCTGCTGATCACAGATGAGCTGGGTGAGGCTCCCTCTTCCAAGGGTGGTGTGGTGTAGTGGTTAGTGTTGGCGTAGGACTGGTGAAACATGAGGGCTGTGTTCCATCTCTCCTGATGGAGGCTGCATGCCTCTGGGTACCAGTTCCTGGGAGTTGGGAGTCGCAAGTGGAGAGAGATTCTCATTCCATTTGGTTGGCCACTGTGCGAAAAGAATGCTCTCATTTCCTCATTGTGCCTGAGCTTTTACATAACATAATAAACCACTTCCAGTAATACAGGGGATAGGGCTGGGTGAGATATCAATAAACCAGTTTTAAATCCATATATGATACTGGATTCATAATTTTTGACAAGGTAAAGGGACCCCTGACCATTAGGTCCAGTTGTGACCGACTCTGGGGTTGCGGCCCTCATCTCGCTTTATTGGCCAAGGGAGCCGGTGTACAGCTTCCGGGTCATGTAGCCAGCATGACTAAGCCGCTTCTGGTGAACCAGAGCAGTGCACGGAAATGCAGTTTACCTTCCCGCTGTAGCAGTACCTATTTATCTACTTGCACTTTGACGTGCTTTCAAACTGCTAGGTTGGCAGGAGCAGGGACTGAACAACGGGAGCTCACCTCGTCGTGGGGATTCAAACCGCCGACCTTCTGATCGGCAAGTCCTAGGCTCTGTGGTTTAACCCACAGCGCCACCCGCGTCCCTAGTAATATACCCGCGTGACCTGGTAATATATCACAAATCATGATGCATCTTAGGGGTGGGCGATATATCATCCAAAACTGGTTTCAAGTCCATATAATGATACTGTTTTCATAATTTTTGACCTGGCAATATATTGCAAATCACGATATGTGAGTGTGCTGTGCAAAATATCACCATGTGGGGAAAACCACGAAGCCTGCCAATTGCTTCTCCCTAGCTCCATCCTTCTTTCAAACATTGTGATATATCAGTATGTCACGATGTTTAGCTTTAACAAAGTTGAAAACCAGATGTCTCCTGGCCCTAATAGTGGAATGTAGCACAACTTTAGCTCTTCATTTCCATGTTATTTGCAACCAGACTTTTCCTGGAAGCAGATTTCAAGGAAACGAGTGCTAAACTTGCACAGAATTTCCCTGGAAGTGGCATTTACGTCGTGCAGAAGCTCAAGTGCTCAGTAGGAATTGGCAGGGGAAAGCGCAATATACTGCTGTGTAAATGCAGCCATAAGCACCACGCCACTGTAGCACAGTGGAAGAACATTGGATTTGCATGCAAAAGGTTCCTGGTTCAATCCCTGGTAGGGCATGGGGAAGCTCCCTGCTGAATCCCTGGGGAGTTGCTGCCAGTCAGTGTAGACAGTTCTGAGCTAGAGGGGCCAATGACAGCACTCTATGCCCAAGGCAGCACTCTATGTTCTATGGCTTTCCCTAATAAAGTACAGTGGTACCTTGGTTCTCAAATGCCTTGGTACTCAAATGCCTTGGTTCCCAAACACCGAAAACCTGGAAGTACGTGTTCCGGTTTTCGGACGTTTTTCAGAAGCCAAACGTCTGATGCAGCTGTCAGCTATTATTATTTAAAAGTCTGGAATGGATTAATCCGTTTTGCATTACTTTCTTTGGGAAAGCGTGCCTTGGTTTTGGAGCACTTCAGTTTTGGAACGGACTTGCAGAATGGATTAAGTTTGAGAACCAAGGTACCACTGTAGATATTTGTTGTCTCTTCACTCTGATTTCAAACAGCCTAGAATGTCAAGTGCTAATTCCGTCCTCAATATCTCTTCCGGTCTTTTTTTGCGGGGGTGGGGTAGGTTACATCTGCGAAAGGAAGGACTTGCTGATGAATGGCTGCTGTGACATCAAAGCCCCCAGTGCAAAGCTCTACAGCTGCGAGAGCTGCTTGCCCAACGGATGCTGCAGCATCTATGAAGCCTGCGTTTCCTGCTGTTTGCAGCCCAACAAGGTATGGTGGGTTTTGGCATGAACCCTGGGCACCTGCAGCAAAATGTTGCAGCGCAGCATTGCCGCCTCCTCCACCACAGGAGTGCTTCCCTTCAGGTTGCCAGCCAGCCATGCCCTCTGTTGGAAAACACTTACAGGGCTCAAGCAGGCCATTTGATTTCCTTTGTCATTTGCTGTTTTTTTAACACACACATACCTCTATGTACATACCATATTTTTTGCTCCATAAGACACACTTTTTTCCTCCTAAAAAGTAAGGGGAAGTGTCTGTGCGTCTTATGGAGCGAATGTGTGGTTGATTGCTGGCTCCCTTTCTGGCCCCGCCCCCTTGCCCAGGCCTCCATTGTTGAATGTTCTGCAGAAGGAGGCTGTTTGTTTCCCCAGCGACATGTGACTGGCTCATTAGATTATCTGTTTGGAAACTGTATCTGTAGAAATGGCTCCCTTTCCTTCCTAAAGAAGCTGCAGAACTGTGAGTTGAACCCCATAAAAACAGGACTTTTTCCCTTTGCAAAGTAAGCGCAACAACTTTGAGCTGATCCTCAAAAAAAAAACCACATGAGGCTTTTCCCCTTTGCAAAAGAAGCTGCACAACTGTGAGCTGATCCCCCAAAAAACAGGGCTTTCCCCCTTTCCTCCTCTAAAAACTAGGCGTGTCTTATGGTCAGGCGCGTCTTATGGAGTGAAAAATGCATTATATAATAGATTCTCTAGCACCTGCCTGATTGCATTTCACCCATTTGCAGCCCAGTTCTCCACTTTTAAAAACATTTTTTATTAACCAAAAACAACAACAAAAAGTTCATCCTTCAAAAAGTTTGCAGCTCCTCCCAGTTTGTGTCATCAGCGTCGTTCTGTTTGCTCGTGTTTTAATGGGGAATTCAGCGACTCAAAAATGCTTGCCTGCTGGAGATCTCTCAGGGTGAGAGGCTGGGAGGAGACTCCTTTCTCTGTATGGGACAAAAGTTAAGATTTACAATCGTACCTTGGTTGTCGAACGGAATCCGTTCCGGAAGTCCATTTGACTTCCGAAAACATTTGACAACCAAGGCGCAGCTTCCAATTGGCTGCAGGAGCTTCCTGCAGCCAATCGGAAGCCGCATCAGATGTTGGGGTTCCACAGAATGTTTGCAAACTGGAACACTCACTTCCAGGTTTGTTGGCATTCGGGAGCCAAAACATTCGACTCGCAAGGCGTTCAGGATCCAAGGTACGACTGTATTTGTGAGAGAATTCTTCTATCTCTTCTATCTTTTTTTTCTTTTCTTTCTTTTTATTATTATTTGTTTAGATTAGCTTGTCCTTTATAATATTGCGAAAACTGTTAATAAAACTTTGTCCAGAAATAAAAATAGAAAATACTTGCCCGTTGTCTGCAGCTGCTCCTTCTCCTCCACTGTGCCATTCCTGCCTTCATAACTCTTCTGTTATCACCTAACTTCCATCTTTCTTTCTTTTTTTAACCCCCAGCAACGGCTCCTGGAGCACTTTCTAAACCGAGCTGCGGTTGCCTTCCGGAACCTCTTCATGGCTGTGGAAGATCACTTTGAGTTGTGCTTGGCTAAGTGCAGGACCTCCTCGCAGGTACGGGGAGAGGTCTGCGGGGCTGACTGAGCAGCAGGTCATGATCTCCTCTGCTCCCATCCTGCTCCTGGTGGGTTAAGTTCAACAGATGAGCAACACAACCCACCTGTCAGTTGGGCAGAGGGGATCAATAGCAACCATTCTGGGAAACCCTGTTCTAACCTGGGGTGCCTGGGATTTCAGATGTTGGAATGAATCCACGACAGACGAGTGGCAGGTGTCATATGAGGCGTCTGCCGGGGCGAGCCCCGGGAACTCTCTTTTATTGAATATTACAAACATTGCCACAGGTGTGCTTGTGGCTGATTGGTTGATACAAACACAAAGCAACTTGTTGCTGATTGGTTAACATAGGTACAAGGCGGGAATTACATATAACCATTTATCACTGATAGATTAAAGGCTGGGAACGGAGCTGGAACTAGACAGGCATGAAACCTCCTTATTAAATTATAACTAAAGATTGATATTGAAAGAACATAACATGAAAGAATACAACAATCACGTTCCGTAGATGTGGTCAGCAATGCACTAAGAACAGGTCAGGGTACACTGTTTCATGAACTCAATGGGAACTGTTCAGAACATTCTCAGACTCATGTGCAGAGGCAAAAACTTCCCAGCATCAATAATAATAATAATAATAATAATAATAATAATAATAATAATAAATTTATTTATATCCCTCCCATCTGGCTGGGTTTTCCCAGCCACCCTGGGTGGTTTACAGCATATATGAAAACATAATAAAACACCAAACATTAAAAATCAGAATATCTTATACAGACTATAAATAAACCAATAAATCAATAGAAATAATAACAACAATAACAACAACAACAATAATAGCAATAACAATCCATTTACAGTTATACCTAAATTAAAATAACTGCCAATCCCAGCTAAACATTTAACCAACCCAACAAAAACAAGAAAGAGGAACCAAAATTAAAACCTTTAAAAACATTTTAGCCGACGACATTTGCAGGGTTGCAAGAAGTTTTGTGAGGAGTATTATTAGAAGTATTGTAAAAATGGACAAGGGGGAGGATGATTTGTTAAGAGATGTAAAGGCAATATAAAGTTAAGAAATGCATAAGAAGTGGTTAAAACGGTGGATCATCAGAGGTGCTGATGGAAGTCTAAAAAGGTTGTATAAGTGATAAGTTTTGTGGTACATTTTATAATTTATATGTTAAAATTAATTTTAAAAAATATAAATAAATAAAATAAAAACATTTTAGCCAGTTGCCCCAACCCAAGAGTTGTTCTAGCAATGTCCCTCCAGTCTCCTAGGAGCCTCTTTTAGCTGTTCCAGGTGAGTCTGGGCCCTGCCCCCTAGGCCAGGTGGAAATGGCCATGGCAGCAGCAATCTCATGCATGAAAAGCATACAATCGTAGAATTGGAAGGGACCCCAGCAGTCATCTAGTCCAACCCCCTGCAATGCAGGAATCTCAGCTACAGCATCCGCGACGGATGTGCACTCCGTCATTCAGCTGCTGGCCGCGCTCTGTAGCTGCCTGGCAAATCTGTGTCCCTGCATGTGCTCTGTCTTCTTCCCCCACCCTAACAAATATCTGTCCCCCCCCCCTTTCTCCCCTTGCCCAGAGCGTGCAGCATGAGAACACCTACCGCAACCCCATTGCGAAATACTGCTACGGGGAATACCCTCCAGACCTCCTGCCAGTGTGATAGCGGCAAGGGGACTGTGGCAGCAAGGAGAGAGAGACCGGAGGCGTTAGCCAGTGTGGAACGGTGACATTGTGAGGACACTCAGACACCTGCCTTTGTGCTGCGGCACCCGACTTAGCCTTCCAGGAAAGAGCCTCTTTCATCCACCTGTTGCCGCCTCCCTGCAGTTTGAAAATGGGATGAGGGCAGTGAGAGACCTTCCGTCGGCTGTCGCCAAAGGACTGTGTTCAGACGCGACATTGTGGCTACCGTCAGTCCTGCCCCCATTTTGAGATACGAACATAATAGAAGTTGTGTCTCTCTCCCCGTAGCCTGTGGGCCTTCTCTCTCTCTCTCTCTCTCTCTCTCTCTCTCTCTCTCTGGCCTGACCAACAAACACAGTGAATGACAAAAGGTCCCTTTAGATGAGAGAGCAATGCTTTGGTTCCTTGCAGGCGAGAAACGTCCTTTATCCTCAAATCATGCCGTGTAAATACAAATTATTTATTGGGATGACACTACGGCTCAAAACATATTGCAGGGTGTTCTAGAAGCCGGTTACAGGATCGTGTTGGCGGCGTTGGTCCAGAGAAAGCACTTCGCTTTAGATTGTTCTCCAGGCTTTGTCATTAATCTTGTTCCTTATGGTCTGATCTTTGAATTGATTTGGCTGTTGCTTGCCAGCAGGGGGCGGTAGCAAATAGCACCGTTTCCTGGCTTTGGAGCTAAATAGAGCTGAGGTTTCTCTGCATATCCAGAGTGGAAATCCCTGGCCTGCGGGCCTATCTGGACCCACCAGGCTTCCCCATTGGGACCAGGGAGCTGTTTTACCCTAGCACCACCCACCTGGTGTCGCCTAAAGAGGCGGCTGTTGCAAGAAAATGGGATTTACAGGCACCGCTGGTCAGCTGATCAGAGCTGTTCTCACAGGGCTTCACAAGCACCTATGATCAGCCTTCTCCCCACATCGCTGTGATGTTTGGTGGTTGTCATGTGGGCAGCCCCCACCCACCTGTCAAATTCAGCCAGCAGGGATTAGTGGGTTGTGGTACTGTGATTAGATGACTGTGGGTTGAGGGAAAGTAAACCAAAAAAACCCACACCTATAAATGCAGTACATAGGGCACAGATGCTTGCAGTTCTGAATCTCTGGTACTGCCGTGTCAGCCCAGTGAGCGAAGCAGTGAATGACCCAAGTAGTGGGGTAGGAGAGGTGAAAATAATGCCAAGGTATTTGACATCTGGCAACCAATGCGCCCCTTTGGTTTCAAGTAGTACATGGGTAGACGAGTCTTTAAAAGCCCGGGACACAAATTCTCACAGCCTTCTAGCAGGTATGGGGACTCATTTGCCAGAAGTCATGTATTTTGCACAGGCATAGGCAAACTCGGGCCTCCAGATGTTTTGAGACTACAGTCCCCATCATCCCTGACCACTGGTCCTGTTAGCTAGGGATGATGGGAGTTGTAGTCCCAAAACATCTGGAGGGCCAAGGTTGCCTATGCCTGATTTAGCGTGATCTCTGGAAGCGTCCACTCAATTCTGACCAGGTCAGTCTCCTGATAGGTGTTGTGCTCTAGGAAGCTTAGTTTGGTCAGAATCGAGAAAACACTTAAATACATTACTTCTGGTAAATGAGTCACCATATCTAGGCTTTTAAGACGTGTACTACCCATGTACAGTGGTACCTCTGGTTGCAAACAGGATCCGTTCCGGAGCCTCCTTCGCAACATGAGCAGAACGCAACCTGCGTGTGCGCGGGTCGCGATTCGCCGCTTCTGCACATGCGCGTGACGCCATTTTGAGCATCTGCGCATGCGTGAGCGGCGAAACCCGGAAGTAACCCTTTCTGGTACTTCTGGGTTGCTGTGGGACACAACCTGAAAAGATGTAACCTGAACCGAATGTAACAAGATATGACTGTATTATCTGAAACCAAAAGGGAGCATTGGTTGCCAGATGTGTTTTTTTTCCTGCTCTCCTACCCCACTAAAGATGCTTTTCTGCTCCATGAGTCATCTGGAGATTGGGAAGCAATCAATGTTTCGTGATGCAGCTGTTTTCCTCTCCTGTGACGTCATCAGGTAGCCTTGGAATGAGCCACCTGCGTGTAGAGCAAGCGTGGGGAACCTGACCATCCAGATGTTACTGAACTACAACTCCCATCATCCTTGAACATGGACCATGCTTGCTGGGGCCTAATGGGAACTGTGGTTCAGTGGCATCTCGAGGCCCAGAGGGTTCCCAACATGTGGTGTGGCATCCTGTCCAAGGGTCCTAAACTCAGCTGATGAGTTCTCTCTGACCACAGAAAGCTTTAATCTTCTACTGATCATGGAATACTCTTTGTCACCTCTGATTTTCCCACTTCCAGTGCGAAACAAATGTCTAAATACACTCCATCACAAACTAAACTTGTTCTCCTGTTTATTGAATGGTGAAATATTCCTCACAGACATGGTTGCTGGCGGGAGACCCCAGCGGTGGACTTTCTGAATAAGGAGTCATTCCTTGTTTGCCCTAGGAAGGCAGCAGTAGCCAACATGGTGCCCTCCGGATATTCTGGACGCTAGATTACATCAGCACAAGCCAATAACTCTGGGATCTTAAACCTGGAGCCTTCCCGATGTTGTTTGGACTACAGCTCCCATCATCCTTGACCACTGATAGTGATGGTTGGGGCTGATGGCAGCACGAGTCCAGTAAATGGCTGGAGCAGTGTATTCTTCAACCTTTGGTCCCCAGATGTAGGTGGACTACAATACCCATCATCCACAGCCAGCTTAGCTTAACAATCAAGGATGCTGTGCATTGCATTTCCCACACATTTGGGGACCTAAGGTTAAAAGAACAGCGTTCTCGAGCAGGGTTTCCCACACTTGGGTCTCCAGCTCTTTTTGAACTACAATTCTCATCATCCCTGACACTTGGTCCTGCTAGGTAGGGATGATGGGAGTTGTAGTCCAACAACAGTTGGAGACCCAAGTTTGGGGAACACTGTTCTAGGGGGTCACAGATTTCCAGGCATGCAAAATGTTTCAATTGCACGGGCTACACAAGTGAGAGAGCGCTGCTTCAGTGCTAAGCATTTAGGAATCCTGAAAAGATAATGGACTTCGGTTTCAAGAGAATGATGAGCGAGTTCTGTTAACCAGTGGCGTAGCGTGGGGGGTGCAGGGGGGGCTGGCCGCACCGGGCACAACATCTGGGGGTTAGGTTTAGGGGGCGCAAATCCACGGGTTAGGGGGCGCAAATTACTTGCCTTGCCCCGGGTGCTGACAACCCACGCTACGCCACTGCTGTTAACGTGCAATGGACTGTCAAGCCACTCTGAAAGAAGTTGCTGGATTGCTGCATTGGTCCAGGTCTGTGTGCAGAAAATAGATCTAGCTAAAAGGCAACACAGGGCAATCTGCATTCATGGCATTGCATCCCTAACTATACAACCTTTGCAAGATATTGCAGGATTATTGCAAAATTTTAGGAGGTTGTATAATCTTAGAACAGTGTGTGGCTGTGGCTATCGCAAAGGGATCCTGCACTTCTGAAACTGCCACAACACTAAAGTAAAAGGTCAAGATCAAGGACCCCTGATGGTTAAGTCCTGTCAAAGGCGACTATGGGGTTGTGGCACTCATCTCACTTTCAGGCCGAGGGAGCTGGCGTTTGTTCACAGACAGCTTTCCAGGTCATGTGGTCAGCATGACTAAACTGCTACTGGCACACGGAGAACCATGACGAGTGCCAGAGCTCACGAAAACCCCATTTATCTTCCTGCTGCAGCTGTACCTATTTATCTACTTGCACTGGCGTGCTTTCAAACTGCTAGGTTGGCAGAAGCTGGGACAGAGCAACGGGAGCTCACCTCATCATGGGGATTTGAACCACCAACCTTCCAATCAGCAAGCCCAAGAGGCTCAGTGGTTTAGACCACAGCGCCACCCGCATCCTTTGCCACAACACTACTGAGAGTGAGTCCCACCAGTGTAATTTACCCTGGCGTAAATTATTCCAGCTTTTTGTAGTTTGAATGGCTCTATTAGTTGCAGGGGGAAAAGTGAATAAAAAGTAAAAGGTAAAGGACCCCGGACGGTTAAGTCCAGTCATAGGCTGGGGTTGCGGCACTCATTTCGCTTCCAGGCCGAGGGAGCCAGCGTTTGTACACAGATGGCTTTTTGGGTCATGTGACTAGCATGACTAAACTGCTTCTGGTGCAACGGAACACCGTGACGGAAACCAGAGTGCACAGAAATGCCATTTCTTCCCACCACAGCGGTACCTATTTATCTACTTGCACTGGTATGCTTTCAAGGTTGGCAGAAGCTGGGACAGAGCAATGGGAGTTCACCCCGTCACGGGGATTCAAACCGCTGACCTTCTGATCGGCAAGCCCAAGAGGCTCAGTGGTTTAGACCACAGCACCAATTACTTCCCTTCGGTGAATAGTAATGATGTGGCAGAGGTGAGTGGCAGAGGTATCTTAAAGCCTTCTCTCATAATACTAGAACTCTGGGCCGTCCCAGGAAGCTGAATTGCTGGAAGCTACTGCGAGGTGCTTTTGTGACTGCAGAAGAAATGAAGATCTTTCGCTCTCAAAGAGAGGACTGGAAGATGCTCCGGGAAGTTGCTACGCTGCCCTGTTTTCTTGCCCTCTGACCCACCAAGGTGAGAGTCATCTGGCAGCCACTTAATCAAATGGAGATGTTGATTTTTCTGTTAACCCAGCTGGGACGACATCTTCTGCAGGCCGTCATCGTGCCGGATAACAAATGGCTTTCCAGAATCCCATTATTCTCCCACTGGCAGGATCTGCTCCAGGAAAGGGAGATGGGAATGGATGTGTCATTTTGGGACAAAAGGGGACGTCAATCCCGGTTATCGCTGCTCTGGAGAACTGAGCAGCTGTGAGTTTATTATGCAAAAACTCCAAATGTGGTATCGGATGGATTTCTGGTCACACAGATTTCCCCACCTTATTTGTTTGTTTATAATATTTATATACTGCTCTTCAACAATAAAGGTTATGTCCAATATTAGACCTATTCAGAGTAGACTCATTGATTATATTTTATTTTATTTTATATCAGATGAGTCTCTCTCTCTCCTGGCACACCTTCCCTATTAAAGTGTGGTGCTCCCCACTTTACATGATTTTACTGTATTTTTTGCTCTACAAGACGCACCAGACCACAAGACGCACCTAGTTTTTGGAGGAGGAAAACAAGAAAAAAAATATTCTGAATCTCAGAAGCCAGAACAGCAAGAGGGATCGCTGCGCAGTGAAAGCAGTGATCCCTCTTGCTGTTCTGGCTTCTGGGATAGCTGTGCAGCCTGCATGTGCTCCATAAGATGCACACACATTTCCCCTTACTTTTTAGGAGGGGAAAAGTGAGTCTTATAGAGCAAAAAATACGGTACTGTACTTTATACACACTGGGGCCCGGAACATAACCCCCACATAAGTGGCAGGACACCTGTATCCCAAATGCTGCTTCCTTATGCTCTACCTCCACAGATGGAAGCAGCAGGGCTTCTGAACACTGGAGGAGACAGTTACTCTTGTACTCCAGCCCTGCTTGCAGGCTTTCTGTTGGGGCTTCTGGCTGGCTACTGTGAGCGCAGGACTGACCCAGCAGTTTCTCCTTATGTTCTTATGCAACCTTTCCCCATAGGGGAGTCACAACTGGGATTTCAGCTGAGACATCAGGGACTGTCCCATTACCGGCTCTGGCAGTTAACAATGAAAACGACGGCTGTGCATCCTTTTCTTGTGCGTGCAATTTATGCCAGGGATTTGAAATGAGAAGGTAAGCCACAAGAGCTACCAGGCAGACTGTAAAACATTTATAGGGAAGCCTCTGCGGTGCCCTGTTTTACCAAGTGAAAACGCAATGGAAATTAAATGTGAGTTGGGGATGTTATGAGGATGAATGTCTCCATTGATTAAATGAGCCGCTGATAGACAGGGAGCAGCAGCTTGGCTGCCGAGTTTTCCGTCGCACATTATTCATGCGGTATTTAAGTAGCAAGTGATGGACGTGCCAGAATTTCCCCCTAATTGTTGGCGCGAGGAATGGGATTCTGCCTGAATGGTCTGCTCACAAACTGCTGTGGTGGGGAAATGGCTTTATCCAAGGATATATTCCAAAGGTTGGGATTTATAGCATGTTGCTAAGTGTAGGGGGTTGCGGGGGGGGGGAGGAAAGTGCAACTTACAGTATATCTGCCAAATACATAAAAATGTAAGGCTGTCGTCATGCTGCAGTTTGCATGGCCACCAGTAGGCGGACACTCCAACTCCAGCATAACAACAGAATGGGAGGCAGGCAGATGAGTAAGAGAGCAAGCAGTGTGGGCGGCAGTCGGCCCAAGCAAGCTGTTTAACAGAGAGGGGAAGAAAGCTTGCCAAACCACTCATAAAGCATGGGTAGGCAAACTAAGGCCCGGGGGCCGGATTTGGCCCAATTGCCTTCTAAATCTGGCCCCCCGACAGTCCAGGAATCAGCGTGTTTTTACATGAGTAGAATGTGTCCTTTTATTTAAAATGCATCTCTGGGTGATTTGTGGGGCACAGGAATTCGTTCTTTCTTTTTTTTCAAAATATAGTCCGCCCCCCCACATGATCTGAGGGACAGTGAACCAGCCTCATGCTGAAAAAGTTTGCTGACCCCTGCTCTAAAGCATCTCCCACGCTCCTTTTAAGGGGATTGGAGTGAGCTGTGAGGGGATAGGCGATAGGCAATGGGTATATGAATGAGGCATAAAGGGATGGGTGTTTGGTCAGGTGTAAAAAGAAGACTGGGTGTCCAGTTGTGGGGCAAGTGGGTCAGCAAAGGGGTTGGCAAGCGGATCATGGAGGGGCAGCAACCCCCTTTAGTATATTACAGGAGTGCTTTCCAATACAGGTATGTAGATCCAGAGGTCTCAGTGAGTTTCAGCTCAGCAGAACCCAGAAGATGTTTTAAATCTGTCATTCAGTTCTGTTCCCATTTCTGTTTATAGTTGATTAGATCTGAATCATTGACGTTTAGCTCCTGCATGCTAAGTGGATGAGTCCAACAACAAGACGCTGGAGGCATGCAGATGTGAAGCCACATAAAGGAAGGCATGAGATGTTTCCTGTGAACGTTTAATGCAGGCATAGGCAAACTCGGCCCTCCAGATGTTTGGGACTACAATTCCCATAATCCCTGACCACTGGTCCTGTTAGCTAGGGATGGTGGGAATTGTAGTCCCAAACATCTGGAGGGCCGGAGTTTGCCTATGCCTGGTCTAATGCAGCCTTCTCCAGCCTGGTGGCCAGCAGATGTTTTGGCTGATAATCTCCATCATCCCTACTCACTGGCCATGCTAGCTGGGACTGGAAGGAACTGTAATACTTTACAGCCAAAGAATCTCGCTTTATAATCTGGATAGTTACAGAGCCCATATGGTGCCCCGGAAGCCATCCAGATGTTGGACTGCATTTCCCATCATCCCTGACCACTGGCCATGCTGGCTGATGGGAAATGTCGCCCAGCGGGATCAGGAGAGCTTCAGTTTCGCCATCCTTGTTATGACACACTGGCAAAATAGGATGGAGTTCAGGCACATTTCAAGTCGTCATTAAGCTTGAAGCGCCGTTATAAAACTACTGGAGTTACGAATAAATTCCACATGTAAACCATCTGCAGCAGTGACAATAATGGTTAGGTTTCACAAACCAGCAATACAGGGTTGCCTGGCTCTGGTTTGCAAGGTACAACTTTTTGCAGTCGTGGGTTCTAGTTGTTGCACGTTCCCGTTCTTTCCCCGAAAGAAGCCAGCTGCTGAATCACATTATTTAAGTGGTAAAGGACTTATTCTGGTTGCCAGAGAGAGGATCAACATAGCTGATAGCAAATAGGGTGTGGAACAAGATTCTACTTGTCTTGGTAAGCAGCACTGTCAATGTAGGGGCATGTCACAACATTAAAACACATTTTAAAAGACTTTTAAAAGACTTGCAATCACAAACATGAGGTGTCCTAAGAACATACAAGTTAAATGTCCAAAGCCAGGGCAAAGAGGTGAGTCTTCAGCATTTTCCAGAAGCAGTACAATGAAGGTGCAGGGTGCACCTCTGTGGGGAGGGAGTTTCACAACTTAGGGGCCACCACAGGGAAGACTCTCTCCCAGACTGCCACCCCTTAAGCCAGGGGTCAGCAACCTTTTTCAGCAGGGGGCCAGTCCACTGTCCCTCAGACCATGTGGTGGGCCGGACTATACTTTTTGAGGGGGGAATGAATGAATTCCTATGCCCCACAAATAATCCAGAGATGCATTTTAAATAAAAGGACATATTCTACTCATGTAAAAACACACCGATTCCCGGACTGTCTGCGGGCCAGATTTAGAAGGTGATTGGGTCTTAGTTTGCCTACCCATGCCTTAAGCCTCTGAGGCTGGAAGAACTAACCAGATGGAATCCTCAGCCAATCTTAGCTCCTGAGAGGGTCTCTAGGGAAGGATGCAGTCTTTCATATACTTGCGGCCTGAGTTGTTTTGGGCTTTAAACACCAACATGTCTAAATCCCTGGGAATCTGTGGCCTATACCCCAAAGGAGTATTGCTTTCTCCACACAGGTACAGCTAGGAAAAGCAGATCTCTGGTTCTTGTATTTAAATGCAAAAGAATCCACACCTTTAAGACTGTTTGCACCCCTCTGCTGCAATCCCATCATGACATACTGCGTTGGCCCGAATATAAGCCGCACTCGCAAATAAGCCGCACCTTTAAAATTCAAGGTTTATTTGTGGATGTGGCCCGCCTCCAGGCTCTACTGCCTCCCGGCACTACCTCCCCAAGCCAGCACCAAGGGAGGCTTGGGAGTGGCAGGCGGGCTGCGCGCCATTGCCCCACGCTCCTGGGCTGCTTCCTGCGGGGCGAGCTGCGCCGCTTTGCCAGAGGCCTCCCCCACTTCCCCCTTCCTTACAGTGGCTCAGGGGAGGCTTGGGAGACACGGTCAGGACAGGACGGGCGACATTGTCCCGCACCCCCGACAGCCCTTGTGGGTAGCTGTTTCAGCAGCGATACCGTAAGGTCGCGAATATAAGCCACACTTAAACTTTTCACAGTCTTAATTTGGAAAAAAAGTGTGGCTTATATTCAGGCCAATACAGTACATTTCCCAGGACTTCAGACCAGGCTGGTGACTGGTCTGTTTCCCAGAACACTTAGAAAAAACATTTAGAAAACAGGAGCTGCATTATTTTACACTTTTTCCTGGGTCTATGTCCTGCTGAGCACAATTGTGTTTCCTATTAAACATGTGTAGGATTACATTGTGAGCCCGTCTGTCTCTCTGTCTCTCTAGATGTCTTTCTGCACCAGCCATTCAAGGTGACCACTAAAATAACGAATCAATACAGTATAAAACGATGAAAAAAGAAGTTTAAAAGGCTGTATCACCATAAACAAAATGAGGATAAAGGCAGGCATTGACAGAAGCCAGATATTTTATTAGCAGGGCTGCAAAGGGCAGGCCAATCTGCTTCTTTTGGGAGGGCAGAAAACCTGAAACTTCTCCAAAGAGTGGAGAGGCCGCAGATAAAAATTGCACCTTTTAGTAGGTCATTTCAGTAGTCTCTGCAGGTGGCCTAATAAACACAGCAGGGGTGAATACGTCATCCTGGGGTGCTAAAAGCATGTCCTTATTTTCACCTGAGAAATGTTCTGAGAGTGTGGCAGAATACGCTTTTGCAGAAGGAAATGAATACAGAGGACAGCAGGTGGAGAAAAAAAACTTCTTGCAATGTGCAAGAATGGAGGGGCCTTTGGTTGTGATCCTTGGTGAGATTCGACAGGGGGTGTTATGAGGCCACATGAGCTTTGCTATTTTCCTCTGTGAAACGGGCAAGACTGGTGGTATGCTTACTATGAGTCAGTTGTTGTTGTTTAGTTTAGTCATGTCCGACTCTTCATGACTCCATGGACCAGAGCACACCAGGCACTCCTGTCTTCCACTGCCTCCCGCAGTTTGGTCAGACTCATGTTAGTAGCTTCCAGAACACTGTCCAACCATCTCATCCTCTGTCGTCCCCTTCTCCTTGTGCCCTCCATCTTTCCCAACATCAGGATCTTTTCCAGGGAGTCTTCTCTTCTCATGAGGTGGCCAAAGTATTGGAGCTTCACGATCTGTCCTTCCAGTGAGCACTCAGGGCTGATTTCCTTCAGAATGGATAGGTTTGATCTTCTTGCAGTTCATGGGACTTTCAAGAGTTTCCTCTGGCACCATAATTCAAAAGCATCAATTCTGCCAAGAAAGTTGTGTCATCTGAATATCTGAGGTTGTTGATATTTCTTCCGGCAATCTTAATTCCGGCTTGGGATTCATCCAGTCCAGCCTTTCGCATGATCAGTTATTGGGGTGCCATTAAGCCTTACGGTCAGCAGGTGCCGCTATTGATGTGGCTTACAAACTGTTACGTGAGAGAGCCAGAAAGAGAAACTGCACAGTCCAATAGAGAGGGGTGGAAAACACACAAGGCAGAACAATTTGTTCCAAAACATTTTGCTCTGCAATGGGGTCATCTATAAATTCTGGGATTTCCTGTTTTCTGAACAGCCAGCCTCAGACAGCAACCAGGGTCTCTTTCTCTCTCTCTCGCTTGTCTCACACACCCTTCCTTTATCCAAGAGCTGCATTTTGCTCTCAGAAATCAAACAAGCCACAAACTCCTGCCTCCTGCGGGCTTTTCAGGAGATCCTGTAACACAACACAGCGCACTCCTGCTTGTCTCAGCGCCAGGCTTTCATTTCCTCTAGGTTGTGTCATGAAATCATGGGATTTCTGTGGCTTTCCACAACTGCTGTGTGGAATAAATGTGAAAAAGAAGCAAAAAGGCTTGAATGTACATTTCTAGCGTCACTAGGAAGTTCAACGGGTCTAATGGGAGCTTGAAGTTGATTTCAGGCCAGTGTGCGAAAGGGCTAATCCCTTTTATATATTTTTATTTGTTTAATGTATTTAAATTCTGTCTTCTCCCCAAACTGGGATTCAAGGCAGGTCCCAGCTTTTAAAATGCATCATTATAAAACACGCTGTGGTAAAAACAAACTAGATTTAAAAAAAAGTTAAAATGAATTAAAAACCAGCAGTTAAAATGCAGTTTGCCCTGACAGCAGCCCAGTGGTCAGTCCAAAGGCTTGTGTGAGCAGGAACGTCTTAGCCTTCTGCTGAAAGGATAGCAAAGGGGGAGCCAGTCTAGCCTCTCTCGGGAGGTAATCCAACAAGGGTGAGCAGCCACAGAGAAGTTTTACCACCAATTGTGCCTCTGATGTCAATGGGAAGGTGCTCACCTGAGGATTTCAGCACCCAGGCAGGTTCATGTAGGGAGATACAATCTTGCAGGGAATCTGGGCCCAAGCCACAGAGGGCTTTATCGATCATAACCAGCACTTTGAATTGAAACGGACCAGCAGCCAGTGAAGTAAAATGCTCCCTGTAACCAGCCACCATCAGCAATCTGGCTGCAGCATTCTGGACCAGCTGAAGCTTCTGAACACTTTTCAAGGCACACCTACCTCTACCTCAACTGCCACTGAAAGGGTTCCCAGAAGACAGGGTGGCTACTGTTCACGATTGCCTGCAGTCTATACTCTGGGATGATTGTACTAGTACTTTCAACTGTTCTTGGACTCAGTGCTTCCCATATGTAAAACGGATGCATGTTTTCTATGATTTATCAGATACTGTATTTGCATGACTTGGTTCACCCCACACCCCCTTTTTAGGTATTTGTTCTTACATGCATAGGAGCCAAGTGATGGGTGACACTGTTAATTCTGGCTTCTCATCTTCCCTATATTAAGTTTAGTTCTACCTATTTCCACATCAGTTTGCAATTCTTTTTCAAAAAGTCCTCATGAAAATTCATAAGCAATTTAGTGTGGATTTAACCTAATACACACATTCTTCCCCAATTACACACTTTGCAAGCAAAATTCCCTAGTATAATGCTATTTTTGTAGATTGTTTCCATCAACATATGTATTTTATAACCATTTTACCCTAATACATACTTTTTTCTTTTGGTTATGATAAACATGACTTGGCTAGAGAACTGCATTTCATAACTCAGGGAAGTGTGGCTTTTGAATAATAGCTGCATTTTGGTTTGTAGAATTTGAAGTGCGAGCTAAGCAAATTCCCCTTTAATGGTGATCTGAAGGGAATTTCTCCTCTATTCCTTGAGCCAATCTTGACTGGAGTATAAATATTATAAATAAATAAACAGAGATCCTGCATTCTGATTATGCTGCTGTATTTAGATTGAAGAATGCTCATCTGTGGAAAGGCTGCTTTGCACTCATGGGATCTGCTGCTACAAGTTGAGCGTGATATACACACACACACAAAAATATTTTATTTTTGTTCTTTAAATAAATCCATGTACTTTTTGCCACAGATACCACCTTTACAGCTCAAAAAATGGCAATACTTTTGCTGATTAAAGACAAAATGAAAATTCAATGGCGATTGTAAGGTACAAACTTTGCAAATATTTTAATAAATAAGGAGTTTTAGTATAAGAATAGGAAATGTATTCAAAGGTAGCTCCCAAATCCGCCGTCAATATGGCTTCGATCCGAATAGCAGCATCACTCTTTCCTCAATCCAGTAGCTATAGCCTAAATTACACAAAAGCACAATTAAGAACTTTGTAGAGTAACAGGCGTACAAGAGTAAAGTAAAAACATAAAATGGTTCTGCTACTTCAAACACATAAATGAAGAAGGAAAATACAAATAAGATGGAATACAAAGCGAAGCAAATCCTAGAAGTAACTTTCATTGGTTGGCATCAACAATTGTTCTAAAATGAAGAGCTAGACTTAAGTATAAATCCATGCAAATGTCTCATTAATTTAATATATTGTCATTACTATTTCTAAAAGCTTCTGGGGCGCAAGGCCTTAACTCAAAGCTCTTAGGGTGGGTGATCAACATCACCAAGCACCAACAAACACCTACACTGAAAAGCTAGCATTAACTTGAAGAATAGCAAGTCATTTTTCTTCAAACACATGTGCAAGTTGAACATTCCAATCTGAAGTTAGAAAGCTTGAACGCAAGAACAAAATGCTTTAGTATTAAAGTACGAGCAACTTTGCAACTGCATTCTATATAGCAAGAGTTGGTTTTGGCTAGGAACATAGGGGCTATCTCACGCTGAAGATTGTGGGTGCCCGCGATGAAGGGCTTCAACTTTGCTCATTGACTTTGTGGGGACCCAGTCCCCACAAAGGGGGGTGAAGCACCCATGGCCCCCTGAAGTCTGCTCAAGAGGCTAGGAAAAAACCTCAAGTCAGAAGCAAGAGGAAGTGTGCAAGATGACAAACATTTATTCCAGAGTTGCTTCTGCTCTTTTCCTCATCATCACTCAACTCAAGTCTGCTATTGGTACATGCATGCAGCTCCTGGGCACACCCACAAAAAGACTCACTTGATCACTGACATAGTATTTGTTCCAGTTGTGAACTAAAACAAATTATGCGCTTAAGCATCAGGAATCAAGTAGCTGTTGCTTGGGGGAAATGTCCCACGTGGGGTATGGACACATCTTCAGTGAGTCACTTACTGGAGTAAAATTTGCCATCAATCAATATTCAGGTGAAGCATTTGTTTTACGATTCCAGCTCAAATGCTGACTCTGCTCAGTGCAATGTAAAGTAGTTGGAATTCTACAAAATGCAGACATCTTACAGAATGCTATTACAGAAGTTCTACTGAAGTCAATAAGCCTGACTCCTGTGTCTATGCCACAGTGAATACAGAAAGACTTGCTTTCACATAAACACGCTTAGAATTATACTGTAATTTTGCTTACTAGGGAGGTATTGATACTGTCCATTCTGTAATAACAGAGATGCTGTTGACTTGGAACTACACCCACCCCAAATACTTCTTGGGCAAGAATCTCTGACACTGAAAATATTCTTCTAATGTTGTTCTCTTGCTATACAATTCTAAACACTTTTTATGTATATTGCTCATCTTCTAGGGTTTTCTAAAGGCTAACAAGTCTGATTCTTTTTGTTCAGAGGGAACAGCTTCCAGACATCTATGGTGCCTTTTTATTAAGTCTCTCCCCTATCTGTGTGCAAAAGTATAGCATTCTCTATTTTAAAAAAGGTAAAGTACCCCTGACAGTTAAGTCTAGTCACAAACAACTCTGGGGTTATGGCGCTCATCTCGCTTTACAGGCCGAGGGAGCCAGCGTTTGTCCGCAGTTTTTCCGCGTCATGTGGCCAGCATGACTAAGCCGCTTCTGGCAAAACCAGAGCAGCGCATGGAAACGCTGTTTACCTTCCCGTCGGAGCGATACCTATTTTTTGGCATGCTTTCAAACTGCTAGGTTGGCAGGAGATGGGACCCAGCAACGGGAGCTCACCCTGTCGCAGGGATTAGAACTGCCGACCTTCTGATTGGCAAGCCCAAGAGGCTCAGTGGTTTAGACCACAGCGCCACCCGCGTCCCTATTTTCTATTTTATATGGCAGCTAATTTTTCACCCACATTCAGCAAGCCTTTTCTTGGGTGCTTAGGATATTATAATCCCAAAGCCTTAGGTGGTAGGTGTTTAGTTTTATTATCCTACTGCCAAGATTTGGGGTCAGATCTGTTGATTATTATGCTGACTAGAGCCACTAACCTCCTCATAAGCTTTCATCTTTACTGTAACTCGACTTTAATAGATGTTCTTTCACTTCCTTACTCTCAATGTACATTTCAGATACCAAATTGCAGGGAATATACCCTTTCTTTCCTTCACATTCACCTCGGTAAAAACCATCAGCATCTTGGTGACCAATCACTTTCAGAATCTGTCCCTCTTTAAAAGATAGCTCCTCCTCAGCTGTGTCAGAATTAGGTGACATAGTTATGGGATCGTAGTCAAAAAGTGCTACAAAAAGCCTTGTTGGGTCATTATTAACCCTTTCTCCTGAAACAAAGCTGCTCTGAGGGCCTGAATTAGGCACTGTTTGGTCAGTTCTGGGGCTCATGGTTATAATTTTATCTTTTGCCAGTTCTACAAGGGACACTGGCGTCTCCTGTGGTTTATGGTCTTCTCGTCCAGAAACGTTCATCCTATACAACTGGTTTTCCTCTTCCTCAATATCTGAAAGATCTGAAATATGGTTATGGTCACCAAGAGGAGTCTTCCAGCTTTTAGTTCTTGATACTTGCTCTTCCTTTATTTCAGCATCAGACACACTCAAGTTGGAGAGTTCTTTGCATAACTGCTTAACCTTCTTTATGTGGTTCTTTTCAGAAAGATGACCCAGCTCTTCCTGAAGACAGAAGTTGCGCATTCCTGCACCTCTGCAATTGCCCTTCTCTAGTTCAAACTCTGTGGAAGAAACAGTGGTTGCACCCATAATGTCAATATGGCATTGAAAAGATGAATCTTTGGCATTGGTATGTTCGGCCATTGTATACACCTTGATTTTGCTGTTGTCTGGCTGATTCTTACCTACAATCGTTTTAGTCAGAGGATGATCTTCTGAAATTTCTCTTCCAGTGTCTCCAGTAAATACTGGCAATGCGGCGCTGGCTAGTCCTTCGTACTTTGAAGTAGGAAAAACATGTTCTGAGGAGTGCTTTCTAACAGATGTGTGTAGAATAGAATCACCCTTGTCTTTATTTCTTGCATCGTGTGAAGTTGTCAGTGCAGAAGAGGTCATATGATTCTGAGAAACATTTACTGGCACAGAAACTGCTTCTTCTTTGTAATCAGACATGAAGTGAATGGTGAAATCGGTGTCTGCACCAGCCAGGCACATGTGGGAGAAGACAGATGAGGACATACTGGTTGTGGCAGAGATGTGCCCATCTTCAAACTCTAAGAATTCTTTGAAAGTCATCTCAGAGGCATGACTGGGGGAAAAGAACTTTGACATTAAAGAATTAGGAATTTCCAAATGAGCGGATGGAATTAAAGCTGGCACAGAATCCTCAGATTCCCCAAAGGGGGACACAGTTCTCACAGAGACCTTCCAAGACCCTTGGAACATATTTAGCTGAGACATTGCTAATGATATACTTCCAGCTGTCGGTGATGCAACTTCTGTGACTTTCTGTCCATTGATATAAATTGCATAGCCAGTGACTTTTACGCCATTGGATGATCCTGCTGCATCAATTGTTACTGGCAACCAGCTAACAATTAGGAACTCTGCAGAAGAACTAGGTTGTACTTGGACATCGAGGGGAGCATGAGGCGGTCCTGCTGGTGGAGTAGTGAACATAATTGCTGCTGATTTCTGCTCCAGATCCCCTTGAGGAAACATCAACACTTCTTTAGGAGGCAGTGTTTCCACTTTTACAGTGTACTGAGTGCTGGGGCTAAGATTCTGGAAAGTATACCAATATACCCCTGCCTTTGTGACATCATATTCCATCTCATTAAGGTACACTGCATGAGTGTAGTTACTGTTGCTTGGCAACCAAGTAATTTTTGCTGACGTTGCAGTAATGCTCCAAAGCTCCAGGAGTGCCGGTGCAATATGGAAACTGTTTCCTACAAGGAAAGTGCATTGCATCTTATCGGAATTTCCTTTGTCTGTCACACTTTGAACTGAGATGCGATAAGAACGCAGCTCTAAATCTAGGTTCTCAATCACTGCTTTCATTTGACTGCCATACTTCACACTGTGACACAGATCTGTATTGACATAAATGTTATAGCTGTACACTTTGCCCTGGCTATCTAGCATGTGTGGTGGGTCCCAGCCTATAAGGATGGACCTAGCAAACTGTTTGATAAGAGTCAGGTTCTGGGGACAAAGAACTGCTGCCTGGTCATCACACAGCTCCCCTCCCAGTCTGTTAGACAGCAGATTAACACACATGTCTTCATCAAGGCTGTCGCTTTTGTCTTCACTACTAGCACTTTGGCAGGGGAAACTTGTTTCACGGTATGAATGATAAGAAACATCATTTGGCTCTGAAGGGGCAAAACTTATTAGATCATTCCCTGAAACTTCTTCAACTAAGTTTGAGGGGATCAGTCCCCTCCTACCATCCATCAATTCCCCTTCATAGAAACCATCCTCATCCATTCCTCCATAAATATAAACATATTCCCCAGCTGTCAGTGGAAGTTCTGCTTCAGGGTTCTTATTAGGGCCGTGAAAAGGGTCATAGCTATACCGTGCCAAAAAGACAGAAAGTTTTGAAGGACCTTGATTTTCTAGCTGTTGGCTTATAGAAACTTTATCTGTCTCTAGGTCTTCTGTTTCACCTGCTGTATCTTCTTCGGGATTTAGGCAAGATTTAGAGCTGTTCTGTATGGATTCGGATGCAGATGAGTTTGACTGGGATTCTAATGCTTTAGGTTTTTGGGGGAAGCCAGAAGAACCCACAGATGCAGAGTCTTCATCGCTGATGCTTTTATTACAATGGCGATTGTGGCCAGTACATTGTTCCCATTTTTCTGGGCAAATTATTGCTTGGGAATTGCAAGTTGCATGGGATAATTCTGATTCTAAGAGCCCAGATGTCTTAACTTGCTCAAGTTCTTCAGTCAGGAGATTAAAGTGTTTGGTCTGACTGTGATACTGGTTTTCCAGCTCTTTTACTTGAGCTTCAAGCTGCTGTACTGCCTCCTCATGCTCTCTTTTTATCTCTGTCTGCATCTGATGCAGTTGTTGTATTTCTCCCTCTTTCTTTTGCAGCACCAGTAAAGTTTTCTCATGTTCAGATTCCAACTGTTGCCATCCTTCTGCCGTCTCTTTCATGTTCTTAATGACTTGCTCCAAACGCTCCACTTTAATTTCCAGTCCGTTAGACAACTGCACGGCAGAATTGTAGTCATCAGTTGCCTGCATGAGCTTCACTTTTATCTCGGTATTTTCACTCTGGATCTTTTCCATCTGTTTGTTCTTCTCATGTAGCTGAGAGTTCTCCTCTGCAACCTTGACCTTTTCACTCAATGTTGCATTGATCTGCAGTTCCAAATAATCACATCTCTTTTGTTTCGCCTCCACTTCACATTGAAGGTTTTTACACTCCTGAGCTTTTTCAGCCAGCTCCCTTTTCAAAGTCTGCAAGGAATGCTCAGCATCCGAACCCAATGTTGAAGTGCTGTTTTCATCATTCTTAGCACTGTTCCCCAAAGCTGGTGCTTCTGATTGCACATCTTTCACCAATGTGTCCAATGTTTCTGGCATCTCCTTTGGCAAAGGCAAGCCCTTTAAGCATGCGCCCACAACTGATGTTTCTGGGATGATAACTGCTGAAGAAGGAGCACTGGAGGCCATTTTGGAGAGCTGAAAAGATTCCCTGATGTTCCTGAGCATGATCTGTCTTTGCAGCCTCAGCACTTCTCTCTGAGACTCTCGCAGCAAGCGATCAAACTCACAGATGTTGAGAAAACAGGCATTCTCTGTGCCTGAAGACAGTTTGGCCTGCAGCTCCCAGCACTCCTTCTGCAAGGCTTCCAGCTGCTGGTCCTTTGCCAGCAGAACATTGGCTTGTTCGCTCAGGTCCTTCACCCGCTGCCGAGCATAGCTGCTCTTGTACAGGTCTGTGTCGGGGCAAGCCAAGGCTAAGGGGATTGGGGCGCCGCCAACCTTGAGGCCGGATTCCTGGAGCTTCTTGGCCCGCTCTTCCAGGCGCTTGGCGATGGCCGCCAGCTCCATGTTCTTCCTCTTCAGCCGCTTCACTTTGTCCTGCATCTCCGGGAAGCTGCTCTTCCTCAGCAGGGCGTTCTCCTCCTTCAGGCGGGTGCACCGCTGCTCGAGGGCCCCCAGGGCATCCAAGAGGTCCGTGTTCTGCTTCACCAGCTGGTCATAGCCGCCTCCCGACAGCCAGTCTTGCTGCTGGCTTTGCAGGCCTGCCGGAGGCGTTGCGCCTTCTCCCGCTGACCCTGAGCTGCATGTTTTCCCTTCCGGGGGTGCATCCGCAGACCCCTCTTCCTTGGCCCCTTCCTCCAGAGGGGCCTTCTCTTTCCCCAAGGAAGCAGCAGTGGCCGCAGCCTTCTGGGCCTCCGGCTGTGGGGCGCAGCCGCCACCCGCTTGGCCCCCTCCTTCCAGCAGAGCATGGTGGGGGTGGGGGTGAGGCTCGCATGGGCTCAGGTTGCTGTGCAGGGAGCGGGACTTGGAGGCTGTCCCGCTGTCGGGGGCGCAGGAGGCGACCACGAGGCTCTCCAAGGAGCGGGGCCTGCTCTTGCCCAGTCTGTGGCTGGGCAGTGTCGTAGGCGGCGGCCTGACTTTGTGCGACGACGCCAGCGGCGAATGCTCTCCCTCGAAGCGCTCCAGGATATACTTGAGGAAGAGGCTCCTCTCCAGCTCCAGCTCGGCCTTGAGGTGGCGGATGCGCGCGGCCTGGTCGCCGTCGACCTCCCAGCGGAGCTTGCCCAGCACTTCTTGCAGCTTGGCGCGGCACTCGCCGTTCAGACCCGAGCTGCTTCCACCACCACCACTGCCAGCTCGGCTGCTTCGGCTGACCAGCTCCTCGGCCAGCTGGCGCTGCAAGTCGCGGGCCTGTCGCATGGCGGCGTCTCGCTCCCGCTGCAGCAGCTCCTGGGCCTCTCGCAGCTCCGCCTCCTTCCAGCGCAGCAGCTGCCGGATCTCGGTCTCGCGCTGCCGGGCGCCGGCCTCGCGCAGCTGGTGCAGCTCGCGCGCCCGCTGCTGTTCCCACTTGGAGCGGAGCTGGTCGGCCAGCAGCTGCCGCTCGCGCTCGGCCGCCTCGCGCAGCTCGCGCGACTCCAGCGCGAAGCGGCGCCGGCACTCCTGAGAGCGCAGCCGCTCCGCCTCCAGCTCCGCCCGAAGCGACTCCAGCTCTCGGCGGTGGTCCTCGTGGAAGGCGGGCGGAGGCCCCGCAGGAGGAGGGAAGGGCGGGGGAGGGGGAGGAGGACCGGGAGGCGCCCCGCTGGAGACGCCGCCGCTGCCCAGGGCGGCAGGAGGAGCGCCGCCAAGGGCTTGGGACGCGGCCTTGCGCGGGGAATGGCGCGCAGACAGAGCGGGGCCTCCGCCGCCCCCTGAGGGGCTGTCTTTAGTCATGGCGCGACCAAGGCCGGCAGGTGCGGCCCGCCGTGTGAGCCGAAGGCGCGTGAGGGGAAGTTCAAACCGTCGCCAACCGCCGCGCGTGGAACGTTCCAGGCGTCGCCCCCTCCCCCGCCCCCTCGTTCGCGCGGGCGCGCTATTGTCACCGGTCCTGCCCGCGCGGTGAGTTCCACAGGCTTTCCCCATGCAGCCCAGGAAGAAGCGTCCTCTTAGGCCCCTGGATGCGATGGGAAGTTGTTGGCATCCCTAGGAGCCAATGTCCCTTTTTGGGGGGCCCCGAGAAAATATTGGAGGGGGGCTGCCCTCTCTCCCAGCTGGTGGGCACTGCCATTCAAATGGTGTATGTGCACCGTGCTGTGTGATCGATTCAAGCTGGCATCGCCTGTTGGCACCCGTCTGCCTCGAGAAATAATGGAGTGCACCACTGGGGGTGAAGTCAAAACAGTTGCATTAGCAATGCCTAGCCTGGGCAGTGTGAATGAGGGTCCTGGGCTCCCCAGATGACAAGAGCCTCCTCGTTCATTGAGATCCAAAAGAAAGCAGAGCAATACATTTGGCATCGATGTGGCTGCAGGAATCATGCGAAAGAAGCATACAAGGCACCATCCAACCAGCTTAGGGACTCCGCTCCGGATTTACTCCTTAGCCTTTTCTTCTCCCTAAGATATCCCACAAAGCAGAGGGAACCACCTGGCAGAATAAGACCAGCCTGGAACTGGGCAAGGAAGGAGCAAGTTTCCTGAACCAAGTAGGCAGTGGAGTTCTAAGGAGGCAGGGATTGCATGTCAGGAAGGTGCATTGTCACGTAGTTTCCCTTATAGCTGCCAGGTGCTTCACTCACCTGTAAATTCTCCACATATCTCCCTCTCTGGTATATGTTCATTTATAGAAGCATCTGTAATTTGTAGACCCTTGACCCAATAAGAGCCCCAGAGGAAAAACTAGGACAATATATCAATGTACAGTCATACCTTGGTTGTCGAACGCCTTGCTACTCATACATTTTGGCTCCCGATTGAAACCCGGAAGTGAGCTGGTTTTTGAACTTTTTTTGGAATGTCCGAGGTGGCTTCCATGCACCTTTGCAGTCGGAAGCCAATCGGAAGCTGCACCTTGGTTTCCAAACGTTTCGGAAGTCGAACGTACCTCCGGAACGCATTCTGTTCGAAAACCAAGGTACGACTGTGCTGATATTAGTATCAATTATATATAAAAAAGGGAGTACTATTTCTCGAAGCACATAGTTAAACTATGGAACTTGCTGCCATGGAGAACAGTTCTGACCAACTTAGATGGCTTTAAAGAGTGGACAAATTTTTGGAGCAGAGGGATATCGATGGTTACTAGCCACAATAGCTATGCTCTGCTTCCACAGCTGGAAACAGTTATGCTTCCGAATACCAGTTCCTGGAAGCCACAAGAGGAGAGGGGACTCCTGTGCTGGCATCTTGTTTGAGAGTTTCCCACAGGCCTCTGGTTGGCCAATGTGAGAACAGGATGCTGGACAAGATGGGCCACTGGCCTGACCCAGCAGGCCCTTCTTACGTTCTTAATGAAACAGTAACAACAAAGAGCGTTCATAGAACCAGTAAACCACAGTACACCAAGTCCATTCACTACAAATGTAAGAGCCATAAAAAGGAGGAGATAGCATTCAGGTACCCTGGTCCCAAACTGTTCAGGTCCTTGTAGGTAGCAACCAGCACTTTGAATCCCACTTAGCCACCCAAGCCAACCCGTTCACAAGTAGTTTACTTTGCACGCAAGTGGAATATATTGAGCCGGTGATCCAGCACCCTGTGCCAAATCTACATATGGTGATTGATTGTATCTCCAGCAGTGGCAGCAGGAACATCTAGGGAGGTGTCTGAAGAACTCTTCCCCTACTCAGGATAGGCACTATCACATGCCTAGATACCTGTGTTGTTAGCTGAACTGCTTTGAGGGTGGCTATAGTTGAAAAAACAGCATACAAACAAATAAGTGAATAAAAATGGACTGATTCCAACCATTGTTTGTCCCATCAGCCAGTACCCTAACATTGCATGACCCTAGCATTCCATGTGATGGGATGCACGTGTAACATGTACCTGTTTATCAGGCCTTATACATGCGCACACACCTTTTTAATTCCTCTTCTCCCACCCCCACCAGTTGGCCAGGTCTGAAAAGCCTGTCTAGTAACTACAAAATGGGAGATGGGTGGTCTCCACCAGGACACTCACACTGACCTGAAAAACCCACCACCACCAACCCACATGCTCATGGCACACTCTTCTTTAAATATTTTTGTTTTCATTGTATGTAACCAGACTTATAGACCGCTTAATTAAAACAAATAAACAACCCTAAGCAGTTTCCTTGAAACAGTAGAAAATGCTACGTTAAAGAATACAAATAAAATCAAAATTTAAAAAGCAGGCATAATAATATTTATCAAAATATGAATAAAAACCAGATGTACATAATAAATTACAAATGAAAATTTAATGTCTGGGTAGGCTTGCCTAAGCAATCCCATGTTTCATATATGTTTCATATTCTCTGCCTTAATACTCATTGAAAGAGAGGCAACTGCAAAGAAAGGAACACATTATAGAGCCTTCATCTGACCTACAACTTCATTTGCCCCTTCCCCTTCCACCACCTGATAGCCTCGTGTTGATTGGCATGGCTTGGGGAAAACTATATGAGTCCCTCTGAGTCGCTTGGGATTTCCCCAGTTAATAGTTAATAGCTGGATAAATAAGTGTAAGTCCAGCTGTGAGCAGATGTGTTTAATTATTTCCTTCCATGCCCCCAACAAATCAGTCCGAAAGGTTGCAAATGGTGAAACGTCTTAAGAACTTTCAGCCATCTTTTAGACAACATGCCAAGGCCTGAACTTGGCGTGAAGACCAATGCATGGTTCTCAAAGGGTGTGGCAGGAAGATTCAAGGACAAAGAAACGTTTAAGCAATTCAGTGTAGTATAGTATAATTTTTATTTATTTATTTGCAGAATATTGATAGATATCTTCAGAATCAAGAACCGCTAGAAGTTATTTTTGTTTTTCAATGTATCAATATATTTTTTTCCAACTTATCAGTAAAAAAAAGTGGCATTAGCAATTTTTTTATTCTGAGAAAGTGGCCTGGAGGAAAAAGGTTTCAGAACCATTGCCCTAATGGGTGGTGGCAGGGGGGATGGTGGCTTTTGATGTCTTCCTACGTCAAGTGCTGGGAAAGGGAACCTCTGTCTTTCTCTTTCCTGCAGAGAGCCTTGGACCCAGCAATAGTGAGTGGCGGCATGTGGGTAGGAAAGCATCCTGCCAAAAATGTACCTCCTGCTCTTTCGTCTCCCTGTTCTTCTTTAAGACTATTAAGTTATCTGAGGAAAAAGCTAGGAAGCTTTTTTCTTTTCTTTTCTTAAAAGTCCCAAAGGGAAGCGTTTTGGCCTCCTTTGAACCGAGAGTTGCTGTTTAAATAGAATTATAACTGTATGTCTGCACAGAGGAGAAGGTGCTCTGCAGGGCAAGTCCATTTGCCAGAGCTTTGATAAAATATATATGTATAATTGATGCAGCTGTTCGGTTAATCACACCCTGTACTTAAGACCGATTAAAGCCCATCACATTAATTTAATTGAATGGGGGGGGGACTGGGAATTGTACTAGATTTCCCCCATTAAATTAAAATTACTGCCCTCGATTAGATGTCCTAGGTGTCCATTGTTGTTAGCAGATAATGGAATTATTATGCAAATTGGTATCTGCCCTTAATTGATCTGGTCACTGATGCCTTCCTAGTTCCTCCCGGTCTCACACATTCCTTTTCTCCTAAGCTTAATTGTAATTACATTCCCACCCCACCCCTAGGCTGATTGATGTAGGCAGGAACCCAAAAAGAGACTTTGACACACCCAACAGCTTCTATCTATTGCTAGGATTCCTTTCCCCTTTGAACAGCAGGACCTCCTGCCACCCCTCCAGACTGGCGCATATGTGGAGGGCTTTTGGGGTGGGGGCTGTGGCTATAGCTTGCAACATGCCATTGATGCAATAATAGTGCATTAGTGTTAGATTTATACCGTCCACACATCATGCAGAATTGTAAAAGGTTCAGAAACGGGCAACCAAAATAATCAGGCGGGTGGAGCAACTCCCCTGTGAGGAAAGGTTGCAGTGTGGAACTTGCTTCCACAAGAGGCAGCGATGGCCACCAACTTGAAAGCCTTTAAAAGAGGATTAGACAAATTCATGGGTGACAACGCTATCAATGGCACTTAGCCACAGTAGCTCGGTGCTGCTATTGGAGTGGCTTTTACTCCTGTTGAATGGGTTTTAAAATGTAGGTGCAGCCATGCTTCTGAATACCAGTTGCTGGTAACCACAGGAAGGAAGAGTGCTGTTATACTCCGGTCCTGCTTGTTGGCAACAGGATGCGGGACTAGATGGGCCATTGTCCTGAACCAGCAGGCTCCTCTCATGTCCTTAGGCAAAAAGCTCCTCCCTTCCATCTCCTGCATACCATTTCATTTTGACCTCAGCTTAGAAGCTTCTCAGCAGACCTACTTTGTCAGTTTGGTGCTCACAGAAGCCCAGCAGTGGCCACCTCTCCCACACCCTGCGCAGCCTGCCCTTGCATCTGGTTGGCCGCTGTGAGAACAGGATCGTGGACTACATGGCCACTGGACTGATTCAGCCAGGCTTGTCTGGTGCTCTTCTGTACTTGCAAGCTCCCCAAAGGCATGACAAAAAGCCAGGCTATGAAAATGGGTTCTAAGCGAGACTTGAACTTGCAGCCTCCAGGAATGTAATCACTTGGTCCCAGTCCCTCAGCAGCAGCGTTAAATTGTGTTTGCTCAGAAAAGAATCTGCACCCTTTGGGGATATATTCCTTACACGTGTTATTAACAGCTCCCTAAAGTCAGCCCTCCATGGAAGATTAAAGACCGCTGCTCCAAAGTCTGCAAGGCAGAAAGTATTCTAGTCTCTCTCTCAGGTCTTGCTAAGAAGCTTAATAGTAACTGTTCTGGATTTGTTCCCTCTCTCCACCCCCCCTTTCCCTTTGTAATCATTATTTCCTCTGGCAATGTTTCTAACTGCAGGTTTAGATTTGTTTGGCTTCGTATTTATTCAGAAAGAGTATCAGTGACCTTTATAGAGGAAGGAGGTTGTCAGCCGACTGGTTTCTCAAAGGCAAGGCATGATGTGAGATGAAAATGCAATTTGTGTGTGATTGTTTTTCTTCTTTGCAAAGAAAGTCCTGCTAAACATTCACCTCTGCCATGGACTTCTTGGGTGGCCTCAGATAAATTACTGTCCTTTAGTTTCCTATCTGCATAACTGCAGTGACCAAGGCAAATTCATTTCAGATCTTACCTTTTGCTCATGTTACGTCAGACCACTGTCCTGTTGAGTATTGTCTACAGCAGCTACTGGGAACCTGTGGCCCTGCAGATGTTGCGGAACTACAACTCCCATCACCCCTGGCCTTGCTTGCTGAGCTGATGGAAGTTCAACAACATATGGAGGGCCAAAAGTCATTGCTGGCCCATTCACAAGGCAAGGTGAGGTGCCACCTGCTTGGCAGCCCCCCTCCCCCCATGCCATCTCTACAGTGGCCTCTTGATGAAAAGGAGGCACTGCTGGTCTCCCACCCCTAGGGAATGTCTGCCTCTGGGTTTTCCTGGGCTCTGGACCTGCCTGACATGATTCAGAGTGGGCCCCTCCCCTCCACAACAGCCTTTGATTCCCACTTCAACCACTGAATGAGTTTGATTTGATTCTCCCCCTCGTTCCCGATGTAGATCTTCACTCACCCCTTTTTCCCTGGTGGTGGCGGCACCATTTTGTGGTTCACTGCAGGTGCCAAAGTTTATTGGACTGGCCCTGCCAAAGTTTCTGCATACCTGGTGTATTAGTGACCAGCAGTGGCTCTCCAGGATGTCAGACTGGGTCTCTCCCAGCCCTGCCTGATGATGCCATGGGTTGAACTTGGGGTTTTTGGAGGTGCCAGGATTGAACCTGAGACCTTCTGCATGCAAAGCAGATGTTCTACCACTGAGGCACAGGGAGGGGAAATACTCCACAGGCAGTCATTGTGCACATGGAACATACTGCTTTTATATTTTGATTTTGTTCTGTGAACTGCCCTGAGTATAGGGCGGTATATAAACTCAGTAAATAATAATAATCAAATGATTTCACCTGGATCCCTCCCCCTACCTGGATCTAGGTCTATTTGCACTGGATTTTATACACATTTGCCCTACTTTAATGTTGTGGAGATGTAGGGGAGGGAACTTAATTTTCCTTGATAGGAAGCAATCAATAAAATTTATCTTCTAAAATCAGCTAATGCTTGAAATGCTGGAGGCAAGCCTCCTAATACAACAGAGCTATCCTTAAAAATGGAATTGTCTAGAAAGCAAAAACTTTTTGCAGGCACTAGCAACCATAGATTATGAAAAAAACTGGAACTGCAGGAAAGGAAGGAAGGCCACTTTCAAGCTGTTACTATTTTGTGGATCCTATTGTATCACATATCAGCCCCTTCAGATGGCACAATTGAAGTGGATTTAACATGTACAACAAGATGGTTTAAAACACCAGGAGGGTGTTTCTCCTCTTCATCTATTGCCCTATACCTCACTTTCCACTCTACTTGGTTTTCCATGAAGCAATTCCTGGTGACTTTTTGTTATTTTTTCAGTAGAATCATAGAATCAGAGAGTTGGAAGAGACCACAAGGGCCATCGAGTCCAACCCCCTGCCAAGCAGGAAACGCCATCAGAGCACTCCTGACATATGGTTGTCAAGCCTCTGCTTAAACACCTCCAAAGAAGGAGACTCCACCACACTCCTTGGCAGCAAATTCCACTGTCGAACAGCTCTTACTGTCAGGAAGTTCTTCCTAATGTTTAGGTGGAATCTTCTTTCTTGTAGTTTGGATCCATTGCTCCGTGTCCGCTTCTCTGGAGCAGCAGAAAACAACCTTTCTCCCTCCTCTATGTGACATCCTTTTATATATTTGAACATGGCTATCATATCACCCCTTAACCTCCTCTTCTCCAGGCTAAACATGCCCAGCTCCCTTAGCCGTTCCTCATAAGGCATCATTTCCAGGCCTTTGACCATTTTGGTTGCCCTCCTCTGGACACGTTCCAGTTTGTCAGTGTCCTTCTTGAACTGTGGTGCCCAGAACTGGACACAGTACTCCAGGTGAGGTCTGACCAGAGCAGAATACAGTGGCACTATTACTTCCCTTGATCTAGATGCTATACTCCTATTGATGCAGCCCAGAATTGCATTGGCTTTAGCTGCCGCGTCACACTGTTGGCTCATGTCAAGTTTGTGGTCAACCAAGACTCCTAGATCCTTTTCACATGTACTGCTCTCAAGCCAGGTGTCACCCATCTTGTATTTGTGCCTCTCATTTTTTTTGCCCAAGTGCAATACTTTACATTTCCCTGTTAAAATTCATCTGGTTTGTTTTGGCCCAGTTCTCTAATCTGTCAAGGTCGTTTTGAAGTGTGATCCTGTCCTCTGGGGTGTTAGCCACCCCTCCCAGTTTGGTGTCATCTGCAAATTTGATCAGGATGCCCTTGAGTCCATCATCCAAGTCGTTGATAAAGATGTTGAATAAGACCGGGCCCAAGACAGAACCCTGTGGCACCCCACTAGTCACTCTTCTCCAGGATGAAGAGGAACCATTGATGAGCACCCTTTGGGTTCAGTCAGTCAGCCAGTTACAAATCCACTGAGTGGTAGCATAGTCAAGACCGCATTTTACCAGCTTCTTTACAAGAATATCATGGGGCACCTTGTCAAATGCCTTGCTGAAATCAAGGTAGGCTACATCCACTGCATTCCCTTCATCTACCAGGCTTGTAATTCTGTCAAAAAACGAGATCAGGTTAGTCTGACATGACTTATTTTTCAGTAAATCCATGCTGACTATTGGTGATCACAGCATTCCTTTCTAGGTGCTCACAGACTGTTTGCTTAATGATCTGCTCCAGAATCTTCCCTGGTATTGATGTCAGACTGACTGGGCGGTAATTATTTGGGTCCTCTCTTTTCCCCTTTTTGAAAATAGGGACAACATTTGCCCTCCTCCAGTCTGCCGGGACTTCGCCTGTTCTCCAGGAATTCTCAAAGATGACTGCCAGTGGTTCTGAGATCACATCTGCCAGTTCTTTTAATACTCTTGGATGCAGTTCATCTGGCCCTGGAGACTTGAATACATCTAAACTAGCCAAGTATTCTTGTACTATCTCCTTAGTTATTCTGGGCTGTGTTTCCTTTGCTGAATCATTTGCTTCAAATTCTTCAGGTCGGGCATTGTTTTCTTTATCGGAGAAGACTGAGGCAAAGAAGGCGTTGAGGAGTTCAGCCCTTTCTGTGTCCCCTGTTTGCATTTCACCATCTTCTCCTCTGAGTGATCCCACTGTTTCTTTGTTCTTCCTTTTGCTACGAACATACCCATAAAAGCCTTTTTTGTTGCTTTTAACCTCTCTAGCAAGCCTGAGTTCATTCTGTGCTTTAGCTTTTCTGACTTTGTGTCTACACGTGCTGGCTATTTGTTTGAATTCCTCTTTGGTGGTTTCCCCCTTTTCCATTTTTTGTACACATCCTTTTTTAATCTTAACTCAGTTAAAAGTTCTTTAGATAGCCACCCTGGCTTCTTTAGGCACCTTCCATGTTTCCGCCTCATTGGTATTGCCTGACGTTGTGCTTTTACTATCTCCCTCTTAACAAACTCCCAGCCATCATGAACTCCCTTTCCTTTTAGTATTACTGTCCATGGGATCTCACCCAGCACTTCCCTAAGTTTTATGAAGTCGGCTTTCTTAAAGTCAAGAAATTGAGTCCTAGTATGCTTGGCTGCTCCTTTCCGCTGTATAGTAAACTTCAGAAGAGCATGATCACTCGCGCCTAATTATCCTTCCACTTCTACCCCACTAACCAGGTCATCAACATTGGTTAGGACCAGATCTAAAATGGCTGTTCCTCTTGTTGCTTCTCCCACTTTCTGGACAATGAAGTTGTCTGCAAGGCCAGTGAGGAATCTGTTTGACCTTATGCTCTTGGCTGAGTTTGACATCCAACAAATATCCGGGAAATTGAAGTCCACCATTACTACTATCTCCCTTCCTTTTGCATGCTTGGCCATCTGTTCCAGGAAGGCATCATCTATGTCCTCCGTTTGGCTTGGGGATCTATAGTAAACTCCCACAATGAGGTCACTGTTATTCTTCTCTCCCTTAAAAAGTACGTTTACTGTATGTACTTGGATTAGTGTAGTTGTCCTCAAGTTTAGATAATAGAAGGTATTTAGGCCCAGGCTATCTGAAAGACCATATTCTTTCATACAAACTTGGCTGGGCTCTGAGATCTTCTGGGGAGGCCCTTCTCTCAGTCTTGCCACCTTCACAGACATGCTTGGTGGAGAAGCAGGAGAGGGCCTTCTCAGTGGATGCTCCCAGACTTTGGAACGTCCTTGCTAGTGAGGCTAGACTGGCTCTCTTCTTGTTGTCTTTCCACCGGCAGGTGAATACTGTTTTATTCTGACAGGCCTTTGAGAACTGACTGCTGTTTTTATTATCTGCATTTTAATAGCTTTTTAACATATTATTTTAATTCTATTAGAATTTAATTACTTTTTAACTATTATCTTTTAACTATTACTAGCTTTCTGTATTTTATCTGTGTTGATTACATTTGTGTAAGCCGCCTCGAGTCCCAGTCTGGGGAAAAGGCAGGATATTGTTGTCGTTGTTGATGATGCTGCTGCTACTACTAGTAATAATAATAATGAATTTTTTTGGGGGGCTCCCTACCCCCAAAAGATGTAACATTTGAATGAATTGAAGGGAGCAGAGTACTTCAAAGAGAGAGGAGCATTTTTCTTTCCCCCCCTCTCAAAGACACTATCAGGCTTTGGCAGAAGTGCAGGTAAGGTTCACAGCAGGAGTAGCTGCCGAGTGGCACAGCTTGCTGCAGCTGGCACAAGCAGCTTTGTTTTGGCCCAGGGCTGCTCTGGGAAGAGAGACTGAGCCCGTACCCTTGGAATCTACCCTCGCTCTCCAAGATTCTCAGCCACTTGGCTCCAAGTGGCAGCTCGCACGCAGGCATCCAACTCCCTAAGCCGAGGTTTGTGTAAAAAGAGGCATGTTTGCGATTTGGCAAGTTATTCCTCCCCTGCGCCACCCACGCCATGACAGAAGGCTCCTCCAGTTGACCCCTTTCTTGAGCATTCGTCCCAATTCATTGTGCACAAAGCAAAGGAGCATAAGTTGGCATGTGTTGTTCTCTGCCCCCCTCCTAAGAACATAAGAAGAGCCTGCTGGATTAGACCCATGGCCCATCTCGTCCAGCATCCTGTTCCCAGATGCCTGTGGGAAACTTGCAAGCAACTGGAAACCAGCAACTGGTTTCCAGCAACTGGTATTCAGGAGCATTGCTGCCTCCAGTTTTGGGGGTAGAAGATAGCCTTTGTGGGTAGCAGCTCTCTCCTCCATGAATTCAGTCCTCTTTTACTGCCACCCAAGTTGGTGGCCATCACTGCTACCTGTGGGAGTGAGTTCCATAGTTTAACTAGGCACTGTGTGAAGAAGAACTTTATTTTATCCTGGTGGGAGTCAGTCCATTTATCCACTGCAGTTGGTGGGGGGGGGTCCTGTTGGATGATGGAGGGGGCTAATCAACATTGCATCTCCCATTCCACCCCCAAATCTGGTGTTTGGCCTGAGTGTTCCTCTTGAATGAGCAATATATGGGCAAACATACAGGTTCTCTCATCTACCTTAGTTTCTCTCCCTGTGGCCTGTTGGTTTTTGAAAAGATCAAACCTGAAATTGTTTTGTTTATGAATATTGTGTCAGTGTGACTTGAGGGCGTTTTATATTTGTTCAGAAAAACAGACTGAGCACAAACTGGCTCCCCCCCCCCCCCCATTAAAGGTCAAGAGAGAGAGAATTTGGTGTGTGTGTGTGTGCTAAAGCAGCAGAAAGATTTCCAGTTGGCAGTTCAGCCTGATTTGTAATAAAACATTTCTTGGGGAGAAAGCCATCCGCTTGACAGATGGCTCAGTCGGGACCAGCAAGCGGGCGAAAGAGACTGTATTTTCTCAAAAGTGTTGGGCTGCAGATAGCATGATTGTTTCCAACCATTTGTTGGATGGATTTAAATATACTACGCAGCAGACAGCGCTTATAACAGCAACGGATGCAACCTGCCGTACTTGATCTTTTCCTGAGAGATAACACAGTTTTCTAGAGAACAGGGCCGTCCCTACCATTTGGCAAAGGGCACCTCCATAAGAACCTAAGAAGGGCCTTCTGGATCAGACCAGTGGCCCATCTCGTCCAGCATCCTGTTCTCACAGTGGCCAACCAGCTGCCTGAAAGGGAAGCCCGCAAGCAGAATCCGAGCGCAAGAGCACTTTGCCCTGCTATGGTTTTCAGCAACCGGAATTCAGAAGCATTGCTGCCTCCAGCTACTCCTGCCACTTGGGAGCAGCAGAGAGCAAATATTTGCCCTCCTCTGCATATCAGCCCTTCCAGTAATTGAAGACTGTTGCCATGCCCACCACCCGGTCTTACTGTCAAATATAAGCTAGTTTGCAAGAGGCTTTTAAATATACAAATATGGGTGATATGAGGATACAGCATAGCATCCTCAGAGACATATGCCCTGAGTTCCTGCAGAAGGATGGGATGCTTTGATTAGCAAGCACAGCTGTGATGAACTGGTGTTCTACTGGAATTTCCTGCAGCAAAGGCACACAGCATGGATATCACCAATAGTGTGGTGGAAAATTCAGAAGTGTAGCATCCCTTCATGATAGTCACAGCCATGCTCCTAAGATTATACAACCTTCTAAGGTTATACAGAATTCTTTTAATTAGGGATGCATTGCAACAATCAATTCAAATCTCCATGTGTTGCCTCCCAGCTAGATCTACTATTTTCTCTGCACATACATGGGGAAATGTCTTGGAATGTTCCAGTATCATCTTTCAGAGTGACTTCAGTAAGGTTTCCCTTAAAGTTCCATTGTACATCATCATCATCATTATTATTATACCTTCTATAGTGATTTTATGTTGTGACCTGCCTGAATTCTACAATTATAGGGTGGGATACCAATTTAATTAAGTAAGTTAATAATAATAATAATAATAATAATAATAATAATAATAATAATAATAATTTAAAAGGCCATAGACTATTAATCAGCCAAAAGCTGAGTTGAAAATGAACATTTTATTATACATCCTAAAGATGTATAATGAAGGTGCTGGACAACCTCCCTGAGGAGAGCATTCAACAAACGGGGAGCCACCATTGTCTTGAAAGTGAAGCACCTTGTTTTTCCAGTGTTCCTAAATCTTAGCTTTGGAGTGTACAGAACAACTCCTTGGTGTTCTTTACATGTGCCTTCTCCAGAGTGACCTGAGGAGCTGGTTCTCCATTGCTGACTCCAACCAACACAAAGGGTGATAATACTTCTCAGTGTCTAAAAGACTCCCCTTTCATCCTGATTGGGTGGTTCTAGGATGCTGGAGACAGGGACCCTGCTGCAGAAATAGTAACAGATCTTTTGCACACACACATACATGGATGTAGCCAATGGGGGATGGGGGGCAGCTTCCTCCAAGTAAATAAATAAAAATACTTAACTAACTGACCAATCGCGTCACAGACAACTCAGTTCTGACCCTCCCCCCCATTGATCCTGCTCACCTAATATAAATCCTGGCTACACCCATGATACACACCCCAAAAATCCAGACCACCACACCCCTGGACATAACACAGGAGTGCATGCACATCTCAGAATGTACAGGTAGAGCACATAGATTCTTGCCTGTGATCTCTGGGCCAGCCAAGATGAATGAACATCACTGTACACCTCTTTGTAATAGCCACATGTAACAGTGTAACACTGGTGTTTTCATGCAAGTAAACGTAATGTGGAGGTGCTCCTAGAAAGAAAGCAGATGGTGGGGGTTATTATTATCCTCCTCACTTGATGAAGTCCCATCTCATTTGGCCCTTGCTCCCTCAGCCACCACACCCTGGGGTGTGTATTTTTGGATGCTAGCTTGCATGCCTTCCCCAGCCAGTTGTTGCCTGAACATTCCTGTGGACAGCAGTATTTCCAGCAGGAAAATATTAGAGTGGATGAGGTTTACCAGAGAGCTGCAAGCATCCAGGCTGGTGCTGAGCTCAAGTTAACTCCAGGGTGAGGAAAACACGCTCTGCCAAAATCAAGGATAGAAGTACCTGGCAGTTTCAAAACTTCTATTTCTCTTTTCCTGGCCCCAGTCTTATGTTCAATTTCCCATATTTGACCTATTTGCAAATCCTTATATATATATTTTTAAAAATCCCCATGAAAATTCATCACAATTTTTCTTGTATGCAGTGTTAACCAGCACAGACACATTTTTGCAAGAAAAATTCCCTTATTCTTTTTCTATGCTGTTTTCACAAATATATGCTCCTTTATGCACACTTCCCCCAATAAATGCATTTTTGTAAACGCTGTTTGTTTAGAGAACCACACTGCGAAATTTGGAGAAGCGCGAATTTTGAAGAACGGCTATTTCAGTTCTCGTATTGCTTCAGAAAGTGCAGATTTGATAGACACACCTTTAAACGTGAAGTGAATTGAATTTCTCCTGCATCTGTAACCAAAAGGCCTGTTGTTGTTTCAATGCAAAGCAGATCAGCTGCTGGAGAAAGAATGATGAGAGTTCATCTTGTTTCCCCCCTCTCTTTTTCAAATGCAGGGCAAGCAGGGGATCTTTTTGTAGGGTTGTTTTGTTTGTTTGTTTGTTTGTTTTTTGCAATGAAATAATCAGTTGCCAGTTCCTGCTGATGCTGCCAATCCTCGCTTGCCAAAAGCCAGGGGGGCAGGCAATAACAGGCAAGCATTGGAGAAGGCAAGAGTCCCATGTGCAGATTGATCAGGGGAGCTGCCAGTCTCTACGGCCACCAGTCCTTGCTTGTGCGAAGTGGGGAGTCGGGGGAGAGACAAGCAGGACCAATTTCAGATGTGCTTCAAATGGCCCTACAATTAAGCCATTAAGCCTGGTGTATATTCTGCCCTCCACTGACTTAAGGGGCTTTATTTGGTTGCAACACAATTGGATGGTTGCAGCTCTTTATAGATTTTCATCCCCCTTCCTCAACACAAAGTAATAGAACAGTAAGCGAGGGTACTGTTCTCAAATTAGGCACAGGTGCATATTGAGAAATCATGTAACTATAGAGCTGGAAGGGACCTTGGGAGTTATCTACTCTAATCCTCTGTAATGCTAGAATCACAGGTAAAGAATCCCTCACGGACGGTCACCCAACCTCTGTTTAATAGCTTTCAATGAAGGAAAGTCCATTACCTTCCAAGGCAGTTTGCTCCACTGTCAAACAGATCTTACTGCCACAAAGTTCTTCCTAATATTTGGTTGGAATCTCCTTGTCATTTGAGTCCATTGGTTCAGGTCCTGTCCTCTGAAGCCGCAGAAAACAAGCTTTCTCCATCTTCCCTGCAACAGATATTTGAAGTTGGCTATCATATCACCTATCAGTCTTCTCATCTCCAGGCTAAACGTACCCAACTCCCTCAGTCATTTCTCATAAGCCTTAGTTTCCAGACACTTGAATCATCTTGAGCACCCTCCTCTGCACACCTTCCAGCTTCTTTAAATGGTTCTGTCTAGAAATAACTCCCTCCAATGATGACCACTGCTGAATCAGATAATTAAAGATGGGTTGGGTTGGGGGAGGCTGCCCAACTGGTTCTGCAGGCTTGAACTCACTCCCACAGATCGTAGTAATGATAGCACACAGTTTGTTCACATAGAAGTGGGGGGGATTCATCTTGCATTGTGATGCAAATCTATTCAATTTACACTTCTCAAAGCAAGATGTGAAGTGAAACATGCTGCCCTTCAGAATTCTCACTTTTCTGAATTTTGCAACGCAGTTCGCCAACCCAATAATGTTTGCTAAAAGGCGTGTATTAGAGGAAAGCATGTGTTTATGTGCAAACCTTTGTGTGCGAACTGGTCCTTTACCTCTGATGCTGTGTACAAACCAGTAGAGCATCAAATTCGAGGCACTAATAACGGAATATCCATTTCCTTTACGTCCTGGTTGTGACCTTCTAGATGGCACCTGGCAGCCTGCCAAATGTCCTGGATGAAATGGACATTTATCTTAGCCAGCAAAACAATCTGCAACATTCTTTACAGCACGCTGGTCTCCTGCCGGTTTTTGTTCGTCTCTGGCTCTAGGAGAATCCCTGAGGAGCCACTCAATTCATTTAAGGAAAGCTGTTGATAATAAGCTGAATTGGGTTTTAATGGGGGTTCGTGCCATTAGAAGCGAAATCAAATCAGAGTCTAATAGTCACGCATGAGCAGCAGAGACAAGGAACAGCCGAGGGGTAGGGTGTGTATGTGTGTTGAGAGGGGTCAAGAACCTTCACTGTGCAGCCAGCCACCATTAAGTCTTTCTTTATAATGCATGAGGGTTGAGGAGCCCAGAGGACTGCTGAGCAAATGGGGAAGAATCCTCCAAACTGCCCTTTGGAACGAAGGCAGGCCAGCTGTCTCAGGAGGAGCTGTTCTGGAGAGTACACTCAGTAACTGATGGCTTGTGTTGGCACCGGGAGTGATGGATCTCTGTTTCACTCTGCACCAAAAAGATACTGCCATCCTCTCTGCTACGCTCTGCTGCACGCCTGCTATTTAAGGATAACTTGTGAAGGGGAGGGAGAGAAAGAATTTTTCTAGCTCTTGAATACACCCCACGGCAAGGGGGGGGAGCACCCCCAAACAGCCATATCTCCAAGAAGGGCTGGGGGATTGCAGACAGCAGCCCCCATGTCTGAAGCATATCCAGAAAAGAATTCAGTACAGTGGTACCTCAGGTTACAGACGCTTCAGATTACAGACTCCGCTAACCCAGAAATAGTACCTCGGGTTAAGAACTTTGCTTCAGGATGAGAACAGAAATTGCGGCGTGGCAGCAGCGGGAGGCCCCATTAGCTAAAGTGGGTACCTCAAGTTAAGAACAGTTTCAGGTTAAGAACGGACTTCCAGAACGAATTAAGTTCTTAACCCGAGGTACCACTATATTTGGACCGATTTAAACTGAGCAAAAGAAAAAGAAGCATTTTTGGAATTTTGGATCTGATGGTTTTCTAAGTATAAAAAAAAAAAAAAGAATTTGAGAGATATTTTATTATCATCATCATGGTTTATTTGTATGCCTCCTTTCCATAGCTGAACCAGGCGACTTTCAACACGAAAAAAATGTGCATAATTACAAAATTATAACGAGTTGTCATAAGCAATAAATAACATTTTCTCAATGAGTATACTATAAAATTAAACGCTGCAATTCACCTGCTCTGTCTTGACCTCTCACTTTGCTTACGTACCATACCAATTTGAGCATTAGGATTTTGGGTGGATACCATAATTGAGTTTGAGTCCTTCAACTGGCAGGAGTCAGGGCACTTCCTACTCTTACGGAGTCTTTCCTACATTGACTCGTTTGTGCATTGCAGAGACTCCTGGGGGATGTTTGTTGGTACACAATCAGGTTGCAATTCAAAACATATTTAACCAGAGAGCAAGTCAGTTGAGCTCACTACTGCCCATGGCAGCACTTGGGCCTCCCTGCTTCCCTGAATGAACATATCCTCTCATCTCTTGAACATACAAAGCTGCCTTACCCTGGATCATACGGGTGGTTCATTTGGCCCAGTCAGTGATACGGGACGGAAATTTCCCACTGCTCCATTTTTCTGCGGGAAATGTTCCGTTCCATAAATTCATTAGTAACAATGAGTGGATGCCAATTGCGAGTACAATACGAGGCAAGCGTGACAGCTTTGAAGTTTTTAGCCTTGCTAAATGCCAAGTAAATAAAGTTTACTAAATGCAAGTAAATAAATATGCTATATTAGATCACTCTCTGGGGCACCAGAAAATGTTCCAATGCAGTTTTTCAGATGCAAATTAGCCTATGCAGATTACAGTAATTTGCAAGGTAATTTTCCAGTTCTAAGCTTTCCGGGGAAAACCCACATCACTGAGCCCAGAACTGTCAACTCCTGGCAGGAAGTTATCGGTGGAGGTTTTTCCTAGTCCTGCTACTTGAGAATCTTTTACTGAAGATGTCATGGATTGAATCTGTGTAAAGAACCAGTTCCCAAACTTTTTCAGACTCCCTCCTCCTTGGTTCCATAAATTCATCCCCAGCACCCCCTACCCTATAAAAAGCATTATTCAGCATAACAGTTTGCATGACCGACTAAGGAATTTAATAACACAATATAATTCAAAACGGTAACAATGAATTGCACATTTATTTAAAATCCAATTAAAACTATTTAGTTTAATTAATTCCACAAAATTGATGAAGTTCATCCAATGATACCAGTTTTTCAAAGTCTGATAGTCATTTACACTTCCAGTGCCCCCCTTCCTTCCACTTGCATCTTCGAAGCCTCCCTAGGTAATCCCACCCACCCACAGGGGGCGGTACCACCCACTTTGGAAACCACAGGTATAAAGGATACAGAGCTATGGGTCACACAACTTCACATCCTGGTGGAATAACAGTAAGGTAAAGGACCCCCGACAGTTAAGTCCAGTCCTAGACAACTGGGGGGTTGTGGTGCTCATCTCGCTTTACAGGCCGAGATGCTTCCCACTCCAATATTTATTTGTTTGTTGCATTTATATTCCACCTTTTCCTCCAAGGAGCTAAAGGTGGTGCCCCCCTCATTTAATCCTCACCACAACCCTGTGAGGTAGGTTAGGCTGAGAGGCAGGAACTGGTTCAAAGTCATGCAGTGAGATTCATGGTTGAGTGGAAGATTTGGCACTCTAACCACTATGCCACACTGTCTCCAGGAATGGGCCGCCCCAATATTTCAGCTTTAAAAATAGACGAACCTAGTTGAAATAGATGAAACTGAATTGATAAAGATAGGTGTAAGGACGGAGGTGGCCTTTCAAGTGTTAGAAACTGAGATAAACCATAGCGGACAGGTCCGCCCACCTTTACTTATAACACAAAACTGAGGCCTGAGGAGAGTAATTTTAGCTCAGCTTTAGGAGAAATCCCACACATTCTTACCTAGGAACAAAGAAATAGAAAATCTCCATAGCTGAGATCTCATCGTGTAAAAAAAATATAAATTCAGCACCAGAGCTAAATTTTCAATGAGACTAGACAGAATAAAAACAGATGTCTGGTTTTGCGTATGCAGATGCAGCCAAACCATCAAAGGGAACAAATAACTCATCAGCAGTGGGTGATTCAGACTGCTGCTGCACCAGCCAGAGAGACCTGGGATCATCATGCACCGTTTGTTCCACATATTTGTCATCAGTTCTTGGGCAATCCCAGCTATTCTCTTTCAGCCTCCGTTTTCCACCTGTAAAATGGAAATAACTGTGGCCTGCCTCGCACGCATGGTGTGAGCAGGGACAGACAAAGCTCACAATTTCAGTTTCCTCCAGTTTCTCATTTATCCAAACTCAAATTCAATTTTCCAGATTTCCACATCAGTTTGTCACTATTATTATTATTATTTAAATGACCTCATGAAAATTCACCTGCAGGGTCGCATTACCGATATATACCACTCGGCCAGTTTGATCTGTGGAGTTGGCACTGTTACAGGTGCCACAGAATACTCATTCCATGGATATTTTAGTGTAGCAGCCCAGCTTTGGAACTTTCTGCTTTTGTTTAGGCAAGGCTATCTGGACATATCAAATGTCAACATCTGTTTTAATCTAATTTTTAGCTTCTTGTAGATCTCAATTATTTGTGAATGTTTTGAATAGTTGTTTTCAAACTGTTTTTGATCAAAAATTTCACCATTTTATTCTCTGCGCAAACTATTTTGAAATTGTTTTAAAATCAAGTAGCATATAAATTTTGTGCAATAAAAAAAGTTTGTCAGCATTTTTGTATCGCACTTCTAAGATAAACATTTTCGTATGCAATCTTGCCTGTGATACATGTTTTTGAAAACAATAGCCCCAAATATAATGCATTTATTTTCACAAACGAAAGCTTTTTTTTTTTTTTTGCAGACTTTCCCCATTGTATTTGTTAGGAGAACTGTCTTGCAAAATTCAGAAAAGTGTGAATTTTAAAAGGTAGCCTCATTTTTATCCACATACTGTTTGGGACAGTATGAATAAGATAGTTTGCATTAAAAGGCAAAACCAGAGCATATTCTTATCCTGCCCTTATTTGCGAGCGTCGATACCATGTAAAAGGGCAAAGTGCTGATGAAAAGTTTGCTGTTGTTTCCAAAAGCTCCACTGAAAAGGAAAGAAAGTTGAGACGCACAAACAGTGGTACCTCTGGATGTGAACGGGATCTGTTCTGGAGCCCCGTTCGCATCTGCGCGTGCGTGGGTTGCATTTTGCCGCTTCCGCGCATGCGTGTGACGTCATTTTGAGTGTCTGCACATGCACGAGCGGTGAGAACCAAGAAGTAACACACTCCATTACTTCTGGGTCGCCACGGAGAGCAACCCAAAAAAGCTTAACCTGAAGCATATACATCCTGAGGTATGACTGTACATCAAGTCACGCAAGCAAACTGAATCGGTGTGATGTGTAAGAACATAAAACAAGCCTGTTCATCCTGTTCTCACAGTGGCCATCCAGTTGCTTGTAGGAATCCCACAAGCAGGACCTGAGGACAAGCGCATTCTCCCCCACACTGTGGTTTCCAGAAACTGGAGTTCAGAAGCATTTCTGTGTCTGATGATGGAGGCAGAACATAGGCATCATGGCTAGTTGTCATTGATAGCCTTCTTCTCCATGAACGTGCCCACTCCTCTTTTAAAGTCATCCAAGTTTGTGGCCATCACTGCCTCCTGTGGCAGAGAGTTCCATAGTTCAACTATGTCCTGCCCGAAATGTGCTGCCCCGACTTTTCCATTGCAGTAGCCACGGACAGCCTTATTCTCTGTGAACTTGTCCAATTTCTTTTGTACAATAGCTTTTTTTGGGGGGGGGGTCATAATTCTTTTCAGGAAGGTCTTCGATGAAAAGGTAAAACAAATCCATAAGAAATCAATTAACCATTGTGAATTAATGAAGAGATCATTTACAGTTTTGACACATGCAGTATGACAGAAGAAAACGAATATGGCTATGCATCCTAAATGGTCATTCTGTCTTGTGCTCTGGAGCCTGAGATCCAGCAGAGGGAGTGTAGCAGATCTAACAAGGACCTCCCTGCCAATGTTTTTCTGAGCTGGAGGAATTCATTCATTGCTTTCTCCTTCAAAGTCATTTTTATTTTCTTTATTTGCACATCACACAAGTTCTCATCAAGTTATATGCAAATGTTTAAAAAAGCAGAACCAAGTCATTTTCATCCTCCTAAGAAATGGCATCCATCCCTCTTTGGGTTTGGTGAAAGGCACATCATATAATGGTTTAATAGGTCAACACTTCTATGTCCCTCTCTCAAATCATATTCCAACAATGAACTTACTGCTCATTTCTCTCTCTCTCTCCTTTCCCGGGCCCTGCTTGCAATATGGAGTCACAAGTGAGTCCTGCAACTAAATATTGCAGTGCGGCCGTTTATTACACACATTTTCAATTCCGGACTTACAGATATCAGCGATAACATCACAAATTGGGTTAGCGTGATTGCAAATTGTGTTTTCCTGCAGACCCGAGCAAAAGAGCAGTCTCTCATCCTGCTGCTCCCAGAAAATGGTATTCAGAGACGTTGCTGCCTTCAACTATAGTCAGAGATCAGCCATCATGGCTGGCGACCATTGATAGCCTCCACAAATTTATCCAATCTTTCAAAGCCATTCAAGTTTTTGGCCATCATTGGATTGAGATCCAAAGTTTAGCCATTTACCTAGACATGTCTAACTACCCTCCCAATTAGAATGCAGTTTATGCTTTATGTGACGTGATCCAATAGTGTGAAACAGAGGTAGGGCCCTTAGGCCTGTGGGGCTGAATGTAGCCCTCCAAGCCTCTCTGCCTGACCCTCCAAACTTTCCCCAGACCACATCACCTCTCCTCTGTCCACATCCCTCCCTGGTCCTACTATGTTCCCCAAATGTTTTTGGCTGGTTGGAGTGTGCCTGTGAACCCTGAGATTGCCTCTTGCTTGCCTGGATAGAGGGTTGTGTGAGTGGGCGTGGAAACTAATCTACACTACAACAATGAAATTTACATTCATTGCTCCACCCACTTTTGCCTGTGGCCCCGCCCACCAAAGACACACATCCCCTGGGATGGTTGTCTAAAAAGGAATGCAGACCTCAACTCGAATAAGGTTCCCTATTGCTATTGTAAGCATGGCTTGCGGCTTTAGTATGGCATCAGACCCTTGGACGAAGTCACGTTACGTCCCTCGTCAAAAAGACTTCCGTTTGTTACTTAACCGGCACTTTTCAATTGCTGGGACATGTAGTCCCTCCTGACCCTTTTCACAGATTAACTGTGGCTTTGCGAGTAGATTAAGCCAATTCAGACAAGGGGCAGAACTAGGTTTGCTCCAAAAAGCCACCCTTAATTAATCTAGAAAGATTATCCAGCAAGGCTTTTAAACAGTGGCCAGCTAACCCTTATCGGCGACAATATAGGCTAGTTAAACATGCTAAAAAGGCTTCAATTGCACTGGATTAATTCAAGAGTAAATTCAGTGGAATTCGTCAAGCTACTTTGGAGACACATAAAGGGAGATTGGAGTTTGTTCCTAGTATCTGCGACAATATCCAAAGTCTCTGTTACGTTTCATGGCTGCTGGGGAAAAAAAGCCTTTCCAACAGATTAGGCTGCCATCAGCTTTCCCCCAGAGCATCGCACAACCAAATTCTGCTCAAGAAGCTTGGCAGCGGCTGCTAACATTTCTTTTTGCAAGTGGTGCTCCTGCCTGCTGTATCCTTTCCAGATGAGTGGGGTTGAGGCACTTAAATTCTGTTAAGAACATAAGAAGAGCTTGCTGGACCAGGCCAATGGCCCATTTAGTCCAGCATCTTGTTTCTTGATGTCAAACCAGATGCCCGTGGGAAATTTGAAAGCAGGACCTGAGCGCAAGAGCACTTTCCCTTCCTGAGGTTCCCTGCAACTGAAATTCGGAAACATTGCTATCTCCGGCCATGGAGGCCGAGTGTAGCCACCACGGCTAGTAGCCATTGATAGCTGTCTCGTCCATGAATTTGTCTAATCTTATTTCAAAGGTGTCCACTTTAACAATCATGGCTTCTCCCAAAGAATTTTAGGAACTCTAGTTTACCTCCCCAGAGCTACAGTTCCCAGCACCCTTAACAAACTGGTCCCCAGGATTCTTTGGAAGGAAGCGATTTGCTTTAAATGCCCTTTAAATATATGGTGCGAGTGTGAGCTCAGTTCACCCCAGTCATTGTGTGTTGTATTGAGCATCTTATATCAAAAGATATAAGTAAGTAAGGTTACAGTAACTTCCGTCACAGAGCTTCAGTATGCTGATGACGTAGTGTGTGCGCACTCAGAAGACAACCTCCAAACCATCCTAAATATCTTCGCAGAAGCTTATGAAAAGCTTGGCCTATTGCTCAACATCCAAAAAACCAAAGTGCTGCACCAACAAGCACAAAACAACCCTTCTGCAGCACCACTAATCTAACTCAATGGTGTAACGTTGGACAGTGTCGATCACTTCTCCTACCTGGGCAGTTATCTTTCCACCAGGGCCAACATTGATGCCGAAATCCAGCTTTCTCCCGATTGAAGTGCAGAGTGTTTGAGGACCGGGACATCCGCAGAGAAACCAAAATGCTTGTTTACAAAGCTATTGTACTACCAACCTTACTGGATGCTTACGAAACATGGACCACTTACAAACGCTATCACCAACTCCTTGAAAGATTCCATCAATGATTTCTCTGGAAAAATTTACACATCACTTGGGAAGACAGGCAAACTAATGCCAGTGTACTGGAAGAAGTAAAGATCACCAGTGTTGAAGCAATGATTCTTCAACATCAACTTCGTTGGACTGGTCATCTTGTTTGGTTGCCTGATTATTGTCTTCCAAAGCAACTACTCTATTCCAAACTTTAAAATGGAAAGTGTAATGCTGGTGGTCAACAAAAGAGGTTCGAAGACTCTCTCAAGGCAGATCTAAAAAAATGTAGTATAAACACCGACAACTGGGAAACACTGGCCTGTGAGCATTCCAATTGGAGAACAGGCTTTACCAAAGGTGTCGTGGACTTTGAAGACACTCGAACTCAGGACGCAAGGGATAAACGAGCTAACAGGAAGGCACATTTGGCAAACCCTCACCGTGATCAATTCCTTCTCGGAAACCTATGTCCCCACTATGGAAGGACGGGTGAATCCAGAATTGGCCTCCACAGGCACTTACGGACCCACTGTTAAGACCATGTTCATGAAAGACAATCTTACTCGGCTACAAGTGATTGCCAAAGAAGAAGAGATCAAAATAAGGTGGCATCAGTGGCAGATGTGATTTGAGGGGGTGGCAGGGAGGAGAATAATTCAAATGAGACCGGAAGGAAAATGACCTTCCTCAGCTCTACATGTGTAGTCCCACGGCAAAGCTGACCCAGAATTATAATGAAAATGTTGTAGTTCTTTCAGGCTACCTTAAGAATGAATGAGACACCCTGCATTACTCATAAGGAATACACACTGCTCTCTCTCCTTTAATTTCCTTTTGATTAAAAAAGAAAAATCAAACTGTCTAAAATGCATACGACATCTTCCCTGTGTGTGCTGCAGTACCAGAGGAATCGAAGAGAACAAAAAAGGCAAGTGAACCTGTCAAAGGCAGACTCAGAAGAGACTTCTTCTTTTGCAAGGTAACATACAGTCTGGAAATTGACTGGGAAGCTTAAACAGGTGTTTGTTGTCATCCCCTGTGTCAGCCTTCCCCAACCTGCTGCCCTCCGAATGTTTTGGAGTACAACTCCTAACAGCCCCAGCTGATAATGGTGGGTGTTTTATCTTTCCAGTCTTGCAGCACAAGTCCCTTTACAACCAACACACCGAAGGGCCTCGAATGACTGGGACTAGAAAGGCAAATGTCGCACTCAGTGTTCCACCCACACTTACCTCTGGCCCTGCCCACGTCTGCCTCTCGACACCTCCACCAGAGGCACACGGCCCCCAGCAGGTCGCCCACGAGGGAATGTGGCCCTCAGACGGGAATAAAAATGTTCCACACCCTCACTCTTGTGGCTTCAGTACAAGTGTTGCTTACAACCTTGGCGAAGACTCTTGGAAACATATTTGGCTGGCAATCCAAAACGTTCTGTAGAAAATATTATTGGGGAGCTTTCAGAGGGCTGTTTAAAGAAGCAGTGTCATAATAAAAAGACACTGAATATTCAGGGTTATCAAATGCACATGTGGAGATGACCTGCATGTTCTTGGAGACCAGCAGGGAGGGGATCTTGTCTCAGCAGGAGAGAGAGACTCTATTAATTCTTCAGCAGTCCCCACCTCTGCTTCAGCCTCAGTCTGAACTGCTCTCTGTCACAGGCTCTCCCTGCTCACTAAACCCTGTGGTTTATGGCACCTTCTCCCAATCTTTTCTCTCTGACCTCTCCCCAGTGTCCCACCACCAATTCCCAGACTCTGAGCCTTCCTTCTCTGGGGTTTCTCTTGGGGGTTCCCCAGCTGGTGCCTCCTACCACTCCCCATTCATTCGTCCCTGACAGTGACTGCCCCACGGTCGCCCACAGCAAGCTTCACGGCCGAGTTGGGGATTTGATCTCTCGTCATTCCCAGGTCCTAGTCTCACACTCTAACCCAGAGCTTTCCAAACTTCTCGTGTTGGTGACACACTTTTTAGACATGGATCATTTTGTGACATAGTAATTCAGTTTTACTAGCAAGCCGGAGGTTAAATTAACCCCTTTCCAGCCCCAGGAGAATTGTGGGGAGCATTTGCCCGACACACCTACACACTGCAGCTGACATACTAACGTGTCGCAACACACAGTTTGGAAAGCTCTGTTCTAACTGCTACACCACGCTGGCTCTGTGACCCCCCCTGACATATTCCGTGGACTTGACTGTGCCCCAAGTCTTGAGACCACTTTCAGCACCAGTGGGCTGAAGTGAGAACAGAAACCTTCCATCAGATTCTCCCCATCTATTATTACTCTTCCCCCACCCCACCCTTAGCCTTGTCCTCGTCCCCCTCCCCATTTTGAAATGCATCGGTTACTATAGAAACATGCTGCAGTTGGCGTGGATAGAATCTTCCTGGACCTCTGGCAGTGCTTGGATCAAGTCACGTTATATAATGGCTGGGAATTTATACCACAGTCTTGTAAACATTCGCGTTTTCTGCGGTGGTTACCATGACCACATATATGGCATACTTTATATTTATAGTATTCTTAGGTCATCGCTGGTAATTATCCATTAAGGATGGCGAGTAACACCCTCGTGAAATTCTAATCCCAAAGCAGAGTAATTTGGAGTAGGTAAACGAGCGATTCATGGGACCGGTTTCCGCCCACTGCAGGCGGCCACTGAAACATGACCCTCTTGCCGTCCCTGCATCCCAGCTAAATGCCACGGCTATTCATCTTCATTCATCATTGTTTAGTCATTTAGGAGGCATGACTAAACGGCACATTTTGGCTAGTCTTTCTTGGGTGCAGCTGCCTTTCACTACAACCCTGTAAGGTTGGTAGGGAAAATTCAATTCAGCTCACATTTAAAGGGGGGGCTACCTAACGAAGAGCCAGTGGTGGTATAGCAGTTTGAGTAGGACCTGGGAGAGGCCAGGGTTCAAATCACCCTACTCAGACATGAAAGAAGAGGCCAGTCACTGTCTCTCAGCCTAACCTACCTCACAGGGTTGTTGTGGAGATTAAATGAGGAGAGAGGAGAACTGTGTAGGCCAGCTTTAACTCCTTGGAAGAAAAGGTGGAATATAAATTTAATAATAAATAAATAAATAAATAAATAAATAAATAATTTTATTTGTGCCCCGCCCTCCCCAGCTGGAGGCGGGCTCAGAGCGGCTAACATCACATAAATAACACAGTATACATAAAAACAGGCATCAATTAATTAAAATACATCTTAAAATTAATTCAGACAAATTAAAATATGGACAAATGGCAGTTATCAGGTTAAGATTGAGAGCAGTTAATACTTGCCAGGACCAACTGTTTTCACTGGTCATATAAGGACCTGTGAACAGGCTAGGAGGCCTCCTTCATGCTTGTTCTTATACAAAGGAAAAGAGGTCAGACTGCCCCCTGGCCAAAGGCCTGGAGGAACAGCTCCGTCTTGCAGGTGCTGTGGAAAGATGTCAAATCTCTCTTGTAGGAGAGCGCTTCACCAGGTCGGGGCCACGGCCGAAAAGGCCCTGGCTCTGGTCAAAGCCAGACTAGTTTCCCTGTGGCCCGGGATCTTCAGAGTGTTGTTGTTTGCAGACTGTAAGGTCCTCCGTGGGGCATACCAGAGGAGGCGGTCCCATAGGTACGAGGGTCCTAGGCTATATAGGGCTTTGAAGTTTAAAACCAGCACCTTAAACCTGATCTGTACTCCACCAGGAGCCAGTGAAGCTGGTATAGCACTGGGTGAATGTGATCCCACGGCGAGGACCCCATAAGGAGTCTCGCCGCGGCATTCTGCACCCACTGGAGTTTCTGGGTCAGTTTCAAGGGCAGCCCCACGTAGAGTGAGTTACAAGAGTCAAGCCTGGAGGTGACTATCACGTGCATCACAGTGGCAAAGTCAGGGCGAGAGAGGTAAGGACATACAGTCCATACCTAGCTTGCACTTTTGAAACTCACATGTCTCCAAACTTTGCATTGCCGTTATCCAGCCAAGTGATGTGTTGTTGTTTTTTAAAAATGTGGAAATGCATCACATTTGGGGAAATTGCTTATTATTTTACATTGTCTTATTGCTATTTCACATTTTATTTTCCGGTTAAATTTCTTTGCAGCTCAGTGGGTAGGACACATTCCTTGCCTGCAGGAGACCAATCCCTGCTATCTCCAGGCAGAGCTGGAACCCTCCTCCCTCTAGGATTCCCTTGAGCTGCTGCCAATCAGTGACAATAATGAGACAGGTGAGTCAATGGGCCTGAGCACTATGATCCAACTTTTATTTTTTGATGCTTTTTATTAACTTTTTGTTATAACACATAAACACACACACTAAGATATAACGACAATTAAGAAACAAACTAAAAAGAAAACACAAAACAAATAACAAACCTACAACCCTAAATCCATACGCTCTTGCACAAGGACTTATGTTACCCTACTTTATATTTCCCATTCTTATTCTTTTCTAGTACAGTGGTACCTCGGGTTAAGTACTTAATTCGTTCCGGAGGTCCATACTTAACCTGAAACTGTTCTTAACCTGAAGCACCACTTTAGCTAATGGGGCCTCCTGCTGCCACTGCGCTGCCACCGCACGATTTCTGTTCTCTGTATTGTTCCAATTTTAGTATATGTGCTGCCGAAGCGAGCACCGCACGATTTCTGTTCTCATCCTGAAGCAAAGTTCTTAACCTGAGGCACTATTTCTGGGTTAGCAGAGTCTGTAACCTGAAGCATAGGTAACCTGAAGCGTATGTAACCCAAGGTACCACTGTAGACTTCCTTCTATTTTCCTGTTTGTTAAACTGTTTCTTTCTCATTTCATCATTTCTACCCTTCTCCATCTACTGTACTTATAGACCATATTGTGGTTTGCGAAAATTACTCAAATCAAGCCCAGGTTTTGATTTGAGGACACTTTTTTTTAAGGTAATCTCTATACACTCCTCACTCTTTTTGGAACTTTTGGTTAGACTGTCCCCTAATTGTATCCGTCAATTTTGCAATTTCAAAATATTCAAATAGTCTGTCCTGCCACTCTTTTTTCGTTGGTAATATTTCACTTTTCCAATTTTTAGCTATTAATATTCTTGCTGCTGCTGTTGTGTATAAGAATATTCTCTTATTTTCATTTGGGATATCTGAATCTAATATGCCCAATAGGAAGGCTTCTGGTTTCTTTATAAAAGTTTGTTTAAATATTCTTTTCAACTCTTCATATACAGTATCCCAAAAGCTCTTACAGCTTTTTTTACAGCTCCACCACATATGAAATAGTGTCCCTTCTACCTGATTGCACCTCCAGCACATATTATACAGTGGTACCTCAGGTTAAGTACTTAATTCGTTCTGGAGGTCCATTCTTAACCTGAAACTGTTCTTAACCTTAAGCACCACTTTAGCTAATGGGGCCTCACGCTGCTGCCATGCCACGATTTCTGTTCTCATCCTGAAGCCAAGTTCTTAACCCGAGGTACTATTTCTGGGTGAGCGGAGTCTGTAACCTTAAGCATATGTAACCTGAAGCTTATGTAACCCGAGGTACCACTGTATCTCGTTTTATACATTTTAGATATTTTGCTAGGGCTTATATACCACCTGTAAAACATCTTCCAAAAAATTTCTCCTAGCGAGTAGCAAGCCGTGAATTTCCATTCTGCTACTATGATCCAACTTTAAACTCTCATGGCTTTCCCCAAATAATTATGGGAAGTGCAGTTCATTAGGCTGCTGAGAATTGTTAAAAAGGTGGAAGCAAGAAGAATGACCAACGATGGAAGAATGGAGGATGAAATTAATGGACTACGCAGAACTTCATAAACTAACAGGAAGGATCTGAAACCGGTGGGACCTGAAATTTACCGAAGACTGGAGTAAATTTACGGATTATTTGAAAAGTATTTGTGATGACCAGACGATGTTTGTAGGTTTACAAGAAGTTCTGTGAGGAATAAGATTAGAAATATTGTAAAAATGGAGAAGGAGAGAATGATATGTTAAGAGATGTAAAGGCAATATTAAGTTAGGAAATGCATAAGAAGTGATTAAGACGGAGGATTATCAGAGGTGCTGATGGAAGCTGATGATTGTATTTGTGATAAACTGTGTGGTATGTTTTATAATTTTGTATGATAAAAACCAATATTATTTTTTTTTTTAAAAAAAGAAAATGACAGCACGGGGGGGGGGATTGTTAAAAAGGTAAAGGACTCCTGACAGTTAAGTCCAGTCGTGGCTGACTCTGGGGTTGCGGCGCTCATCTCGCTTTACTGGCCGAGGGATCCGGCGTACAGCTTCCGGGTTGTATGGCCAGCATGACTAAGCCACTTCTGGCAAAACCAGAGAATTGTAAGGAGGCCCCAATTCCCCTCACAGAGCTTCAATTCCCAGGGTTTATTTAACAATCAATTCCTCTTTGCAGGGAACTCTGGGAATTGGAGGGGGAGCTGTCCGAAAACTTTGAGTTCAGGCTGAAGAGCAATATTGCGATATGTGTTTATGACCTACTTGTGAGTAAAGGGGGTCTACTTGTGCATAAGCAGCCCCTGCTGCTCCTTCACTGTGAAATAGCTGTGGTTTAGGAGGCGAGAGCATGTAAGGCTTCCCTCTTGAGCCATCATTTGCTTGTTTCTGCTGCCTGCTCCCCCCTCCTTCCAATATTGATTTTGGACTGTCCCTGCCTGACCTTTGAATAAGTAAATACATGATTTTACATATGATTTTAGCCTGCATAATTTATGCAAGTTAGCAGAGTTTGTTGGTATTTGGTGCTGAAACGTCGGTGCAAATTTATCTCTTTATAATGATGTTGCAAGCGCAGCATTTTTTTAAGGTGTGAAATCTCTTATCGTAAGGGTGCAGAAAATGGAAATGAGGAATTTGCGGTCCTCCAGGCGTTTCAGGCCTACAGCTCCCATCATCCCTGGGTAGTGAGCGGCCACACTGGTTGGGGCAGAGGTGAATGGAGTAAAGTAAAATTCGGAGGGGCACAGGTTTCCATCTCCTGCTCTGTGCAGAACTGAGGCTTTGCACACACCATCCATTTAAAGAACAGGGATTCCCTCAAAGAACCCTTGGAACTGTAGTTTGTTAGAGGAGCTAGGAATTGTAGATCTGGGATCAACGGAAGTATAGTGTCCAGATTAAGGGAGTAATTTTAGTACTGTACCGCTCTATTTTACCCTGGTCAGACCCCACTTGGAGTCCTGCATCATGTTCTTGGTACCCCGGTTTAACAAGGATATTGACAAGCTGGAAGGTGTGCTGAGGAGGGTGACTTAGGTAATGAAGGGTCTGGAAACCAAGCCTTATGAGGAATGGTTGAGGGAGCTGGGAGTGTTTAGCCTGGAGAAGAGAAGACTGAGGGGTGACAGCCATCTTCAAATGAAGTCCAGTGCCGAGGGCCTTCTGGCGGTTCCCTCACTGCAAGAAGCCAAGTTACAGGGAACCAGGCAGAGGGCCTTCTCAATAGTGGCACCCGCCCTGTGTAACGCCCTCCCACCAGATGTCAAAGAGAACAACAACTACCAGACTTTTAGAAGACATCTGAAGGCAGCCCTGTCTAGGGAAACTTTTAATGTTTAACAGACCACTGTATTTTAATACTTTGTTGGAAGCCGCCCAGAGTGGCTGGGGAAACCCAGCCAGATGGACGGGGTATAAATAATAAATTATTATCATTATTATCATTATTATTATCATTATTATCATTATTACCATTATTATAAATGTCTGAAGGGTTGCCACACATGGAAGAGGGGGAAAGCCTGTGTCCTCCTGCTCCAGAGGGGAGGACCTGAACCAATGGATTCAAATGACAATAAAACAGATTCTGATGAAACATTAGGAGGAACTTTCTGGTGGTAAGAGCTGTTTGACGGTGGTCCCTCCTTCATTGGATGTTTTTAAAGAACTTGGACGGTGCATCTATCAGGGACTCTTTAGCTGTGATTCCTACATTGCAGGAGGTTGGACAAAGTGGCCCTCAAGATCCCTCCCACCTCTACAATTTTATGATTTTATGATTAGTAAACTACACTTCCTAGCAATCTCTTGAGACTCTTGAGAGTCCCATGGACTGCAAGAAGATCAAACGTATCCATTCTGAAGGAAATCAGTCCTGAATGCTCACTGGAAGGACAGATCGTGAAGCTGAGGCTCCAATACTTTGGCCACCTCATGAGAAGAGAAGACTCCCTGGAAAAGACCCTGATGTTGGGAAAGATGGAGGGCACAAGGAGAAGGGGATGACAGAGGATGAGATGGTTGGATAGTGTTCTCGAAGCTACCAGCATGAGTTTGACCAAACTGCGGGAGGCAGTGGAAGACAGGAGTGCCTGGCGTGCTCTGGTCCATGGGGTCACGAAGAGTCGGACACGACTAAACGACTAAACAACAACAAACTACACTTCCTAGCAATCGCTTTATTTAAGGCAGGGTGTACTTTAAAAATGTATGCCGTGTGTACAGCCTGAGGGATTCGATTCCTCCTTAGGCGTACAATCAATGTTTTAGATCTGACCTCTCAATACACAGCTCATAACCTCTCCAGAGCTCTGTCATTTTTCAGGAGCGGTAGAGGGATTTGGGATGCTTTCTTGGAATAGCGTGGGGAGAAACATGAAACATGCCGTGTTTGCGTTATTGCATTTGCAGCTTCCTGGACTTCCACCAGTAGGAAATTCCTGGGACAATTTTTTTCCATTGTGTGTTAATGGTTCCCCCCCCTCCTCCTCTCCCTCCTCCCACAGAAGAAAAGAGAGGAGTTGTGGGCGGCGAGGGTGGAGAAGAGAATCGGAAACATAACAGAACAAATATTCCAGTAATGGTCCCAAATGCTTTAAACTTTAAGGGCACATCAAGTTCCACAGCGCACCAGCCCCTGTGGCTGTTTTGTCTTTCTCCCTGGACAATTTATGACCTCACTCTCCTGCTTTCTCTGACATCACGCAGCATTGCCATGGGAACAGCTTTTGTTTCCACCAACAAAGAGGTACCGCAGCAATAATGGAAGAAAACACAGACACAAATTTTCCAAAAAGGATAAATTTACTTTATGGGGTTCAAGGGTTTCTTGAAAGTTGATGGGCACAAGTGCTGACATTTCAATGCAGATGGAAACTGAGGATCCTGACCAAATCTCTCTTCCCCGCATAAAAAGTTCCTGTTTGTGCATCTGAAGTAGTTGAAAGGGAGTGTGGTTTGCTACCCTGTGTCATAAGGCACATCCCTTTGTTGAAAATGTCATTCCAGAAAAGGGCAGCTCCATAGAACATATTAGGCATGGTTATAAGAACATAACCACCAGGCCAATAACCCATCTAGTCCAGCATCCTGTTCTTATGGTGAACAACCAGCTGCCTCCATGGGAAGCCTGCAAGCTGAACAACAGAGCCCTCTCCCCTCCTGCAATTTCCAGCAACTGGTATTCTGAAGCATTACAGCGGTACCTCGGGTTAAGAACTTAATTCTTTCCGGAGGTCCGTTCTTAACCTGAAACTGTTCTTAACCTGAAGCATCACTTTAGCTAATGGGGCCTCCCGCTGCCACTGCACCACTGCCATGCGATTTCTGTTCTCATCCTGAAGCAAAGTTCTTAACCCGAGGTACTATTTCTGGGTTAGCAGAGTCTGTAACCTGAAGCATCTGCAACCTGTAGCGTCTGTAACCTGAGGTACCACTGTACTGCCTCCAACCTTGGAGACAGAACATAATCATTCAGACTAGTTGAAATTGATAGCCCTCTCCTGAATAAATTTCTCCACTCCTCTTTTAAAGCCATCTAACTTGGTGACCATCACTGCCTCCTGTGGAAGCCCATTAAAAAGCCTATCAATTGAAACAGCTAAAGGTTCCTTGAACTTAACCAGATGCACAGTGGTGGAGTTTCATGCTTTGGCACCGGGGGGGCGGAGAGCAGGTGGGGGCATGGCATGCCACCTGCAGGGGCATGGCACCCAGTGCGGGCAGAGGACGGGCAGCTGTGATGGCACCCCTGCACTCCTCTTCCTCCGCCAGTGCAGATGCATATTCATCAGAAAAGCCCTGCTGGATCCGGCCAACAAACCCATCTAGTCCAGCATCCTGTTCTCACAGCGGCTGGCCAGAAGTCTGTGAATTCAAGCAGGATTCATGAGCAAGAGCCCCTCTCTCCCCACTTGCGATCCCCAGCAACTTGCATTCAGAAGCTTTGCTGCCTCTGAGTGTGGACGTAGAACATAGCCAAGGTGGCTAGCAGCCATCAATTGCCGTCTCCTCCACGAATTTGTTCAACACTCTTTCAAAGCCAAACAAGTTGGTGGCCCTCACTTGCCTCCTGGGGAAAGGAGTTCCACAGTTCAACTTTGCACTGCATGAAGAACTTCCATTTATCAGTCCTGAATCTTACAACACTCAGCTTTACTGGATGTCCACAAGTCCTAGTGTTGCGAGAGAGGAAGAAAAACTTCCCTCTGTTCATTTTCTCCATGCCATGCGCATATATATATATATATGAATGAGAGTTCTCTTTCTTGTGCATTTGCAATCATAATACACCTCTGGGAACAGCTGCGTTAAATGCCACATTGTTAACTGTTTTAAACAATAGACTCAGTTCAGTTGACAAGGGGCTTCCTGGCTGCGTCTACGTTTCCCAGTTTTTAGTTTTTAATTTATTTATTTCTGCTGATCCTTTCTTTTGTAACGAGCAATTCCAGGGATGAAGTGAGGCAGGTCTAATTAATTTCTCCTCTTGGATCTGCTTCCCGCTCAATCCATCTTTGCAAATGTCTTCCCCGAAAGCCTAACCAGCTTCAAAGGAGGTCCAAGGGAATATCTGCACATGCTCAGAGTCCTTCTGTGGTAAGGGGGAAAAGGAGGGGGAGGACTCTGCTCACAGCAGACTTGCCAGGCTGCCAGATGTGGGGGGGGGGGTCTGCCTACACCAGTGAGGGCTTGCTCACAGTTGTCAGATCGAAGGGTGGATGCTAAAGCCAGCTTTCCGCAGAATACGGTGGTGGCTTCTACCCTCCACTATAGTTCACTTTATTTTCTCGTTGCTTTTTCACTTTATTTACCGTATTTTTTGCTCTATAAGACTCACTTTTTCCCTCCTAAAAAGTCAGGGGAAATGTGTGTGCGTCTTATGGAGCGAATGCAGGCTGCGCAGCTATCCCAGAAGCCAGAACAGCAAGAGGGATTGCTGCTTTCACTGTGCAGCGATCCCACTTGCTGTTCTGGCTTCTGAGATTCAGAATATTTTTTTTCTTGTTTTCCTCCTCCAAAAACTAGGTGCGTCTTGTGGTCTGGTGCGTCTTATAGAGCGAAAAATACAGCATTTATTTATTTATTGCTTCAGATTCATACACCGCTTGGTTGTAAATAATAATAATAATAATGAGCAAAAAATCTTTAAAGTGGTTTTCCAAGAAAGGTAAAGCAAGGAAATTATCTATAAGAAAAATGAACAACAAGGATTTAAGGCTTTCGAGAAACTGAAATAAGGACAGACTAAACACAGAATAGCATTTGCACCCACATTCTAAACAACTGGGAAGGCTTACCTTAAACTATTGGTTTCAGCACAGTGGAGGCGCTTGCCTTGATGTCAACAGGTGGGGAGTTCCTTTTTTTTTTTAATGATATTTATTAAAATTTCAGAAACAAAAAATTACATAGTTAAAAATAAAAGAGACAAGGAAAAATATAGAAAAAAAAGAGAAAAAACATACAAAATACAAAGTATAGAAAAAAATTAGAAAAAATACTTAAAAAACAAATTAATCCTTCCGTATCTTACATTTCATTTCCTTGCTTCCCTGACCTCCTCTCACCTCCCTTTTTTGTATTCCAGTTCAATTGGTTAATTCAGCAATTCCTTTCCCTCTTTGTTTTTGTCTTAGTCCTTTAACTTAATATATTATAGCTTTAGATTCTCACCTATTAACCATCCATTTTTACATACACCTTTATGACATTACTGCTAAAACCACTTAACTTCATTCTGACATCATTCTAACATTCATTAATTTTACAATATTTCTGTAAGTAGTCTTTAAATTTCTTCCAATCTTCTTCCACCGACTCTTCACCCTGGTCTCGGATTCTGCCAGTCATTTCCGCCAATTCCGTGTAGTCCATCACCTTCATCTGCCATTCTTCCAGAGTGGGTAGATCTTGTGTCTTCCAACAGGTGGGGAGTTTCAAAGGGTAGGTGCTGCCATCCTGAAATATCGAGTTCTTGCAAATGCCAAATGGGCACATGTAATGGTACCAGGTCAGCTGATCGAAGTGGTCAAGTGTGTGTGTGTGTGAGATAAGGTGATCTCACAGGTAAACATTAGGGCCAGGGATGTCCTTCGATGGAAAGGGGGCTGTAGCTCAGTGGTAGAGCATCTGCCATGCATTCAGAAGGACCCAGGTTGAATCCCCAAAGGCATCTCCAGGGTTTGTGAGGACTTTTGCCTGAAACCCAATAGAGAGTTGCTGCCAGTCAGTGTAGACAATGCAGAGATTTTGCCTTAAACTGCTTCGGCCACCCATCTGCAGCTACACAAAGCTGTTTCATCTGCTTCCTGCTCAGTGAAGGCTAAGAATGTTCCGCCATTGAAATCCTGGAAAGTTGCTGCCAGTCAGTGTAGACATTGCTGAGCTAGATAGCTCAGTGGCCTCCTCGGTGGAAGGAGAACCTTCTATGTTTCAAATTCTCGTTTTTATGTCCCCACCCACTCTTCGGTTCAGTTCCCCACATTTTCACATCTGTTTGCAATTTTTAAAAAACCCTCGTGAAAATTCACCAGCGTTTTTGTGCAAATTTCTTCTCATATACACATTTTTGTATGCAGTGCACCCTTTACACAAACCAGTTTCCCTTTGTATAATGCATTGTTGTATGCACACACACACACACACACACACACACACACATATATATATATATATATATGCATTTTCATACACATTCTTTGGCTGGAGAACTTTGGAGAAGTGCAGATTTTGAAGGATGGCCGTGTGTTGCTTCATGCACTGTTTCAGCAAGTGTGAGGAAGGCTCAGCATTAAATTTGAACTGAATCAAATTTCTAACCTGTCCCTACTCCTCCAGAAGTCCTGATGGTTTTGCTTATGATAGGGCAGTTATAGGGCAGTTATACGCAATCCTGCTTTATTACCACGGGGAAGGGCTGTAGCTCACTGGCTAGAGCATCTGCTATGCATTCAGAAGGTCCGAGGTTCAATCTGGGGACACAGGTGGCGCTGTGGGTTAAACCACAGGGCCTAGGACTTGCCGATCAGAAGGTTGGCGGTTCGAATCCCCGCAATGGGGTGAGCTCCTGTTGCTCGGTCCCTGCTCCTGCCAACCTAGCAGTTCAAAAGCACGTCAAAGTGCAAGTAGATAAAAGGTGCCACTCCGGCGGGAAGGTAAACGGCGTTTTCGTGCGCTGCTCTGGTTCGCCAGAAGCGGCTTAGTCATGCTGGCCACATGACCCGGAAGCTGTATGCCGGCTCCCTCAGCCAGTAAAGCGAGATGAGCACCGCAACCCCAGAGTCGGTCATGATTGGACCTAATGGTCAGGGGTCCCTTTACCTTTACCTTTAGGTTCAATCCCCGACATCTCCACGCAGGGCTGGGAGACAATTGCGTCTCATAGTGACCGACCAGGTGTTCCAGTGGGAAACTTGCAAGCAGGACCTGAGCACAAGCTCACTTTCCCCTCTTGTGGCTTTGAGCAATTGGTACTCAGAGACATTGTTGCCTCTGACCGTGGATGCGGAGCATAGCCATCAGGGCAAGTAACCACCCATGGATTTCTCCAATCCTCTTGCGAAGCCACCCAAGTGAATGGTCATCACTGCCTCCTCTGAACTGAAAAACGTAGCCCACTAGGCCCCTTTGGTGGAAAATGCCAAGTTGTGCCTGTGGAATCGCAAGAGCCGGCAGATGAAAGCACTCTGGAAATGTTTACGGGACCAGATCCAAAGTCTGAACGATTTCCCAGGCAACCGTAAGATGCTTCCAGTTTGCGTTACGAATGGGATCCGGGGGCCTGAGACGAGAGATACGCTGCCCCTTGTATTCAGGCTTCCCTTCTCTGTGTGTGAATGGATTTGAACGTGTGTTCATTGCTTGGGCAAGTTGGGATCGAAAAGCGCTGTTTTGGCAACAACAGGAGTCTCACCGAGCGCCAAGGTAAATAATGACAGAAACGCGGTGCACACATTATTATTCCCATAATTTCCTGCTGCCCTGGGGCTGCAATAACTTACACACCCTGTGCCCCAAATGTTTTTAATTTATTTCTCAAGAACAGAATTATCTCATAGTTTCTTTCTCTCACCCCCCCTTCCCCTGCCCCATCCTTTTGCCAGGCCCATTTTAAATATACTCTCCAGATAAGGAAACTCCTTAGCACACATTGGAGGAAGAGGAGGGGGCTGCTTCCAAGCAGCTCCTAGCACACTCCGCCGGTGATAAATCACTCCCGTTAATAGGGGATGAATGTGCTGAGTGCCAACAGCTATACAGCTAAAATGGTGCCACCGGAGTAACAAGGGAGGTATCAGTGGGCTCGGGAAGGTTAAACCGCAAAAGAAGATTCAGGACAGATAAAGTACTTCTTTGCGCAATGCAGAGTTAAACTATGGAACTCACTTCCACAGGAGACAGGGATGGCCACCAATTTAGATGGGTCAGCAAACTTTTTCAGCAAACTTAGCCAGGGTCAGCAAACTTTTTCAGCAGGGGGCCAGTCCACTGTCCCTCAGACCATGTGGTGGGCTGGACTATATTTGGGGAGGGGGATGAACAAATTCCTATGCCCCACAAATAACCCAGAGATGCATTTTAAATAAAAGCACACATTCTACTCATGTAAAAACACACTGATTCCTGGACCATCCGTGTGCCGGATTTAGGAGGCAATTGGGCCGGATCTGGCCTCCGGGCCTTAGTTTGCCTACTCATGGATTAGACTAATTTGTGGAGGAGAGGCCTATCAATGGCTCCTAGCTAGGTTGGCTCTGCTTTGCCTCCACAGTCAGAGGCAGGAATGCTTCTGAATACCAGTCGCTGGAAACCACATGAGGGGAGAGGGTTCCTGTGCTCAAATCCTGCTTGTGAGTTTCTCACAGGCATCTTGGCCACTGTGAGATGCTGGACTAGAGGGGCCATTGGCCTGATCCAGCGGGCTCTTCCTACATTATTATGCAAAGTGAAGGGGGCAAAAAAACAAACCCTGAACCAGGCTAATGAGGCATGGTGGCCATGGAACACTGCTTCTTGGGATGGGGTGTGTGGAAAACCAGTGTGGGTCAGGAAGAAATGGAGCACTCGACACTGCCCCATTTTTGATACAGGTCCCACTTGTAGGTCACACCATATATTTAAGCTTGGTTGTATGAAGCTTCCCTGCACGTTATACCAAAGCGCTGCCTCCTGGCCAAGATAGGCATGCCCTGCACAGGGGGGCAGAAACATAAAGGGCAAGGAACTTTGCACATGGTCAGAGGAACTCTTTGTAATTATTTCGTGTATTCGAGATCAGAAAAAAGGTTCTGTTGCATGAAATACTCATGATCCCGGACTCGGCCGAAGCCCAGATTTCTTCCAGGGAATTCACCATGCCAATTCTGACCTCCTACCCCTTTGAAGAGGCTGTCCCTGGGTGGATGGCAGAGCAGGAGCTGTGCTGGCTCCATGCACAGGGCCAGATCAGACCTTTGAAGTATTGTCTGTACTCATAGAATCATAGAACAGTAGAGTTGGAAGGGACCCCAAGAGCTGTCTAGTCCAACCCCCTGCAGAGTAGGAATAGCAGCTGAAGAATCCCTGCTGCTCCAGTGGTTTCTCTGAAAGGTGGGATAAAAAAGGAATGAATGGTATGGATCTATGTTTCTATGGATATATCTGTGCATAGGTTCCTTCAGGTACACCCTTGGCACACTTCCCCATTTTTTAAAAAAACAGTTTTGACTCTTTTCATGTTTAGTGTGAGGGTTGCCTGTTTTCAGTGGTGATGGGGAAAGTGTCGATTAGGAGATAGGGGGGGTCTGTTTTTATTTGGGTGAGTGTGCATATGTTTTGCCTCTTTCTGTGGTGGTGGAGTTCTGAGCGTCATCAGTTTTCCTTCTGTGAAATGGGTGTTTTGTGGTGCCCACACCAGTCTCCCAGATTTCCAAATGTGCCCGCAGGCCTAGAAAGTTCAGGGACCCCTGTCCTATACCCAAGAAGCAGTAAAAGCATAAACATGATGCTCTGCACATTAAATATAGGATATGTTAGAGTGTGCACGCATTTATTCAGCAGGACTTGGTTTAAGATATCTCTCTACATTTCCAGCTGAACGTCTTTGCTGTATACTATACCATATGTGTGTGTGTACATATATATATGTGTGTGTGTGGTATTCCATCCACACAGACACTCACTTATGCCTAGTGGTTTAATTTAGGTTTCTGCCTGCTTCCTCTTTGCTAAATATAGCCCTAATTAATTATTCAGAGCATACCTTTTGTGGCTGAGTACTTTCTCTCATAGCTGTTGAGCCCCGAGACATGTTTTCCCTTTCAATAATTAATTTTTATTTCAGAAGCGCATAGTAAAATACCTTGCAGGGAAAAAGAGGGGAAGGGTGGTCTTTGGGCGAGATGCGCTAAATCCCAAAGGGGCCGATGAGCCTGGGGTCAGGGTGCCATACAGCGTTTCTATGTGTCAAGTCACAGTTATGCCTGGCTTTCAACTCCTAAGCAATGCTGAGAGCTAATTAACCAGGGAAGTGGCAGTAGCTCAGTGGCAGAGCACCTGCCTGGCATACAGAAGGTCCCAGGTTCAATCCCCAGTGTCCCCAGGTAGGGCTGGAAATATACTGGGAAAGGCTGTGCCGGTCAGTTTTGACAATACTGAGCTAGGTAAAGTAATGTTCTGATTGATATATGACAGCCTCCTACATTCCTATTTGATTCAGCCCTTTATTTAGAAACATGAGGACTAGAATCTTTTCTTTTAGGGGAAGGGCTGTATCTCAGTGGTAGAGCATCTGCTTTGCCTGCAGAAGGCCCCCAGCTATAATCGTAGAGTTGGAAGGGACCCCAAGGGTCATCTAGTCCAACCCCCTGCAATGCAGGAATCTCAACAGACGCATCCATGATGGATGGCCATCCAACCTCTGCTTAAAAACCTCCAAGGAAGGAGAGTCTACCAGCGTGGTGTAGTGGGCCAGCGTGGTGTAGTGGTTAAGAGCGGTGGACTCGTAATCTGGGGAACCGGGTTCGCTTCCCCGCTCCTCCACATGCAGCTGCTGGGTGACCTTGGGCCAGTCACACTTCTCTGAAGTCTCTCAGCCCCACTCACCTCACAGAGTGTTTGTTGTGGGGGAGGAAGGGAAAGGAGATTGTTAGCCGCTTTGAGACTCCTTCGGATAGTGATAAAGCGGGATATCAAATCCAAACTCCTCTTCTTCTTCTTCTTCTTCTTCTTCTTCTTCTTCTTCTTCCACCTCCCATTCCACTGTCTTGTGTTCTTACGTTTCTATTGCAAAATTTGGAGAAGGGGGGATTTGGAAAGAGAGCTGCATTTTGGTCTGCAGATTGTTTCTCAAAGTGCAAACTGGACGGAAGTTTCCCCGTGTCCCTACTTGACCCACTGACATTCCTTCAACCCCCCCAACAGCCCCTTCCCAGGTTACAGGGCAGCCTGGAAAGCAATTCCCTAGTCATGTTGGAATGGCTAATTATGGAACGTTCGAGCATTTATCTAAGAAGATGATGCTTCCTAGGAATGAGAGATGGGGTTTTGTGGGGGGAGTAACTGCCTGCCTGCCTGCCTTGGCCCCTCCCTAGCGCTGCGGATTCCATTAAACAGTGTCGCCCGAGAAGAAAAGGAGTGAGGCTGGGTCAGGCTGCCTGCTGGAGTGGGTCAGACGAGGTTAAGCAGGTCAGGTCGTGTTTCTCTGTCTTCCTTGATTCCCGCCCCCCATCCCCCCAGCTTCAGGATCAATGCATAGAAATGGTGCCATTTAATCAGCTGCTAGCAATTTGAGGTCTGCACTCGAGCTGGTGGAATCAAAGGAGGGAGAAGTCTCAGAACGGAAAAGAGGAATGGATGAGAACAGTTACGTTCAAATAAAGCGAAATCATTTGCTTCTCCTTAAAAGGAACGTGCCATAAGCAGGGCCAGTGTTGGCATTTGGGGCAGTTGCCTGGGCCCCCTAGTCATCGGACAGGGTCCACTACTAAGGCCTGCCCCTAACACAGGAAGCTGCCTTAAACTGAACAAAACCCTTGGTCTGTTGAGCACAGTACTGTCTACTCTGGCTGGCAGCGGAGTTTCAAACAAAGGACATTCCCAGTCCCACCTGGAGATGTTGTTGTTGTTTAGTCTTTTAGTCGTGTCCGACTCTTCGTGACCCCATGGACCAGAGCACGCCAGGCACTCCTGTCTTCCACTGCCTCCCGCAGTTTGGTCAAACTCATGCTGGTAGCTTCAAGAACACTGTCCAACCATCTGGTCCTCTGTCGTCCCCTTCTCCTTGTGTCCTCCATCTTTCCCAGCATCAGGGTCTTTTCCAGGGAGTCTTCTCTTCTCATGAGGTGGCCAAAGTATTGGAGCCTCAGCTTCAGGATCTGTCCTTCCAGTGAGCACTCAGGGCTGATTTTCTTAAGAATTGATCGGTTTGATCTTCTTGCAATCCATGGGACTCTCAAGAGTCTCCTCCAGCACCATAATTCAAAAGCATCAATTCTTCGACGATCAGCCTTCTTCCCACCTGGAGATGCCAGGGATCAAATTCGAGATGGCTGGTATGCATAGCAGATGCTCTACCACTCAGCTACTACCCTTCCACACCTGGCTTTGAATGGACTTGTAATATGGATGGGCCAACTGGTCAACTACCTAGAGTGGGCAGATCAGTCATCTCAGACTCAGAGATTTTCAGATAAATCTGACTTGGTGTGAACCAGCTTCTTGGCATCACTTGCTTGATATAGGACTTTAGAACACCAGAAGAGCCTGTTGGATCAGGCCAGTGACCCATCTAGTCTAGCATCCTGTTCTCCCAGTGGCCAACCAGAGGCCCCAGTGGAAAACAAACTGGCAACCAGTCCTGCTGTTTTAAAACAGGGGCCACATGAGGTCTCAATGCAACCCCAGACAGAAACCTGGCTGCTGCATTTTGGACCAGCTGAAGCTCCCAAGCCAGGGGTCAGCAAACTTTTTCAGCAGGGGTCTGGTCCACTGTCGCTCAGACCTTGTGGAGGACCAGACTATATTTTGAAAATAAAATAAAATACAGTCATACCTCAGGTTAAATATGCTTCAAGTTGAGTGCATTCGAGTTGTGCTCGTCGGCAACCCAGAAGTAACGGAGCATGTTACTTCCGGGTTTCGCCACTTGCGCATGCGCAGATGCTCAAAATGACGTCACGCGCATGCGCAGAAGCGGCGAAAAGCAACACGCGCGTGCACAGATGTTCCATCGTTAGATACGTTTACCTCTAGATGCGAACGGGGCTCTGGAACGGATTCCGTTCTTATCTAGAGGTACCACTGTAAACGAATTCCTATGCCCCACAAATAACCCAGAGATGCATTTTAAATAAAAGGACGCATTCTACTCATGTAAAAACATTTAGAAGGCGATTGGGCCCCTTTAGTTTGCTTGCCCATGTCCCAAGCTGTCTTCAAGGGAAGCCTCGCGTCTCGTGCACTGCAACAGCTCATCGAGCCGTTGGTTGATCTTGATGAACTTGAGGGTCCCTTGAAACTCTGCAATTCTATTATTCTGACTATACTTAAAGAAATACCCACTACAGGAGCTGGGGGATCATTGGATATAAAATTTTCAGCAGTCAGAGCCGTTAGCCTGTTCCAAAGTTTATCATATTCCTCCCCCCCCCCATTTTGCTTCATCTTATTTACTGTTCTCAGTTCCTTCTGTTTTGATTTTATGTTATGCTTGTTGTATCGTTGAAAAATCAATAAAAACTACTTTTTATAAAAGTGTTTCTGTACCGCGGTATGGCAAAATAAACCGGGCAGTGTACAACGCCAAAATGTGAAAAGCACCATTTGAAACAAGGCAGTTAATCATTAAAGTGGTTGGCTAATTAAACAGCCGCAGAGGCCTGTCGACATAAAGAGGTCTTCAAGAGACGCCCAGAAGTAAGAAATGAGGATGCCTGCAGTATCTCTGCTGGAAAAGCGTCCCACAGCATGGGACTGGCAGCTCTAAATTCCTGACATCTAGATGTTGCCAGTCAGGCCTCTGTAACATGGGAGACAGCTAGCAGCTCTCGTGCGGATGATCTTAGTTATCAAGCAGGGATATAAGGGCTCAGGCAGTCTTTAAGGTATCCAGGAACCACGTTGTTTAGGGCTTTCCATATCAGTGCAAATTTGCTGGATGAATCCAATTCCTTTTGGGAGGTGACATCCCAGAATGCTTTGTAATAATAATAATAATAATAATAAACCAACAATAACAACAGCAACAACAACAACTTTTATTTATATCCCACCCTCCCCGGCCGAAGTCGGGTTCAGGGCAGCTAACATCAAATATATAACATCAGTATAAAATCAAACAATAATTAAATTATCTCCTAAAAGCAGGTCAAAATCAAATTAAAGTCTAATTAGATGGCTTTCCGCAGGGTTAGGGTTGGGAACAGTAAGTGCTCATTGGCCCAACTGTTTACGTTGATCTTATATGGGCCTGTGAGAATGCTGGGAGGTCTCTTTCATATTAGTTCTTATACAAAAGAAAAGGGGAGTCAGGCTGAGCCCTGACCAAAGGCCTGGCGAAACAACTCCATCTTGCAGGCCCTGCGGAAAGATGTCAAATCCCGCAGGCCCTGATCTCTTGTGGTAGAGCGTTCCACCAGGCTGGGGCCAAGGTCGAAAAGGCCCTGGCCCTGGTCAAGGCCAGCCTAATCTCTCGGAGGCCCGGGATCTCCAAGGTGTTATTATTTGTAGACCGTAAGGGGCTGATCTTCTCAATGGTTCTCTGTGCTTCCCAGCATGAAATAATAGAAACTATTTTTTAAATCTTCTTCTCCTTCCTCCTCCTGTCCATCTTCTTACCCCAGTCCCAGTAGCACAGTGGCTCAGTGTGTCTGGCTGTTAACCAGAAGGTTGGTGGTTCAAGCCCACCCAGGGACAGCTGTGGGCAGGATTCCTGCATTGCAGGGGGTTGGACTAGATGACCCTCAGGGTCCAACAAGTCTATGGTTCTATGATTCTTCTTCAGCTTCTCGCACCCATCTTTGGATATATGTTTTTTCAAGTTCTCTGCATCATTTCCCATTGTTTGCTTCTTACACCCCCACAAGCCCTGCAGTTGGTTTTGGATCGTCCATCCATTGCATTGGTGGTCTCTTGCAATTTCAAGGTCTCCATACTAACACTGCTTTATTCCATCGGCCTGAATCACCATGTGTCCGACATGTGCCCATTTTAACGTCAACCTTCTTTACTGATTTAGTTCTTAAAATGTATACGCTGCTTGAAAGAAACCTCAAAGCAGTTTAGAAATAGAATGAAACTATAAAAAATATCAACAAAACAAGTTAAAAACAACTATTTAAAACATGAAAAGAAAATTAAAATCAGCAATGAGCTAAAAACCAGATGAAAACATGTGTCAACGTCCTACATAACTAGGTAAGCTCTAAAACTAATGTGGAAATCTGGCAATAATAATAATAATAATAATAATAATAATTTATTTATACCCCGCCCATCTGGTTGGACTTCCCCAGCCACTCTAGGCAGCTTCCAACAAAATATTAAAATACAGTAAAGCATCCATAATGCATTACTGTATTTTAATATACAGTTTATGGACAAATGTTGAAGTAGAACAATAATATATATAAAATGGATAAAGACAATGTGAAAAATTTAGAGGTGATATAAAAAGTCAGAAGAAAGAAGGAGGGAAGTCAGCGCCTAGGAGCAAGTATAAATGTAAAATGTAATACAATATGTGTATGTGTATGTGTATGTAGTATGAAACTTGTAAAACTAATAAAGATTATATTGCAATAAAATAAAATATAGTAATGAATCAAACATTAAAAGCTTCCCTAAACAGGGCTGCCTTCAGGTGTCTTCTAAAAGTCCGAACGAAACTGAACTTAAGTTTGGTTAAAGATCTGCCTTGGTAGTTCAGCTGGTGGAGCATGAGACTCTTAATCTCAGGTCTGTAGGTTCAAGCCCCACGTTGCGCAAAAGATTCCTGCATTGCAAGGGGTTGGACTAGATGACCCTTGTTGGCCCCTTCCAACTCTATGATTCTATGTAATGGAAAACTGGAAGAAACTCGAATGGAGAGATTTGCCTGGCCCTGCTCATACCATGCCTGCAAAGTAGGACAGTTATTACCATGTTAAAGGTTGGAAACTGAGGGTGAAAGACAGAAAGACTGGCACCTGTAACAGTGCCATTTCCACATGGGAAGCAAAGGATGGGAAGTTTCTTCCTACCAGCATCTCGAACCTCTTGGCTTTGGACATCAGTAAGCTTTTAAAGGAAGAGGCTTGGATGGCAGTCACCTGCTCCCCTTGCAAGTTTTAAATGTGGGTTTATAGCAGATTCTCCAACTGACTGAAGCCAGGCAGCATTGCTCTGCGGCAGCAAAAAGACCTAGAAAGTAGGTCGTGGATTAATCCTGCTGGTTCCAGCAATTAGAGTATACAATGGGGTCGAAAGTTCATGCTGAGCCTGGGAATGCAGATGGAGACGGAGTTTCTCCCTTTCTTAGCTGCCGCATCGTCTCTGAGCTGCTACTGGGAAGAGATTTGCCATTAATTGGGGAACTGCGTGTTCTTCAAAGCATGTCAGGGCTGGAGATGCAGGGAAAAGGGATGATAGACCCGAAGGGAAGTAACTGCCGATCAGTAAATTAATCTACTAAACAAAGAGTTGATTAACTGGCTGTGTTTAATACGTGCATGTAGATTTTAATCAGTAGGGGCGTGGGTTGGTAGAGAAATTCGACCCGGTTCGCATTTGAAGCCGATTCCATCAATTTTGCCCTTTCCGAAACAATGTGAGAACCGAAACTCAGCCATCTGAAAATTGCACATATTTGAATTTTGCAATGAGCTCTCCAGCCAAACAGTTTACAAGGATGCATATATTGGGGAGGGGGGGATTGTGCATAGAAGTGATGTGGTAGTGAAAACAATATACAAAAAATGTACTGTATTAGGAGAAATTGGTTGCAAAAATGTGCACATTATTCAAGACTGCATACCAACATGTGTTTATTGGGCGAAATTTGCAGAACACTATGTCTACGTGGAGTGAAGGTGGAATGTGAGAGCAATTGTGAGAGCAATCCCAGACTAAAAAAGAAAGAAAAAGGGATTGAATATGGCAGCAACTTTTACTGGCGACCACACAGCAGCGGTGGAGGACCTCAGGCTAGGAGGCCAAATGTGGCCCTCCAGGCATCTTTGTCTGGCCCTCAGGACTCTCTTTTGAAGCTGTTTCCTTTCTGGCATGTGCCATGGGAATTAATCCCACACACTCGTATGTATGTATGTATGTATGTCTGTATGTATGTAGGTAGGTACTGTATTTTTCTGTGTATAAGACCATATTCCGCCCCCCCCCCCATTTTTAAAGTTTAAAATTGGAGGTCGTCTTATACACAGAATGTTTAAAATACAGTGGTACCTCGGGTTAAGTACTTAATTCTTTCCGGAGGTCTGTTCTTAACCTGAAACTGTTCTTAACCTGAAGCACCACTTTAGCTAATGGGGCCTCCCGCTGCCGCCACGTCACCAGAGCACAATTTCTGTTCTCATCCTGAAGCAAAGTTCTTAACCTGAGGTACTATTTCTGGGTTGGCGGAGTCTGTAACCTGAAGCGTATGTAACCTGAAGTGTATGTAACCCGAGGTACATACATTTCTTAATTTTGGGCTCAAAAAATAGGGGTCGTCTTACACACGGAAAAATATGGTATGTATGTATGTATGTATGTATGTATGTATATAGCACACTCAGTATCTATAGTGCTTACAGAGTACAGGTCCCTGCCACAAGGTGTTTACAATCTAAAATATGAGAGTGGGGAAACCTCAGCTTCTGGACTGGTTGTAAGAGCAAGGCAGGTTGACTGAGGGCAGATTGAGATCAGTGGGGCAGAATCCTGTTAGCCCCAACAGGCCAGCCTGTGCTGGAGAGTTTCCCAGGCTGCTCCTACGCCCCTTGTTTTCTTTCTAAGGAAGCGTCCTCTCCCAATGCAGTGTGAAGGGGCAGTCGGGCTGCTCTCCCTTTCGCTTTTCAGGCTGCAATCGTACATATTGTTTCTTGCGCTAGAAGGAACAATCTTGAGCTCCAGAGGAAGCTGGCAATAAAAAGTCGGTGTCTATAAAAAGAAACATGTGGTCGGGGAATGGGTTCCTACTCTGAGTCAAAGCAGAGCAAGTGTGGAGTCAGAAATTCCAACCCAGAAGGGGTCAGGGAGGCTTCCAAGATGACTGACGCATATGGCTTGCTGCTCTGCCTCCCCCTCCCCAACCCCTTGTCCTCCTGGCCTTTGGGATTCCAAGGAAGAATGATACCATATCGCAAGCTCTTCCTGTGAGTGTTGAATACACTCTCCCCACCTCCTTCCATCCTTCCTCAGTTCTGCCCCGGTCTCCCTTTGCCAGCTCAGAGACTTCACACCGCATGCAAGATGATGGCTGTGACCCAATGAAATATAGTCTGCTCAGTTAACTCAATTAACTTTATTTGATTAACGTTGATTGGTTGGTTGGTTGGTTTGGACCACTGGCTCCCAGAGCAGCTTATCTACAATCAAAACAAAACAATCCTTGTCCTCAAGCTTACAATCTAAAAAGAAACATGGCACACAAGGAAAAGGAACAAGGAGGGAAGAGGAAAACCAAAACTCAGACACCAATTTCTAAACGGTTGTTCCTTCCTATACAGACCAGCTCACCCAGCTCAAGGGCAGGAGGTCCTTGATGGAACTGGTCTCTCACACCAGTTCCAAGGGAGTGAGTTCTGGTGCCCTGCTCTCCCATTGTTGCAGTAGCTGCCTCCAAATCGCAGTTGAGGGGAGAGGTTTAAATGTGCTTTAAATGTATATTGATCAATCAGCTGATTATGTGGTTGTTTTCATTTCTTTTGAAATCTAACCGTAATATTAATCTACTTCGCAGCAATTCACCATACCACACACATGCACGCAGGAAATAATCATATATCACCACAAACTTATGAGCATATTTATTCTGCTGTGCTCACGAAAAAAAACCTCTTCACGAAGAACATGTTCAACTTGTTTGTTTTTTTCTCTGCAGTGGCGCCTGTGATGTATTGCTTTGTTCTAACCCTGTGAAGGCAGAAACGGCGGCATGCAGGTTTGTGAAATATTCTGTCTGCCCCGTGTTTACTGCACTTTGCAGATGGCAATATTTCAGCAGCAAACAACACCACTCCTCCCTGCTACCCTCCCAGCTTTCCAGACAGGGAGACTTCCCTCTCGGTATGCTCCTGACCAAATGCCAGTGCATGACACAAACTCGGGTCAGCTGGGAAAGGGGATTAAAAAAAACATTTTAATTACATACTGTATGTCAGACAAAATACAATCGCTACCCCTGCAGAAACACACTGCCAGCCCATTTTTGGTGTACGTGCGTGTGTGCAAATTGCAAACACGGAGTGTTTCAGAGACTCGGAAGCAAGAGGAATCTGCAACCAAAATGCTGCAGTGAAAATTATTGTTAAGGATTCCAACCAGCCTTTCCTTTCCCTGGGAGACTACATTCCATCCATTCCAGATCTAGTTTTCTTTCTCTTCCTCCAAAAGTCAACCAGCAATCCATACCCACTGAACATGTCCATTCCTCTTTGGTTCTGCCACTGGCAGCAGTGGCATAGCGTGGGGGGTGCAGGGGGGCCGGCCGCACCGGGCGCAACATCTGGGGGGGCGCTCGCACTCGCAGCTCTCTGCCCCTACTAAAATCTACGGGTTAGGGGGGCGCAAATTACTTGCCTTGCCTCGGGTGCTGACAACCCACGCTACGCCACTGACTGGCAGGATTTCCCCCCATTTTTATTTTTATTTTTTTGTACTTCAGCAAATTTTGAGTCCCACCCACCCAACATGCCGTTTTTTCGCTCCTGTTCATAGATGATCCTATTTTGGCTACATACAAACTAGCACTCCGACAATGAGTTTGCCAATACTGTATACCAGGCACGTCCAACTTCGAAGAGACTGCGATCTACTCTCACTATATAAAAAACCCTGACAGTGATCTACCTATTGGATTGACCAGAGTTGTTGAGCTTTTGGGGGGGAGGATGAGGGGACTTTGTCAAAAGCCTAACTGAAATCAAGATACACTACATCCACAGCATGCCCATGATCCACAAAGCTTGTAACTGTATCAGAAATAGAAATGAGATTTGTCTGGAGTGACTTGTTTTTGAGAATTCCATGCTGGGTATTAGTATTCACAACATCCTTTGCTAAGTGCTCACAGGTAAAGGCAAAGGTACCCCTGACCCTTAGGTCCAGTTGCGGACGACTCTGGGTTTGCGGCGCTCATCTTGCTCTATAGGCCGAGGGAGCCGGTTTTTGTCCGCAGACAGCTTCCGGGTCATGTGGCCAGCATGACTAAGCCACTTCTGGCGAACCAGAGCAGCGCATGGAAACGCCGTTTACCTTCCCTCTGCAGTGGTACTTATTTATCTACTTGCACTTGATGTGCTTTCGAACTGCTAGGTTGGCAGGAGAAGGGACCAAGCAACGGGAGCTCACCCCGTCGCGGGGATTCGAACCACCGACCTTCTGATAGGCAAGCCCTAGGCTCTGTGCTTTAGACCACAGCGCCACCCGTGTCCCAGTGCTCACAGAGTGACTGTTTAATTATCTGTTCTAGGACCTTTCCTGGTCAAGCTTATTGGCTGGTAGTTACTTAGGTCTTCTCTCCCCCCCCCCCCACTTTCTGAAGATGAGGACATAATAATAATAATAGTTTAGAAAGTCTTCCAGAATATTATTTACTTATTTAGCATACTTTATTTAATTTGTCGGACTCTGTGCAATGCTTTTCTCCCTCCCTCATAGAACTCATGGACATCCAATAAAAGTGAGTGTTGGAAGATTCAGGACAGATAAAAGAATGTACTTCATGCAGCACATAGTTAAACTATGGAACTCACTTCCACAGGAGGCAGTGATGGCCACCAAGTTGGAC